AAGAGGAGGGGGAGCAAACAACTGCCACCCACCTTGGGCGGCCTTCGCTTGGTGGCTCCATCCAATTGACGTCACGCAGCTGCTTGACTTTTGATGTTTGCCTGTGGGCAACACAACAAGCTAGTCAGCTGGCCTTCGGGGCAGGGTGAATGGTTAGTTGGGGGGGTATTCAGAGGGTTCACTGTAGGGGTTAAGGGAAAAATTGTTAAATCGATTAAAGTCAAAGTTTTGTCAGATACCCAGCAGCAGTAGTGCGTGAGTGATACAGACTATCAAAAGCAGAAAGATAATGCCGCTGCCCATCAGGCAGTCAATCATTTCCATCCATCTAGACTCTGGAAAACCATAAAACCAACCATCCTCTGCCCCTCATCTGGCCACTATAAAAAGCAAAGTTTTGCAATCAACAAAAGTTAAAAGTTACCAACGTACTAGAAAAGTTTTTCTAATTAGCAAGGACTCGGAACCGCAGGTGTCATCAGTCCAAAAGGCGTCATCAAATCAAACTCATTTCCCCCCAGCACATACACAAATTCACGATATAATGATAAGCTGTTGCCTTGGTTAGATAAGTGTGGATTGTTGAATATATTATGACTAATTTTCTTTAAGTTTTTTAAGGAGATTTTGAATATTAAATTTGGAATAATATCACTAAAGTGGAATGAAACTCAAACTCTTATGTTAGCTTAGCTTATACACTAATATAATATGACTAATGGATATGAAAATATTTCTTAGAATGTTTTGAATAACACAAACCTACTCATAAATATATATAAATACATATATCTTTATATTATTTTCATTGCTTAACAAACTGCAGATATTTTTACCCAAAGTTTTATCAACATTTCAGCCTTTTTGAAACCCATTTCATAGTTCTCAAGTTATGGAGGGCAAAATTGTAAGAAAACTTAATGTGTTGCTTATAAAAGTTCATTCTAACTAAGTTCCAGCTATAAGTATGATATTAATACATAGCGATAAGTCACAACTAAGGATATAAACCCTACATAACTATATAATTTACTGATATTAAAAATATAGCCAGTTAAAGGCACAAAAAGTTAGAATCGAAGGCAGGCGGCGTCATCAAATCAAATCTATTTAGCATGCACATAGAAGATATATGTATATATACAGTGATAAGCTAAGACTTTAGATATAAGTAAGTCCATGGCAAATGCGTCAGTGGGCGGTAGAAGATAAGTTATCAGTCGCTGGGGATTTCAGATTGAGACAGACTCGAGACAAAAAAGAACTCACTGGGTCAATCTGGCCGAGTCTATACGGCCATTCCTCTTTTCTCAACAGACTGTTGACATATGTACGACTCAGATATATATATATATATATCCTATGCGTGTGGGTGGTTTTTCATTTTGGCATTCAGTGTTGAGCATTTTCTGCTGAGCTGCAGACAAATGCTGTGCATATTAAAATCCACACAGAGAGAGACAATGAAATTTATGAGTTTCGCACAAAAAGCAAGTCCAAATTTACGACTAATAAACCGCAGCGGGCAGAAATTAAATGAAAATGCGGCCAGCTTTTAGTATGCTTTTTGGTCGATGACACATTTCAGGGGACCTGTCATCGGTTCAATCCCCCCGCCACCCACCGCCATCTCCTTAGAAAAAGAAGTGACATCTGTGGCATATTGACAACCTGGGAAAACTGAAACTGCTGAGCTGCTGAAACTGAAACTGTAACCATATGAAAACCGAATGGGATCAATGAGCTTGTAGATCGCCAGTTAATTGGCTGTCGGTGGCGTATACTTAATCTATTTTGAACTCTGTCAACTAATAATAGTTTCTGCCTCACGTGCCGCGCGTCTGCTTATCTTGGCTTTGCAACTTTATCGTTTATTCAATATATATATATATATATATCTGCTATATAGGGGGAAAAAAATAAAACTTAATCAAGATAAGTTTCGCGGGAGCGAGGAGGCCAAATGACTGGCATCAGGCGAAGGAAAGCCAATGGAAACTTTGGCTTTGCCATCAAAGCAAAATGCGGTTGCCCTCCTAATTAGTTCGAAAAGGTCTTAGACGAGGCAAAGCCAAAAAAGAAAACTAAGGAAAACTTCCCAAGTTCATGTAATCAAATGAGCTAAGAAAACGCAGCTGAAATACAAGAAGGAGGATGTTTTTCTTCCCGGGAACACGACATCCAAATCCCATTTGGCATACAAAAGCGCCAGAAGTTGACAAACAAATTTGTTTGGAATTTTAGCTTTTTAAGGTTTTAAGAAATGAGAAAAATGAGATGCAGAATTGCAGATACAAGCACATAGAATGTATTCTAAGTTCTTTAGACTGCATCTAATAATTTTAATATATTTTCTTTTACATTAAAAAAGAAAACAGAACCCAAATCATCTGTTAATAATGTGTCTAATTTCTGCGGCTGTCTCGTATCGATTTTCCCATTCTAATTGCTGGAACAAAATTGCGTCTCCGGCATAAAAAAAAGGCGAATTATTGAAGAGCTTCCCGAATCTGAATAGAAATCTGGATCCCCCTTCGCACCCACTATATACACTCAACACAAATACACCCACACACATATTTACAAAGAAAGTGGGCTGTGGGTTGGATGGTTTTGGTTTGATTTAATTTTTTGTTCGCTTTTTTGCCTGGGCGAAGGTCGTGGCTTTTATTGGCCGTTTTCATTCCGTTCGTTTCGTCTTTCCTTTTGGCCAAACAATTAAATTTTTGCTGTGTGAATATTTCTTTTCATTTCGCTTATATATTTTTTCTTGCTTTGATTGTCGACGGGGAAAAGCGTTAGCGGGGAAAATTATGATTATTTATTCAGGCAGTCCCGAAAAAAAAAATGTGTTTGTTAGCCACTTTTTGAAGAAGACGCAAATTATGCGCAATAAGTTTTATTTTGGAAGAGAGCGAGAGCGACTCAGTGTGACTCAGACATGGAAATTTCATATTTACACATAATTTATCAACATCCGTCAAAAAGTTGCTAGGCATTATCACTGAAGCTCAAAAACTTGTGCAACTAATTAATAATATCAACTTAAAGCTGATTCCCATGTTCAGTTCGTTTTTGGCCAGGTGGAAATTGAATACATAGCAAATATTGCGCATACGCCGTGTGTTGCTTTTGTTTACGCGATGCGTTCTATTTCTGGATTGCGAAATTAATTGCGAATCAGAATTGAAAAACAATTTTCCCAGCCAATTGTTTGGCATAAAGAAGAATGGAATGAAAGATGTATATCGCTGGGAATAAAAACAAAAAAACTGAAACTGAAAAAAAAAACAAGGACAATAAAAAGGCTTTCCTCGCCGCCTTTGTCCTTTCGTTTTTATGATGAGTTTTTCACGTGCCGCTGTATTCACCCTTGTCAATTCCAGTTTCAGGATACCTAAAATATATATATATAATAAAAAAGTTGAACATGAAAGGAAGCCAAAGGACTCTTGTCAATAAAAAGTGCCTTAAAGCCGACTGGCAACTTTTTCATTAGTTTCGTTCATTTTTTGGGGGGGAGAAAAACAGAAGTTGAACTACAAATTTCGTTTGTATTTTTAGAAACATTTCCCATTGCCGAGGCAAATATTATTGATGACTTTTTATTCCTGTGCACGACGGGCCGGGGCCCATTATGGCTGAATCAATCAATAAACGAGGAATCCCAGCTGAAACTAAGCCGGGACATAAGCTCGATGGGTCCAGGAAACGTGAGGACATGACAGGAATCTGTTCTCTCTCTAGTCCTACGACAATGAAAGGAAAGGGAATCATCCCGAAGCCATAAGCGGAATAAGGACCTTTCAAGGATGGTGGCCCCCTAGGCTATTGAATCGAATACGCATTGAAGTCGCCCCGTCCACCGATCTATATACGTATGCACGGGTATGTATATATTCCACCCACAATCACGCCCCTCTTAACTTGGAATTGAATTTGGCTTGGAAATTGTGTGTTTTGCCGCTGATGGATGGTTGTCTTTCTTGCCCGTTGGCCAGGTTTTTTTTTCCATTCACATTTTCTTTTTTTTTTTTTGCGAAAATGCCAAGTATACAAAATGGAATTAATTACAAATACAGCTCATCGAGGACGAGCACGAGCCCGAGAATTTGTTATCGGGATTTCATTTGGCAAAAAGGAGAAAAGAGGATTTTCAAAAGAAGAAAAGTAGTTGGATTACGACAAAGACCGTTCTCTGATGTAACTAAGGGCTAAAGCTTTTGCAAAGGTGTATTTGAAAGGCCTTTGTTGATTAAAAAACAAAGTATTGAGTGTCCAGTGTAAATTGGTGTTTCAATTTTTATTATTTAACGGTACCAAGAAGGTATCGGATTGATTATTTTTAGCACTCAATTTCCTATAAAATCTTACAGTAATTATATTTTATAAACTTAGACCAAGCCCTGCCTTAAGTTTTCGGTAATTTATTTACAGCACAATAAACAGCTCCTAAAGCAATTTAAATAATTTATGAGTTTATACTGGGTTACCTATACCCGAGCACCTAGAAATCACCTGACTGAAAGATAAAATCCATAATATCTTTATTTACCCGTTCTACTTTTCTGTATATCAACAATGGCATTACTTAACTAGTTAATAATATGTGAGCTTAAGTGTTTTAGTTTTATTTTTAAGATAAGAGATGAATGACTTTTATAGTTACAGAGAATAATCATTGATTTACAGCTCAAGAAGGTAATTCAGCTATCAATAGGTCTATTATTTGTGAATATCTTTTTGGATTTTTGAGCACTCCGATCCTACCATATCACCTACGCCACCCACTTGCTTAAGTGGCTGGCTTATTTAATTTTGTATTTGCTTTTTAGTTGTGTTTGTTTATCAAGCAATGCCAACCCTTGAGCAATTGATAAGCGCCTGAAATATTTAATCGCACGGGGAGGCAAACAGAAATGGCAGCAGAATCGGAATAAAAAAAAATGAGGAAAAAAAAGAAAATGTGGAACTGGAATTGGATTCGAAGTGCGACTCACCTGACTTTCTGCTTGGCTGTCACCTGCTGGCGATGTTGGTTTTTTTTTTGTTGTTTTTCCTTTTTTTTTTTGTTGGGTGGATAAATCTCCTACGTCCACCTGTTTCACCTGCTCCTCTCTCCTGCTTTTCTTTTGGCTTTCCTTTACGGCTTCCTCTTTGGACGTTTACTACTCCTCCGCTTCTTTCTTTCGCTCTTTCTGGCTAAAACCAAATTTAATTTGTTACTTTCGTTGATTTTGCTACTTTTTTATGGACTTTTTGCTTTACTTGACGCTTTTGCTATTGTTGTTGTTTTTGTTGCTTTCAGCATGGACTTTGATGTTTTAACAGAAATTCGTTAATAAAATTTTGATTGGAAAATACATATTTACTGAGATTTTAACGATTTATATAGTTTTCGTGCTAGACACATTTGAAAAGCCAATAAGTTGAAAGTACTGCAATTAAGTTAATTGCCATGGTGCACAGCGCATGTTTTAAACTTCAAATAAAAACGAGTTTTGTGTCCACAAATTGTTTCGTTTTTCGCTTAAATCAACAATTTGGTTTTTATATTTCGTTTGGCCAGCTTAACTGTAATGGTTTTTGTCAATTTTTTATATTTTTAAATCATATGGGAAATGTTGATATTTTCCAATTTTATTAAGGTTTTATAATTGTCTATCAATTAAGGTTTTGTTTAAACTTTAAATAAAAATGTTATCTGTTTTTCGTCGAGGTAACAGTTTAATTAATTGAGCCACCGAGTAAACATTTTTGTTTTTGTGTAAATTTTCTGTGTGTGCTTAACTGTAATTGTTGCTTATTTTTAAACTGGTACACTGGTCAACAAATATTCATTTCTTTGTTTTAAATTATATGTATAAATAAAAGTTATTGACTTTCTGCACAGCGCATGCTTATCATGGATATATGTTTCAATTTTTGTTGTTAAAACTTTTAAAAAAGAAACTGGTTTTTGGCTTTTCGCCCATGTAATTGTTCAATTTATTTGGCCTAAATAAACATTTTTGTTTGTGTAGATTTTTGTTGCCACCTTAAATCGTTGAGGTAAGTGAGCTTTTTTTTTTTTGCTGATTGCAACTCCTACACTGGCCCCCAAAATTGTTACTGTGTTATTTTTTGTTGAATTTCATTTTTTGGCTTGAAATAATATACGGGCAAATTCTGATTGGCATCTTAAAAAGCTGTCGCCCCTGACCCAATTGTTGATTATCGATCGATAGACGTCGATAACGCAAGTTGCAGTTGCACTTGCAGTTCTTTTTTTTTTTTGAAAAGTTTATCTCTAATTACTTTTCATATCAAATGAGATATGATCTTGTAAATTAAATGTCTGCTAATTAGGACAAGTAATTAGTTAAACGATCGCTGCACTTGTTTAACAATTAAGACATGGAAAAAAGACTGAGCTTAAAACCGGCATTTGAATCATATGCGCAAGCTCCTCTCTCTAAACTCTCTTTTCCCGCTCTCACGTACGATCCCCTTTTCCCTTTCTCCACTCTCTCCTTTTCTATCCATTTCTATATCTCTCTTTTTCACACGCAGCTCTCGTGTTTATTGATTGTCCCCCACCGAAAAAAACCTTCAAGTAACAACAACAGCAGTAACAACAACAACAGCAACGGATAGGTAGATTTCTGTATGTATGTATATTGTATTTTCGGTCGGTGAGAGGGTTGGGAGGTTAGGCCACCTACACCACCCCCCGCCCACAGCCCACCTTGTTTTTTATTACGCGCACGTAGTGTGGTTTTTTTTTTTTTTTTGCTCTCCTCTCTCACATTTTTACATACACTTGCACAATTGAAGAGAAAGAAAGAGAGAGAGAGCGCGAGAGAACAGGTGAGGGGGCGGTGGCGGGGGGCAGTCGAAGCTGGAGTTAATTGGCGAGCACGCTTTTCGGTTTTTCGGGCTTTTCTCTTCGCTGCAATTACTTTTTTTTGTTGAAGTTGTTAAACGCACATAATTCACCGATCCACCGACGCACAACGGCACACGTTCTATATCTTTACCACCGGCGATTTAAGCGCTTATATTTGCTAGCTTTTTTATTTGAATTTTTTTAATGGCAAACGTAAACAAGTGCGAACGGTGAAATATATCGTTAGCAGAAGCCTCTATATTCCGATTCCGTGTCAGGCAAAAAATTACAAAAAGTTTTGGATTGCTGGTTGCTTAAATAGACTTGCTACCGCAAAAGCTCGCTCTAAGCGAAAGCTCTCTCTTTCTGTCGCTCTCTCGCAGGTGTGTGGGTGATAAAATACTAGGAGTAAATACCAAAACGGGGCAATCGTGACGTCACTTTTGCAGCATGAAGTAAGTGTTGCAGTCCAAATACATTCTAGGTTAATCAGTCTAATTAAAGTCACATAATTACCAGCAGTAAAAGCCAGTTTCTTATTTTTCATTTCAAAACCATAACTTTCCTTTCGGCCAAAAACGACCGTTAAACAAAAAATACTAACTACCAAGACTTTTGATAGTGCTTCTGTGAAATATATCGATACTATCGCACACCTCTATTGTGCACGTGTGTGGTGTGGTTTGTTGTTCAACTATTTCGGCACACTTATTGTTAATTAAAATAATGCCTGCCGCCCACGCAGCCAGCAGCAATGGGAAGCCCACCGAGCAGCACAAGTCCTGGAAGAAGGTGAACGAAGAGAGGAAGGCGCTTAAGCGTCAGCGCAAGCAGGACAAGGTGCTTAAGGAGCTGCAGCAGGCCAAGGAGGCGGAAACCAAAGCGGAGCAGGCCGCCAATGAAGCCCAGAGCAAGAATCAGCCCTATCCGTCCACTCTGAGTATAGCTGTGCCCGGCTCCATCCTCGAGAATGCTCAATCAGCCGAATTGCGGGCCTATGTTGCCGGTCAAATAGCCCGTGCTGCCTGCATATTTCGGGTGAACGAAGTAATTGTCTTTGACGACGTAGGTATAGCAACGGCCCGCGAAACAAAACGCAGTTACGAGCCTGATGCGGAAGGCAGTGGCACAGGCACTGTGCGAAGCAGCTCCCTTCAACTGGCTCGGATCCTTCAGTATCTGGAGTGCCCTCAGTATCTGCGAAAATACTTTTTCCCGCTGCACAAGGACCTCAAGTACTCTGGGCTGCTAAATCCTCTTGATACTCCGCATCATCTCCGGCAGCAGAGCAAGTTTCGGTACCGTGAGGGTGTCATCTGCGACAAGAAGGCCAAAGAGGGACACAGTTACGCCAACGTTGGACTGCTCAACGATGTTCTGGTGGACAAGGCCATCGAGCCGGGCGTCAGGGTGACCGTGAAAATGGAACCTCAAAGTGGTAAGTCAGTCCTATATATAAATATTTTGCGCTCCCAGACTAAAACAAATATGTTTGCCTACAGAGAACAGCAGAAGGCAGCGGGGAACTCTCGTTAGCCCGGATGAGCCACGCCGGGAAACTGGCGTCTATTGGGGCTACCAGGTGCGCATTGCACATTCACTGTCAGAGATTTTCACCAAATCACCATACGAATCCGGCTACGATCTTACGCTGGGAACCTCAGACCGCGGCACCAACGTGCACGAGGTGCCCAACCGATCGTATAGCTTTAAGCATATGCTGATCGTATTCGGAGGACTGCAAGGTCTGGAATCTGCGCTGGCCAACGACGAGAAGCTAACCGTTGATGATCCAGAGTTGCTGTTCGATCACTACGTAAATGTTTTGCCACGCCAAGGATCTAGAACCATTCGGACCGAAGAAGCCTTGCTGATTGCTTTGGCTGCTCTCCAGGAGAAACTACAACCGGCAGTGGCTGATGTGGAGACCGATTTGAGTGATCTTTTGCCTAAAAGTGAGGATACTGGCATTGCTGTGCGACGTGACGTTTTAGTTAGTAAAAAGCAAAAGAAAAGGAAGGCAGTGGATGAGACTTCAGTAACACCAGTGGAAATCGAACCCACTCCTCCGAAACTATTGCCTAAGGTGGCTCGAAAGACAGCAAATCCCTTTGGAGAACCCCCTGAGAAGAGTTTAGATAAAACTACCATTGTAGATGATGACTTCGAAGTAGTTACATCCACCACAATTCCTGGAACAAAGCAATCAAGTGGAAATGACGACTTGAGTCGATTCGATTGAATGAAATAGTTGGAATTTTTATTTTTGTAAATATACAGATCCATATATGTTGCTTAAAGTTTCGTTTTTGATTTTATTGTTTTCCCACTAGGCATTTAACTATATTAATTCTATATTCTGTACTTTGTTGTTGCATAACTAGCTTTATTCCGCGATATAGACATCAACTTTTGTTCGAAACGTTCTAATAATTTGATACTTACACACTAAATTAATACGTTTTAAAATTTTCAACGCGAATGTCAAAGCAAGAATTTAGATTTCGATCTCCCACCAATCACTGCCATTATACTTACATACATATACATTTTAGTTGTCCATCCACACTTTGATAGCTTAAACATAATGACCTAGTTTTCCCTATAGGATGGACTGCCTCTGTCTATCTGTTATTTACACACTGACGATGAAAGTCGAATGGAGAGTCTTAAGCCGTCGAACAAGCCCTCACAACTGAATCTCTAAATGTAATATGTCGCCACATTGTCGCTGGTCATGATTAGCTATGGAATCGAGTCTTGGAACCGCGGCTCTGGCAGAAAATCCTCCTCCAATTCGATGCGTGTGTCGCTATGGTAGCCCAGCAAAGATTCGGTGTCCTCCTCCATGTGCCGAATGGGGAATGTTTTGCCATCGCCAAAGCTAAAGGATGTGTGGTGCGTTATATTTGATCAGGACAGGCATATATGTTATATTACAGAGCATAGATCATAGTAGGAAAATGATTAGTTATGAGTGCGTTATTTTGTATTCAATTGGTGATTCGGTGCTGTGCAACGGAAGCAAAGCTGAAAGATTTCATTGCTTTGGCAAATTAAAAACAAACCTTCGTTGCTGTTATAAATGTATTTTAGAATCCATCTTAAGTTCGTCACTCGAAGACATTCAATAAAATATGTATTTAGTTATAATTTAGAGGTGTACAAAAGAATAAAAAGTATAAAAATCAACTTGCAAACAGTAACTAACTAACTACATAAATTAAACGCATAGAGAAATGCCTGAATTTTGTGTGTGATAATAGTGTGTACTGAAATCTCATTGCTTATCATTAAGTTTAAGTCTTGAAGATTGGTTGATATCTACAAGGATTATTGGTTCCACGAATGTGTTAGCAAGGTACACATCTCCGAACGGGACAACCGTCTTAACTACCAGGATTATCCATATTCGATGTTTCTAATTTCCATTATAAAATTCGTGTGATTAGAACAGCGATAAATGCTAGTATTGAACCAATTAGATATTTCTTAATGTTAACTTAGTCGAATGTAGCTATGTAATGATATAGTATATAAATATCCGACGATTTATATAGTGGTCCCAGCCATTTAAACATTTAAATAGCCATTACTAAACAGTTGATGAATTGCATAGAGGTAACTTATTGGCTTACACAAACTGCAACGCTGACAAATGTGGCAGTTTACTCGGCTTTACAGTACAAATACATAAAACATTCTACGGAAACATGGTAAACGGGAAAAAATCAAACTGGCAGATCGCCGTTCGGTGGGCTTGTTGAATCCTTGACTGGATTAGCGCCTGCTAACGGATGATCACCGATTATGTCGATATATACGGCTGCCCCATTAGCTCCTCCCTCCGCCAGTTGACTAGACTTGACTGCTGCTGTGCTGGGGCTTAATGACTGGCCGTTTGCCAGGTGCTCCTGACGTTCGTCCAGCTCGTCCCGGTATGGAGATGGTGGCTGCACCACCTGCAACTGTTGCGTTGGCTGGTCGCTGGTGCTTCTTACTTGATGAGGCGATTGGTTGTGATGATGGTTAGTGGTGTCGAGGGGACTAGCGCCAATTAACTTATCTGTTGGATTGCCATCTAACCTGCTGGTGGGCGTATCCCCCATGGCATCGTACCGTTGGACGGGCGAGGTGGTGGTCACTCGACTCTGGTCACTGGATGTCTTATAGCTGTAGCCACCACCGCGGCTAGTTCCGTGATTGTGAATAAGCAGAAGGTATGGGGTATTGCGTTAAACAGAGAGTTTTAAACAGAAATATTGTTTGTTTGTTAAATTTTCAAGTTTTTTGTTGTTTTTTTAATTACAGTTTAGCTTGTTGTAGTTGTAGCTGTTGTTGTTGTTGTTTGCAGTTTGTTTGTAATATAATTTTGCACAGATGTGTGGTTACGAATATTAAAATTGGTTCAAGTGTAGCAAGTGTTTTGGTTTTTAGTAAGCTTTAGTTGGGATGATGAAATTCCACGGGTTCTCAGGCAGAATTTCAAGCGAACTTTGGCATTTAAAATTAGTCACTTAATCCCGCGGACATTTTGAAACTAAGCTGGTTTTTGTTAGATCTAGATCTCTATTTCTAAAGCTCGCTGGCATTGGGCTTCTCTTTTTTATTTACAAACAGAAACAACGAACGCAAGTGAAATGAAGTTTAAATTTTGATTATACTTAAGACTAGATTACAAAAGGAGATCGACAACATTTGTTCTTTGCTTTTCGCTCTCAGTTTTTAAGCATATACAGTTATTTTTTTGGTATTACATAAATTATAAGTGTTAAAATTGCTTTGAATTTATCTAAAATTAGTGATTTCCAGCAGTCTTTGCCGTTTTTCTCTTTTTAACTTAGCACACAGAACACACATCAAGAATAGGAAAAGGTTTTAACTACGAAGCAGTGGCTGTTCAGCATGCCTTTAATTTGCCAAAATCAATAAGAAAAACCAAAAATCATAATGAAAATCAAATCAAATTCAACAAAAGCGCACAATAACAACAACTAAAGAGTGAGAGAGCTTCAAGTGCAGCACAGATTAGTAAGAATGGGAATGTGAGAATGCCAAAGATCAAGATGTTGTGGTAGTAAAAGGACCGACACATACCTGGAAAAGACGGGCAGGAACCAGTACTGCCAATCGTCGCCGAATACTTCGCAGAAATTGGCATAGCGACCCAAATTATAACCATTCTTATCAGGGCCGCCAACACGAAAGATGGGCGCCCTAAATGACTCTAAATGAAAGATAAATAGGATAGGATATTAGTATGTATAATTGGATTGTCAGGCTTCAATTACTTACCCAATGTCGTGCGATTCACCAGCACCAGGTATATGTGGTATCCAAACAAACTCACCAAACTAATTGCAAACATTATGGCAATGAAGAAAAGGAACAAGATGTGGAAACGTCCCATTCCAGTGGCATTAAGTTGTCCCTGTGCCGAGTAACCATTATTATCGTACTTGGATCAGTAAGTACATAGATTTTAGATAACATTACAGCGAAACGAGAGAATACATTTATTAACTAACAGGTCATCGCATGCAGAGGGCATATATAGGGAGGTAATAAAAGTAGAAATTTGAAACTTACGGCACCTACCTTCCAGAACTCTACAAAGTCGTGCAGTGAGGTAAAAGCCACATACAGGCAGTAGACGAGCGCGTAGCCTAGGAACAGTACGAAGTACTTGTAGTTGTAGAAGTTCACGCAATTGTTTACCCAGGGGCAGTGGTGGTCCATCTTCAGCACACAACAACTACACACGCTGCAGTGGTGCGCCCGGTCCGGCTTGATTATTTTGCACTTTTCACAGAACCTCACCGAGCCGTTCATTGTGCTGAAACGCGGATGTTTCACGTATTATTTATAAATATTAAACAATGAAAAGTTATAACTAAGTATGTTACAAACATAATTGCGATCAAAAAATATTTTCTGGGGTGTTTGGTTATAAGTGTAACATTCAAAAGATTATAACAATTGCGAATTATCTAAATTCCACTTCCGCATTAAATACTTGAAATGAAATTGTATTGGCGAAAATTGACTTGATAACATCGTGAATCCCTACCGATTAGTGACTGGTAAATCGCGCGCAAAGTTATTCAGTATGCGCTTTTGAGTTTCTGGGCTGTCGGCTCGGAATAGTCGCGTCACTTCCTCGTCTGGTATCCGCCACTAAACAAAAAGTGTAAACAAGCGTATTAGTGAGGTTTCCCCATTTCTTTTGATAACAAAAGATGATAAGGCGTTTGATTCACTCACCTGATCCGGTATTCGGCCCACGGAGGTCATTATGGTGCGCCAGTAAGACCACATGAACAGCGTAAGGAAAAGGTGGTAAAACAACAGCATGAAGATCATGCCAATGCTATTCTGCGAGTTTCCTATTAAAGGGGAAGATACAGCTAGATATATATTGCGCTCCTTCATAGTGGTATGCATAACTCACGGATGCACAGCTCCACTACATAGGCGTAGTAAGACCAGGCTATCACAGCGGTGATAAACAGCACCGGAATCCACTTGAAGACCGCCATGCAAAATCCGCAGGGTGTCTTTCGCCTTCGATGGTCGTCGTTGCCCATTCTATTTATGTGGGCCACCACTTCGGAAAGGGCGCGTGTATCTCGGGGCGTTGGAGTTACCTCCACCTGCAACTGAAGTGGACTAGGGGTAACCGATGGACCTGCTATGATTGCTGATTTTCCAACGGGCTCTGCTCTGCCAGTACAATGTCTTTATCTGCCAATGATTCACTAGCTCCGCAGGCTGTTGAAAACTTTTCTGCGCTATCCGAAGCTTGCTTCCCCTTGTGGGCAGACAGGTGCTAGTTTAAACCTTAGCGCTGTGACATTTTTGTTATTATTCCCAGTTTTTCTGCTTTTCCAGATGAAATTAACAAAATTTGGCTGTCAAATTGGAAACTCGAACTGGTTTAGTGATGGACGATTTGTGCGTTGGAGGTGGTATAGTCAGCGATGCGTGACACGGAATTGTCAGTTATAAAAATGATAACAATGTAATTTTAACAGAAATAATATTTTTAATCATTGAAAATCATTTAATCTTTATTTATAAAATAATCAAATAAAAAATTATTTTTAAATTATTTTTCTAGTCCTTATTTTTTAGTGTTTTTGGTATTAATTCAGTACCACCTAAATATGACTTACCAACGCGTTAGTACATTTTTTTCGTAGCCGGCAGACTTTGCAAAGAATTTCATTTCAATTCGGGATATCCCCGTGAATTTACGAGTGCTCCGGATTTTTCATATCACAATGAGTCGTGAAGTTCTATCGCCTCCTGTCCAAACGATGAGCCACAACCGTCAATATAGGGTCAATATTGTTCACGAGGATTTCGGAGGCGACAAGTGGAATGGCCCAAATAAAAAGGCTAAAAAAGAAAACAAGTCCTACGAAGAGCCAGGTGAGTGGCTTTTGTGGTAACTTGTACCCAAGTAAACCCCTTTTTCCAAGACTTATATGGCGAGGATGACTTTGAGGATGATCCTGCTGTCAATAATATTGAAGAATCATCCAATGGAGAATTCAAGCTTGCGCTCCATGTGCCCAAGTGAGTATAGTCTCATACTGAATTCTGATTAATTTTATATGGCATATTCTTGAAGATCGTTTTACGGTGGATTAATTGGCCTTAAAGGGTCTACAAAGCGTCGCATTGAGGAAGAGACGAAAGCAGAGATCTACGTTCCTCGACAGAACGAGAGATCCAACAATGTGATTATCAAGGCAAAGCAACGTAGCCAAGTGTGCGCTGCACTTCGTCAAATTCGTCATCTAATAGTCTCCCTACGAAAGAAGATGAGACCGACCCACTTTTTGGCCGTGGCTCTGAACTCTGGGGAAGTCCAGGAAAGATATGTAGAACTTAAGGTACAAGACCATATTTTTTTTAGAGAATATGTAACTATTAATAACTGTTACAGAAAAAGATCATGGATGCCAAATTGCCCGGAATTGATGAAGAATTATTCATATCCGAGCGGAAAATCCACCTAACTTTAGGTGTTTATGTGCTGCTGGATGACGAAGAACGCCAAAGGGCCATTAATGAGCTAGAAGTCTGTCGTTCCCTACTGGCTGATTTAAAGACACCTTTGGAAATGAAAGTCAAGGGTCTGGAGATTATGAACGATGATCCCAGCTCCACTCGGATTCTATACGGTCGCATTGAGTCCCCGGATCTGCAGAAGTTCGCAGATCAGGTTCTAGCCCACTTTCAGAATACTGGACTATGCGCCACGGACAATAACGAACGTGAATCTATCAAACTTCACATGACCTTGATGAACAATCGCTACCGTAAGGAGGCCATGAAGTCCGGAAACAGCTTTGATGCCCGCGAAATCCTGAAGAGCTTTGGAGACACGGACTTTGGAACAGCCCAGTGCGATGCAGTGCACCTGTGCGTATTGAAATCCAGCGGTGATGACGAATTCTATAAGATATCTGGAAGCCTGAAATTCTGATAAGCCTGGAATGCTTTTATTTATAGTCCTATAACTTAGGATTATGAGGTATGAACCTTTGTATATAACTAAATAAAATTCCACACAACTTATTGTTTGTTTAAAAAAATTTCTAAAGGGTTTGTTTTCTGTACCTATAAAATCTTTATTTCTGAATTTGTTGGAAGAAAAACGATTCTAAATAAGAAAAATCTGCAACCGAAAGGAATGACACCAATATTAAAAAACGTAATCACAATAAAGTACACATATACAATTTATTTGTCGAATATCAATGCTCAAATTGGTTTTGTATATCAGTTGCAATTGGACTGCATAACACCTTAATGCTTTGTGCCTGTCGAGATTTATTCCAGAATTTTACCAGAAAACATCCACGACAATCGAATCAAATGTGCACCCAAGACTAGGCTTACGGTTAGTGTTTTTTGTTTCTGTTCTGGTGTTACAATAAATATAAAAATATATCGTTTATATATGAGGATTTGTGGCAAAAATGTTTATTGGATTTAAAACAAAATAATGGGTAAAACAAAAAAGGTTATATAAAGAGCATGCTTAATAGCTACGGAGTAGGAAGCCACAAGTGGAGGACACGAACATTTACAAAAAAGAGGTGGACCAGCTAAAATGCCGATTTGGAAAGGATATACATATATATATAGTGGAAGCAAGCTGGACACTCCGTTCCATACACACTCACGCAGTTGTACAAAACTTGGTTTAAATTGAATATCAAAAACAACTTGACGGCTTACTAACTAACTTTAACTACGCACGATTTGCTTGGCTTTTTGCTTATTTTTTTGTTGCTTAGTACTTGTCAATAGCTTCAGTCTAAAGTTAAGATTTGGTTGACTTTTGTTTTCGCATTTTTTTTTGCTTGCTTGAAGAGGATTTCATTGGTTCTACATGTCACGTTGCACTGACGATTTGTTATCGTTCTTTTGGGCGGGATTTGAACTACATTAGTACTGATGTTGGAAAATTGGTTTAATTGTTCGTACATAGACTATATGGAAAATATTTTAACATATGTAGGTTTACATACATATATATGGATTAGTTTTCGATTAAAAGGCGCGAGTCAAACAGTGCATTTCAAATCTACTGGTAGTAAGTGTGTTGAAAACAACTAGTATTAAAAAGTATTGGTTTACATTCAGTCGGCTGCTTTATATTATTAATAGATTTGTTGCTATTCTTGTTAAACGTTTTACAATTTGCTTGTGGATATGTGTAGAGGTATTCGCTTTGAAACACACTGTTCGTTGTTGGCCATGGGATCTTAACAAACAAACATCTACAAACGTACATAGATTTCTTTTTAACAACAATTAGAGTTTTGGTGCATATTTAGTTAATTTGAACAAAGGTTTTGGCTGCTCATGAATATACCGAATATAAAACTGTATATTATTTATTATTTGGCTAATCCGCCGCCTTAAACACTTAATTTAGTTTAAACAATCTGTGTACTTCAGGACTATCTAAAGAAAAACACTCGATTTAAATCGAAACCAAAAGTGTCTGGATCTGTGTGTGAGTGTGTTCTGTGCGTTTATCGTGTGCGTGCTGGATAAATCTCTCGGTTTAATTTATCTATTAATCAATCAATCAAATGTGCAGCACCCATTTTGGCCCCTGACCTCCTCCAATCCCTGCCGTGGCACCTTCGTCATCGTTGTTCCTTTGTTCGCTCTCCTCACACTTGCTGGTCTATGCTACTATTTTGCATGACCATTGCTAAGCACTGCCGGCACCGCCTGCTGGACTACCGCATTGATAACTTCGATTTCCTTCTTCAGAAAGGCAGCGCCGTTCTCCTCGAGTGGATGATGGAGGTCAGCGGGAGCATTACCAGGATCTGTGCCATTGTCATGGACAGAGGATATGTTGCGTTTGCGAAGACCGCCGCCAGTTGTCGAGTCCAATGGAATGCCGCCGTTGCTGCCAGGCAGCTTCAACTTGGGAAACTCAATATCCCGCATCAGATCCTTTTTGAACTCTACAATGCCGCTGACGGTCTCGGTTACAGTCTTATCAATAAATTCCTCAATGTTTTTGGTCTCGGCCTCGATCTTCTCCTTTAATTTGCTAGACAGCTGGTCCATTTCACACTGGTCATGGGGCACGCTAACCGCGTCTCGAGCGCACCTGGTCATCGGCTTCTTCTCCAAATGTGTCTGCTGCTGCTGTGGGCGTGGTCGAAGGTTTACATTGTTCGGTTGCTCAGTTGGTTGTTGTTCGGTTGTGTTGTGTAGAGCAGCAGCTGGCTGCTGGTGTATGGGCGTGTTGACTTTACATTGAGCGTGCTTATCCTCCTCCCTATCATCGTTGAGATCATTGCCAGCGGTCAAGGCTGCTGTAGACTCCCCATTAGTGGTCACCACATCCTTGACATTTCCGCTGCCGGCCAGCCGTACGTTTCCGCTGCCATTCGTGGTGCGGCGTTCGCCGCGTATAAACTTGGGTAAAATAAATATGGTCACTAGTGAAATGATGTGAAGGCACAAATAAAATCTCAGGTACAATTTGATGCTGCCCTGTAAAGCGAAAACATGAAGTTGGTTAATAAGTGATTTCTGAGAAAACATAATATAATGTGTGGCGAGTCGATTTTTGTTTATGCTGAATAAAAAAGATAGAAGAACATTCCTGTAAGTAATTAATGGTAAATGTTATCAATTATTTTTTGACAACTCTTAGTCTTAGTCTTCCATTAGATAGTATACAAAAAACAAATTCATATCGAATTATTCCATTTTTCTTTATATTCATTGACAAAATTGACCGACTCGCTGAGTAAACTTACCATAAATTCAAGCAGAACGAATGGGAATGTGGCGTAGCCCAGTACGACGCGTGTAATCAGGCAGGTGAGGATGTCGTAGAACATTCGCGTGACCTGCGTGCTCTGGAAGCGATGACGGAAGAGTCGCCGGCCGGTGCGCGCTGCCGTTACAACGACGGCGCCGGTGGCAAAGGTCAGGTAGTAGCCCGGATAGAAGCCGTGCCAGACGGCGCTAAGGGCGAACGTAAGGAGCGTGCCGTACTGCTTGGGCACCCGTTCATAGACAAGCGTTCGCAGCCAGCGGTTGGTGCCGCAGTTCCAGTTATTGATGGCATCGCGCATGTTCGTTGAGAACTGTCAATAAAAAACGATATAAATATCTTAAATTATATTTCACATTCAAAAATACTCACCTCGAACGACAACACATTGATATTCGATATCAGATCCCATTTGGAATCACCATCCTTATCGTAGCCAGTGAAACCTAAGCCTGAGTTGTTACATATAGCATCCGCCAGGAGCCAGGCGTGATAATACTTAAAGCGTATGCAGGTGGTAGCCATCATGGCATACCAGTACTTGTATATCATGCTGGTGTTGTTCAGAAAGTCGTCCTCCTTCATGTCTTTCACTGGATATATTTTCACAAACTTCATAAATATGAAAGCACACACAAGACTGCCAACCACTTTACGAATGACCGCTTTAGTAGGTGATGGTTCTATCACTACTTCTTTCTGGCTGCTGTCAAGATTTCCCTGAAAACAAAAACGCAAAATAAGTTAATTTTAAGGAAATATTTTTTAAAAAATTTCAACTATCTGCTCTGCAAAGGTTAGGTGCTTTTGTATTTTTAAATAAAGTTTTATGACTTCAATAGTAATTGCAACCTTCTCTCATTATTTTCATTGTTTTTCTGATTTGGCAATTAAAAATCATGAGCGTCATGACCCAATTGCAGTAATAAAAGAGAGAGTGAGGTCAAGTACTGAGCTGACATTCCTACACCTCACTAATGAAATTACTGCAGTGGTTATTAGGCAGTCAGGTGACATAATTAAACTTACGTTGCCCGGTGGACTGCTCAGTAAATTGTAGCCTTCCACGAACTCAATGTAGTCCTTGTAGAAGACCAGAGGACCAGCCAGAATGCTCTGGAAGTGCCACACGTAGGAGAAGTACTCCAAAGCCGAGGGCATTTTACGAATGGCATGGTACTGCTGAGCCTTTGTGAGTTCCTGTCAGGCAAGAAAAAAGAATATTAGCCACATGATTGATACTAATTTGCTTTACTTTCACTCTGCACTCACCTCATCTCGCCGCACGAAGCCATCGTGAATGCTGAAGGCCAGACTGGTCACCTTCTGCGTGATGATCATTAGGGGCCCGGTTATGTCTAGGGCATAGGATCCATAGTCGTATAGCTGGCGCATCAGATGCACGCCTAGCAAATAGCTCATGGCCACCAGCAGGACGGCTCTAGAGAAGTAAAATTTTGAAGCAGGGGCTTTTGGGAATCATTTTTTTATTTTCCTTACCTTTGGACAATGCGCGGATCTTGGGTGCGGATGACGATATAACATACTGCCGGCAGTCCAGCAATGTGGATTGCTTGTGAACCAAAGCAAAAGTAGCCAAAGGCCAGACCAATCGAAAGGGCGAATGTGTGGCGCAATTTGCTGGAAACCTTCGAAGGATGCAGCACGGACCGGAAGAGAGACGCCAGGAAAAGGGCTGATATTTGGCAAATTAAAAAGTTTACCTGTAAAGATCATGATTTCGTTAGGAATTACTAAAAACGAATTTAAGAATGCGTTTGATTAAAAAATTCAGAGATTTCACTTAATTTACATATAATTGGAATAAATTACACTTTTCTTGTAATTAATACCCCTCTAAATTGCCGACTTTAGGCAACGAGAGATCTTTGGACCCATTTGCCAGCGCGGAGCACATGCAGCCAGCACGTGTCTTGCTAGATTTGCAATTGTAATGCGAGTACAGCATCCCCCACTCATTACCTCCCAGATCACCAATCACCCATATACAACCACCCAGTACCAGACAATTGCGGTCACAAGTGCTTGTCAACCATTGCACTTGATCATGGCGATTGGCGATCACGATCACGCGTTGTGATCAATGTTCGTTCTCCTCCACTTTTTCTGACCCCCAGCAGTGGCATTGGCTTCTATTCCTATGCAAATGTTTAGAACCTAAACCCCGAAATGTGTTATGTGCCTGTCATTGGCATTGAAGATCGAGGGTTTTTTGAGGTATTTTCCGCTCGATTTCCTTTTCGCACGGGTCTGGTGTCAATGAATAAGCAATGAGGGGACCCCAAATTAGACCCGTTTAGTTCCCTCCCGTGTTTGCCATTAAATTGATATCAATTGCTCGACGTTTTCAAACTGATTCCCATTCCCTGAAACGCACTTCCAACTGTCCTCGATAAGGTGCGATAAGAAAAGGTCTTAAGAGACAGCTGAGACCACACCTAAGCTGGAGTAAATTGGGGACAACATAATCAACGAAAGCGGATGCGACGACTTTGCTTTCTACGAGTACTTACTCTTATCACTTATCAATTACCGAAGCAATTACGAATTATTTGCCGCAAACACAAAACTGTGCTATTATTAAAACATGAGTTATCAAACAAATCTGCAGTACGTCAGGCATCAAATCAAATACTTATACGCCTATATGAATCGCATTCATTAATTACCAATTTGATTGCCACGAGTGTGGAGTCAATGGCATTTAATCAAGTTTAACATTAATTCAGTTATATTATAATGCGCAGTTAAGCTATTTTCCTTTGTTCCGAACAATCCAACTATAAAAAATCGCCATATTAAATAAAAAGAGCTATAACCAGTTGAGAATTATAATCTGAATGGCCCTTATAGTGCAAAAACACTTCAGAACGGACTTTGATCCAGGATGGACATCCCATTGAGTTAATGGTTTAAAGCAATCGTTAAAAAATTTTAATACAGGTAGAAAAATGTGTCTACCCTGTAGTTAGATAACGGGTATATTATAGTCAAGGGACTGCAGTAGTTGTGATGGGGTTGCAGGAAGTTGGTTGTTGCCTGTTGTGGGGTTGTCATTGTTGTTGGGGCACTCAATGTTCCCATAGCAGAGTTAGTCGTCGTCGCAGTAGAAGCTGGAGCACACGTTGTTGCCGTTGGAGACTAAACGTTCTTTGTCGTTGTCCTTGGAGCCTCGGTTGTGGTTGGGGAACATGTAGTCGTCGTAACTTCAGTCGTTGTCGTTGTTGGAGAGCATGTTGTCGTCGTAGCTTCATTTGTGGTTGTTGGGGAACACGTTGTCGTTGTTGGAGAACACGTTGTCGTTGTAGTTGGGGAACACGTTGTCGTTGTTGGAGAGTATGTTGTCGTTGTTGGAGAGCATGTTGTCGTTGTAGCTTCAGTCGTCGTAGTTGGGGCACATGTTGTAGTTGTTGGAGAACACGTTGTCGTTGTAGCTTCAGTCGTCGTAGTTGGGGCACAGGTTGTCGTTGTAGCCTCAGACGTCGTAGTTGGGGAACACGTTGTTGTTGTTGGAGAGCATGTTGTCGTTGTAGCTTCAGTCGTGGTAGTTGGGGAACACGTTGTCGTTGTTGGAGAGTATGTTGTCGTTGTTGGAGAGCATGTTGTCGTTGTAGCTTCAGTCGTGGTAGTTGGGGCACACGTTGTCGTTGTAGCCTCAGACGTGGTAGTCGGGGAACACGTTGTCGTTGTTGGAGAGCATGTTGTCGTTGTAGCTTCAGTCGTGGTAGTTGGGGCACACGTTGTCGTTGTAGCCTCAGACGTCGTAGTTGGGGAACACGTTGTTGTTGTTGGAGAGCATGTTGTCGTTGTAGCTTCAGTCGTGGTAGTTGGGGAACACGTTGTCGTTGTTGGAGAGCATGTTGTTCTTTCCTGGTACAGATCCATTAACATTTTTGATCCTGGCCTACTGATTGTGTGAGCAGATCCGTAGCAGATAGTGACGGATGCCACGAGGCCCAGAAGGATAAAGCTGACTGAAATGGAAGTTTTAGGGTAGGGTTCTCTTAAACTAGTCAAAGGTCCACTTACATAGACTCATCGTATATATGCCCCTAACTAGGCTCGGTTTCTTTCCCTATGCAAATGGTAAGGTACGGGTTTGTGAAAAATGTTTCCTTTTCCTGATATTATCATTAAAGATTAAGCGCAGTGGTAGTTACCGCTGGGGTCCTGTGTAATTACAGCAGTTGAGTTCCCTCCGTGGGTGCCGTTAAAATGATATTAATTAATATACATTTTCTTACCTATACACATTTTCTAAAACCCATTTTCAACTGTTCCTGATAAGTTGCGATAAAAAGATATTAAAGGAGATCTTGGAACATACTAAGCTGGGCTTATTTGTGGACAACATAATCATAGAAAGCGGATGCGACAGCTCTACTTTCGACTCACTCTTATCATGAAGAAGGTTTTGCTATTATTAAAACAGGAGGATCAAACATACTAGTACGACAGAAAATGAATCTTTTTATCAATTCATATAATATGAGTTAAAGTCATTTAGTCAAGTGTAAGAATTACACACTCTCTAACTTACTTTACTTACTCTTACTTCAACTAAGAGATAGAAATTTTATCACCGCCAAAGTTAACAACCAAAGTCATAACTAGTTTTAGGGCTGAACTCTGAATGGCCCTTAACACATTAGAACAATAATCTATTGATCTTCTGATTTGAAAAGGTAAATCCCGTTTAAGATTATTATGCTGTTTATTAAGTAGGTGGTGGTTACTGTTGGTTACGGATACAAGTTGCAATACAAGCTCTGGCCTCATTCCAGTTGATTCGACGTAGCCAAAGAGGCTTAGTTACGTTGAGCAGGGCAGTTCAGCACCTGGCTGCGGGGAAGGCATTCTCCAGCCTCCGAATCATACCACAGTCCGGCGCGGCACTTGCGCAAAAGGCGACGTCCACCGCGGCACTCATAATACCTCCTGCAATGATTCGGGTCTTGGATTATAGTGTTGTCAGCACGTCCAACGCACATGGCGCTGGATCCGAGCGGGAGGGTAACCTTGGTGGAGCTGTCCAAATTAGCGAAGAGATCCTTAATTGGCTTTGGAATCAACTTAGCGGGAGCACTGTCATCACGCTTAGTGTCGCAGGCCGGTGTGGTTGTTTTTTCGCAAGGTGGTGTAGAAGTTGTGGTGGGATTGCAAGGAGGTTTTGGCTTTGGAGTAGTTGGCTTACAGGGGGGCTGTCGTTTGGTGGTCGTTGTTGTTGGAGCTGGGGTAGGAGCCGGAGTTGGAGCTGGAGTCACCTCAGGCTCACATGGAGAAGGTGGCGCTGGAGTTGGCGCCGGAGTCGGGGCTGGAGTTGGGGCTGGGGTTGGTGCTGGAGTCGGGGCTGGAGTTGGGGCTGGAGTCGGGGCTGGAGTCGGGGCTGGAGTTGGAGCTGGAGTCACCTCGGGCTCACATGGAGAAGGTGGCGCTGGAGTTGGGGCTGGAGTTGGAGCTGGAGTTGGGGCTGGAGTCACCTCTGGCTCACAGGGAGAAGGTGGCGCTGGAGTTGGGGCTGGGGTTGGAGCTGGAGTCGGGGCTGGAGTTGGTGCTGGAGTCGGGGCTGGAGTTGGCGCCGGAGTCGGGGCTGGAGTTGGGGCTGGAGTTGGTGCCGGAGTTGGTGCTGGAGTCGGGGCTGGAGTTGGCGCCGGAGTCGGGGCTGGAGTTGGGGCTGGAGTTGGTGCTGGAGTTGGTGCTGGAGTCGGGGCTGGAGTTGGGGCTGGAGTTGGGGCTGGAGTCGGGGCTGGAGTCGGGGCTGGAGTCGGGGCTGGAGTTGGAGCTGGAGTTGGAGCTGGAGTCACCTCGGGCTCACATGGAGAAGGTGGTGCTGGAGTTGGGGCTGGAGTTGGAGCTGGAGTTGGGGCTGGAGTCACCTCTGGCTCACAGGGAGAAGGTGGCGCTGGAGTTGGCGCCGGAGTCGGGGCTGGAGTTGGTGCTGGAGTTGGGGCTGGAGTCACCTCCGGCTTACAGGGGGGTGGCGCTGGAGTTGAAGGAGCCGGGGTCGAAGGTTGGTTGGGTTTACAGGGCGGCTGTTGTGGGGAGCTTGTGGTCGTTGGAGCCTCTGTCGTTGTGGTAGTTGGGGCCTCAGTTGTTGTCGTCGTAGGGGCCTCGGTTGTCGTCGTCGCCTCAGTTGTTGTCGTAGTTGGGGCCTCAGTTGTTGTCGTCGTAGGGGCCTCGGTTGTCGTTGTAGCTTCAGTGGTTGTGGTAGTGGGGCCTCGGGTGTTGTCGTCGTTGTTGCCTCAGTTGTTGTCGTAGTTGGGGCCTCAGTTGTCGTGGTAGTTGGGGCGCACTTTGTTGTTGTCGTTGTCGCCTCAGTTGTTGTCGTAGTTGGGGCCTCAGTTGTTGTCGTCGTAGGGGCCTCGGTTGTCGTTGTCGCCTCAGTTGTTGTGGTAATTGGGGCGCACTTTGTTGTCGTTGTAGCTTCAGTGGTTGTGGTAGTGGGGGCCTCGGTTGTTGTCGTCGTTATTGCCTCAGTTGTTGTCGTAGTTGGGGCCTCAGTTGTTGTCGTTGTCGCCTCAGTTGTTGTGGTAGTTGGGGCGCACTTTGTTGTTGTCGTTGTCGCCTCAGTTGTTGTCGTCGTAGGGGCCTCGGTTGTCGTTGTCGCCTCAGTTGTTGTGGTAATTGGGGCGCACTTTGTTGTCGTTGTAGCTTCAGTGGTTGTGGTAGTGGGGGCCTCGGTTGTTGTCGTCGTTGTTGCCTCAGTTGTTGTCGTAGTTGGGGCCTCAGTTGTTGTCGTAGTCGCCTCAGTTGTTGTGGTAGTTGGGGCGCACTTTGTTGTTGTCGTTGTCGCCTCAGTTGTTGTCGTAGTTGGTGCCTCAGTTGTTGTCGTTGTCGCCTCAGTTGTTGTGGTAGTTGGGGCGCACTTTGTTGTTGTCGTTGTCGCCTCAGTTGTTGTCGTAGTTGGGGCCTCAGTTGTTGTCGTCGTAGGGGCCTCGGTTGTCGTTGTCGTTGTCGCCTCAGTTGTTGTGGTAGTTGGGGCGCACTTTGTTGTCGTTGTAGCTGGGGCACAAGTTGTTGTTGTCTTTGGTGCCTCCGTTGTCGATGTCGTAGTAGTTACTTCGTTTGCACATGGAGGGGTGGTCGTGCGCCTGCATGGAGGCCTGGTGGTGGTGGCCTGACACGGCTTCTTTGGAGATTCCGGCTTTGGCCTACTAATTCTATGGGCAGATCCCTCGCAGATAGCGGCGGATGCCACGAGGGCCAGAAGGAAAAGGGTTGCTGCAAGGTTGGGGCGGTGATTTTGAGGAGTCCTTTGACAGTATTCAATGAGTCACTTACACAGATTCATCGAATATTTCGGGCGGCGCAAAAGGATAACTAACTGCAGTTGGCTACTTTACCGCTTTCGCTTCGGTGCTCTGACAACTGACCCATCTGCAGCTTCTTTTTATAGCCATACCGTTAGAAGTGTAAAATGTTTTGGGCTACCGGGTTACAAGTTACACATTTCCCTGATAACTTCTAGCCAATTTGCAAAGTGCAGTCAGCCAGAGTGTTCTAATCAAGTTATGCAATACACTTTTACCATTTCTAACCGTGGTTTAGATAGCATTCATATTGCATAATAAATGTACTCTTGACCTTTATTTTTACCGAACTTTCGGAAATTTATCCTTTGGCTAGACTTTTGGTTAAGACCTGATTTTTAACACTCATTATTGGAAAGCTTTTGAACATATTATGATTGCCAGAGTTTTGCCAGTGTAACAAACTGAAGCTAAATTTCTCTTTCTGCAACAATCTTAAGATTTTTTTGTAACATCTCAAAAGTTTCGCTGTCGAATTTGATAATGGGCAGGCACACTTCAGCTGTCTACCGATAACAAGTCTTGTCATATATGCAGATATACTTATATATTATCTGCCTTTGTATATCGGAAGCTAGCGCCCACAAAGGGGCCACGTCTCCCAAGTCACCCTCACGCCACAGGTCAAAAACAAAGGCAACCCTGAAACGATTTCTGATAGCCAGTGATAAGTCGGGCCGAACAATAAAGTCTGTCAATATAGAAGGCGGTTACCACAAACTTACGATTAAAGACTTTGGCTATCGAACTGATTACAAGGTGAGTCACGGCGGTAAGAAGTATAGGCCATCGAAATAGCAGTTTTCCCATTCGGACGCATGTTGTAATCATCATCCGAATACCTCATGCGCAATAAGTGGGTTCGCATTGCTGTTGGTCAAAACCGGTTCTTTGTTGCCTCAGCCCAAGCTTTATGGCTTAAACACAAGAGCAGAGCGGCCCAAACGAAAGGAAAATCTTGCTCAAGAATTTTGCTTCGGGCAGACATGGGAATCTAACAAAAAGCAAAACGGGCAACAAGTGGGTGGCCAAATCGTTGGCATGTAACAAAGAAACGCATCAATTTTGCTGGCTTCTACAGAAAAAAGTATTCTATTCGTCAAAGAAATAGATTTTTTAGTCTACACATTTTCCTTTCAGTGCACGGTACCTGGGACAAGTATGCGGAAGACGGGAAGTCATATTTCCAGCTTTTGTTTCAGGTTGGACGATGAAAGGGGGTCTCGACAGTCCAAGTTCAAATTGTACTCGTAATTACATACATTGAGGGTTTCTGTGGGGACCTCGAATACAATACTAATGTCTCTGCACGGCGCCCAAGGTGAAATAATGAAATCGAACATAAATTCAGTGGCACAGCTTGACGACCAATCAAATTTCATTGCACGCAGTCTTAAAGTCACAATGCGAATTCCAATTAACAAGGGCTTCTCTTTGAACATCCTGCAGGGCGTACATGTACTAACGTGCACCAAATGAATACGGCAAATATTGTCTATTGGGAGGGCAAACAGTTTAAAGTCAAATATGTGGACCCAGCCCTTCATCTCCCGTTCAGAGGCGCATTGTTTGCACCATTATGAGGAGATAGTTGCCTTCATGTCAAGATAAGATGTTGCCATAGTTCCGGCCAGCAACAATGCAATATGGCTTGCAACGCCAGCAATTTGTGGGTACTCATCTGGCATTGTTCACTGGGAATCGTTAGATACCAAGCTGGGCTTAAGTTCCTTGACTTAGCCCACTCTTAACCCAGGAGATTGTCTCATGAAAGCTATTAGATTGTCTTGTTCATAGAAAACTATTTATTGTATATTTACGTCTACATACACAACTACAAAGTGGAAAAAGTCACATCAATCAATTTTGATGTGAATTGCTTTAATCAGGACTACTAACAAATTTATGTACGTACAGATATGAGTGAAGAAACCCACGTGCATTGCTAATAGCAAATAAATCATAAATCATTTAATTAACACGCCGCATTTCCATTGCCAAAAATTGTAAGTAGGAAGGCAAAAAGGGGGCCAACAACAAAATTGGGAAAAGGGGAATGGTACATGAATGTGCGAACTGAAAAAAAGTGGCGTGATCACTATAAATAAAACAATAAAAGAACCGCCAACAGATATACCCAAGCAACAGGCGAACGCACGATAAAATCAAGAGTCAAAACAAAGACAAATTGCGAAATTAGTTAAGAATGCAGAGATATGGAAATCGTTAGAGAAATAACAAACCAAAATAAAAACAAAACAAACAAAAATGAAAGTAATTAATACGAGATGATTACTTCATCATAGACAATTTATGATTTATTGTGCATCGCAAATACCCCAACCGAATATAAAAGTGAAGGGTATGCCAACAACCGTTAGAGGCGCCAAACAGCTGTCAAAAGCAGAGAATATAACGAAGACCGCAAAACAGACGACAAAAGCAAAACCAACGAGTTCAAACAACTGCGCCAACCCAAACTCAAGGTCACAAAAATAATAATAATAATAATAAAAATAATATAATGCATAGGTGGGCGGTGGCAGAACTAGGGGGCGCAACAATTGGCTTGGCTCGCCCTTTATCTCTATATATATTATACTTTTTTTATTGACTTGGCATGCACTACGATTTCAATTGATATTTGCTGGCTATACAGCGTCTTTACTTGCCTTTTCCGTTTCTTTTTTATTCCGATCCCATCAACCGAACCGGTTAAAAACTTCCTCAGCAACGCAAATGTTGGGAAATACGTTGTACATATTTTTATTATATATATGTAAGTATATGCCAGTAAAACAAGCAAAACAGCGATGAGTTGTTTATTGATGTTTATTAATAAAATTATCGTACCACATAGTACAATGGCAGCGGGAAGATTATCAACAAGGTCTTCAAAAATAAAATAAAGTTAAGATGAATAAAATAACAACAATAAGTGAAATTTCAATGTATTTTTTTAGTAATCAAGTAATTATTTTAGGAGTACTGCTTATTTTCACAAGCATTAAACTTATATAGGAATATAACGTATAATCTTGCCCTCGACTGTAACAAGAAAGTGCCGGGCGTGGGATGAAACTCAAGACTGCGAGAGAGTGAAGCAAAACAAAATGTTGAGAATAAACCACAAATGACCGGCCGAGACTGCATCATTGGCCATTAACGCCTCTCGCGATACTATTGAGAATATTTTTTTTTTACTTTTTAAGTACTATATGGATGCCTTAAACGTGGGGCGATTCCACGGAACAATTGGCCAATTCACCGGCATTTGCGCAGTTGCGTGCTGCGGCCTTCGCTACGAATTAGCGTAAAACGAAAAAAGCGAATAAAATATCAGGCGCAGCGATTTCCAAAAAAGTGTCGCCCACCCACGAAAACCCCATTACGGAGTACAGGGGACTATGCTTAAGATAAACTTATAAAAGTTCCTTCAAATTCATTCTTTGAATGAGTGATAAAGGGAATTAAAAAAGTTCTATGACTAAATTTTGTACATATTTTGTGTATCTGGTTAACTTTTGAAAAACAATTGTTCTTCTTATACCCTCAATAGAACATTCACTGTTTTGACTGACTCATTCGGTCGACATCAGCTGAGTCAAAACAACAAGAAATCGGCTAACCAATACACGAACAAGCTGTTGATATTTGTTTGCAAACAAAAGAAGCGCTAAAAATTCAATTATCTTTGATGAAGAGCGGGAATCAGAGATATATATGTGAATATAGTAGGGGGCCAAGTCACTCAAATTGGATTTGATAAAGACAACTGCCAGATAGCTGAATTAACACATGTTTTCTGTCAGTGCGCTTGTGTTTTTTTCCTTACATCGGATGTTGGCATTAGGTCATCGGAATTGAAAAATATGACGATTACGTACGTGTGTATGTCACTTGATTTGGGCCAGAAAATGCCTCCGTATTCCGTATGAATCACATTTCTATACGCCAAGCCAGCTGCAGTTATGCAAATTGCACGATGCGGCAAACGAATGGGGTTTAAACATGGGGGGTAATGGTAAGTAAAGCTAGGTAATAAGTGTGCCTCTGTGACACTCTCTGTGAAGAGAGTAGATTAATCACAATGCCCCCCTTAAGCCCCACCACAGCATTAAGTGATGCAAAACATTTTAAATTTAGCGAAATCAACGATGCGTCAGTCACAATAGTAATTTCAAAACTTAACGCTAGACAGCTTGCGGCATGGAAAATTCCACTGACAGTTCTTGCCAACTGATAAGCTCTTCATATAATTCAAGTTGTCTTAATTACATTTAGAAAGACATACAAAAACTACAAAGTCTGTAAAATATAACCCAAATGCCAAATGCGATTAGCTGCCAAATGTGGCGAACGTAAATATCTTTAAATACAGTGAACACTCCTATCATTGGTTTAAAATTACTAACTTAATAAACATGTTTGTTTTTAAAGCTAATATGTTATTTGTAATATATGTACATTAATTCTTTTAGATAGAAACCATAAAAATATTTGTTCGCTTAAAATAAGTCTCAGAGATGATAGTTACCTCCATGGATTTCCTACTGTATACATAATCTTTGTTTGGGCAAACGGCAATGGAATTTATTTACCTAGCCGTTGCCAGGTAAATGTAGTTTATTTCCCAGAAAATACATTCCTTTCCTGCCAAAGGAAATCCCCTTTTTGTCTTTTAGAAAATGCAATATTCTCAAGAAGAAAGATTTATATAGCGGCTTTTATCCCGTATGATTGGCACACAAACACTCGTATACACACACGCACACGTGCACACGCCCGTGTTGGAATGAATGGTAGGGGGAATTCAAGAACCCATGGACTTTTGTCTTAAATAGTATCACTTACCAAGTCGACCGATAGCCCAACCATATCCGCCAGCCAAGTGAAGGTCCGGCTACCGTCGTAGCAATCATTCTCGACGAATTTCGGCGGTTCTAGCATTTTTATATCTGTTTTCTTTATCCCGTTCTTTTCTGTTGCGTTGTTTTTGCAGTCGCTGTCGGTCGTTCCGAAATCAGCGCTTCATTGGGAAAACTTCACGATTCACAGACACTTTTCTGGTATTCCTGGGCACCGCCGAATTAACGAGGTCCCCAAACTGGCCGAGAGGGGGCGCGCGGGGCGTTCACTTATAATTTTGTGCAACAATTTTGGAAGTTTTTGGCTGTTCAGATCGGATCTCCCGTGCCCGTGCGTATAAAAAATTCGAAACGCAGTAGTGATGGGCGCTCGGTGTGTTCTGTTTGGCTAGGGATGGTTCTCACAGTCGATAGTGTGGTGACTCGATATCTGGTTAACAGAGCTCTAAGTGACTGATATGTGCATTCAATATATCGGATGTATAATTTAAATCTAGGTTGTTTCCACTGAGATTACGAATGAATTATATTCAACGAATAAACCCTGCCTAATTAGATTTTTCGAAACTAAAATAAATTCTTGTGTCAGATATGTTATAAAAAGATTAAATATTTACGAGAATAAAATATAACATTAGAAAGGCGCTGTTTCGATAGGCAATGTTAACAGCACATCTGACCGCTGTAATTAACAGGGTTGCCAGGAAACTATCGAAAAGCTGTCATCTCTAATTCGCGCACCAACTGCTGAGTTTTTCTGGAATTATTATTAAAATAAACCAAATTACAAGATGTTGGGTCGCAGCAGTGTGATTGCACGTAACTTTTCCCAGTCGATGGTTCGCATGGGCGGACACGGTGGAGTTCCCGGCGAGGTGAGTCCCGGAAAAAGAGTGCTAGCCATGGGTTACATAATTTTTGAGACCACATAGAATTTAATGAAAAATCAATCTTAACGGCGGAAAAACTGTTTTCTTGTTAGAACTTGCCCTTCGGTCTGACGAACAAGTACAGGATCACCGCCCTGTTCACCATCGGCTGTGTTTTGGGTTTCGGATCGCCCTTCCTGATCGTCAGGCACCAGCTGCTGAAGAAGTAAGGTGCTCCCCAGGCGACAGCAACAATAAATGTAAGGTTAGTTTTAATTTTCATATATCTTTACAACTTATTTATTAAATTATTTAATTTTCAGATGTAGCGTTAACTTGTGAGGTTGCCGGGAGGCCATTTCAATGTGTTACACCTTAAATTTAAGCGAAAAGTGGAAACGAAATAAAGTTATCCGAAACCGTATAATCGAGCGATGAATGTTTTCATTTAGTGAACTGGCAGAATAGTTATATTACAAAGACCAACCAATTGATGCTGTCTATATAAGCGGTCCCATCTAAATTGTTTTAATTTTTCCGATACTATCTAGTCGGACAATTTAACAATTAATAGTTTGTTTATAATTTAGATGATTCTGTAACCAACTTCTCTCCTAGACAGAGAAGGCAAATTATAGTAGGCTAAGAATCTAAGCGAAAGACTGTCATACATTCGCCAGAAATCGGGGATTCACTTTCTCATTTGAAAGCTATCAAATAGATTTGTATTCCAGTCTCTAAAAACTGTTTAAAATTTAGATATGTGGTCCACATTTCGTAAACCTATTAGCAAGTTTTGCGGCCCACTGAAGCGTCATGGGCACGGATATTCAGGAGGATGCCCTGGAGTGGTAAACTAAAGGAGATCGTCGCTGGTTACAAAATTTAGCATTGCAATTTCCTTCTATAGAATTTGCCATTTGGCTTGGATAGTCCTATGCGCTTCACACTGTGCTATGCAATTGCGGGAAGTCTCGGTTTTGGAGCTCCATTTTTAGTGGTTCGTCACCAGATGCTGCGTAATGTAACTGAAGATCAGTAAGTATTAGCATAGTCATCCAAAAAACATTTTATCCAAAGAGTTCGTTTTACAGCGATGAAGCTTAAACAAAAAATTGTATTAAACGTTGGTTAATAAAATGTTAAAGAGCATTGCACATTGAATTTATTGTCGTATCTACTTGTTAACGATTGGCTTGAAGGTTTTCTTTTTTACTTTAGCTAAATATAATATTCTTTCGAAAGATCAGTACAAAGATCAGCACTGGCGGCGATCAAGGAAATTCGTTAATTGACTAGGCTATCACAGGAACAAGCTACAGCTCCTCCTTGCCATCAAAGTCATATTCTTCCTGGATGGGCGACTCATCGCAGTACTTGGCCTGTTCCGAGCAGATCTTAATGTCCAGATCCTCGCCGAGCTCATCGGCCTGGAATGCCTTCACAAAGATCTCGTCATTGTCCTCAAGCACCTCGTTACAGAAGTGTCCCAAGCTCTTATTAAGATCACCATCCTGCACAAAGTCCACCAATGAGGAGTCGGGATTCATCTGTCCATTGACGATCATCTTCAGAAGTGTGAATTTACCATTGCTCTTGTAGGTGGCCTTCAGATAGTCGTCCATTTTTTCACCTAGAAGAAGGGGGAAATATTATTATTGCGATAATTAGCTTAAGTAATTATTGTGATTTCGGGATATTTCCGGAAATATACTCACAGATCTTCTCCATCAGTTCAGTGAGGAACATCTCAGATTTAACTAGTCGGACTTTCTTGCTGACCGAATTTCCCTGGGCATCCAGACGGAATCCACTGACATCGGCCATTTTATGGGAATCCTCCTTGGCTACGGCCTCCTCCAGTTCCGTCACCACAGCCTTGCACACTATAAATAATTGAAAATCAATTATCTGCAGTCCAGGGTCAACAAGTACATAACCGCCTGTTGCTGCTATGCCTGTTGGTTTCCAGTTCTTTTTTCTCACCATGACATTTGACCTCGCGCGAAGTGAAGCTATAACCTTGAGCCAAAGCCAGTAGGCCAAGCAGGATTAGCGTCTTCGTAAGCATTATTTTAATTGATCGAATTGATAATTTAAAATGTGGAAAGTAATTGCAGCGACCACGTCAGCACAGCGCGTTCGGTTTGAAAGTGCGGCGTTGATAAAGTCGAACGCTGTATTTACGGCAACGTCTTAAGAGCGACGTGGTTCTAATACTCTTTAGCGATAAGTGTGGAATTCTACTTAATTTATGCCCAAGATGAGGATGCGGGGCCGGGGACGGTGGGTTCAGGTCAGTTAGTCACAATAACTCTGGTAAATATTTCGAAGAAACCTTTTTGTTAATATATACCTATCGATAGGCTTAACTGGCAAAAATATTTTTAAGGTTACCGTCTTTTCAGATGTTGGTTTAATTTTTTGAATTGTAGTGATAATAAAAAACGCATTTAAATTAAATCTTTTGAGTATACTTAAGATGATGTTGTTTCCAAATTATTTATATTTTCTTAAACTGTTTTTTATGCTATAAGTAATATAAGTCCCTTAAAATATTGTTAAGTAAAAGCTATTTAGTTATACCAATTTAATAATATATTATTTTAATTGTTTTTAATTATATTTATAATGTTAGTTATTATTTTCTCAAAATAAGTAATTATTTGATGTTTTCTAATTTATTCAGCTTTCGATATATTGAAAGCTGAATAAAATATCGATGACTAACATGGGCGCGAAATTCAAACATGCTATCCTCTCAGCATCTCAGTAATGAGAACGTCAAATCGCTTTTCGGGAGAGCTACATTGTACACATCTCGATTTTCTCTTAGTTCTAGATTAAGAACGTCTGCCATCTTGGAGACTATATAGAGGTCTGATAACTGAAGAGTCGGTGCTTGCGAGTGGTTGCACGGTTTTTGGATCGCCATGTGAAAGAAATGAAACCGCGTAATTAACCGGCAAAAGCGTTCGTAAATTTAAAGAAACCCACAAGTCGGTCGCGTTCAGTGATAATTTCTATATACTCTTATTAACCAATGTAATTGGCGTTAATTAAGTGTCGTATAGCTTGCTCTCGGCGCGTGTTTCTCTTTCTTTTTTCCATCGTTTTACTTGCAGTGTCGATCGTTTCTAGACGACTGTTTGTTCGGTTAATTGATAAGAACGAATTGTAGTCGCACTTTGCCATATATATTTATATAGCAAAAACGTAAAAAAACGGAAATGCAATGGAAATTGTTGATATACCTTTTTGTTTAAGTTGAGGTTCGTTTTTTTGACCCCGCCAAACGGAATGCGCTGATAAGTAATCATTCATTGAGCAAAACTATGAATGAATTCGTGAAACATGAAGAGTTTCTTGGAGATTATATAGATTTCTATGCTTTTTTTTATTAAATGTTTAAAAATATTATTATTATTTTATGTTTTGAGTAATGTTTTTGATAATGCTATTATATAAGCATTACAACCGCGATCAATAGCAACGGCATTTTCTTCCCTTGATGCAGACACCTTTCAAACCCCGTGTTGAGCAATTGGCAGTACATTTTTCAATTTGGCAGTTGGCTCGTTTCTGGCGGACTTGCTCCCTCATATCCTGGAAGAGATTTTCCTGTAGTTCCTGCTGCAGAGGAGGATCCTCTGGAATAGTTTCCGCCTGCATTACGCAAATCGCAGCTAATGTTAAAGCCAGAATAACCGTGATCTTCATTGTTGGATCACAAAACGAGAGCTGTTCTACCTGGTTAAGCTATCAATAGTCTTTTATAGTCAATGGAATCGCTACCGGTTTATGATAATGAATCTATTTATTTGTTGTAAGAGTTGGAAATAGCATTGTTTATTTAAAAATTATGCGGAATACACAATACGAGTAATCGGTTTCCGTTTAGTGCATAACTGGACACTGACAAATTAAGGCGTTATGTGAGCTAAACGTTATTGCAAGTTCTAAAAATATAAATTTTATCCGAACAAAATAGACTTTGTTAAATTTAAAATGATTTCTTTCCATTATAGTTCATAAACCGACAATATCAGGTGTAGTGTCAAAATTTTTTTATATTTACAATTTTCTTTTTAATTTATTTTTTACATATTTTATTTTTTATTTATTTTTTACATCTTGATACTGTTAAGGCTTTATATATTTCCTCGTTGGTTCCGGATTTAAGTCAAATCAGTTACGACAAACGCAAACGGCCTTGTCGTTGCAGTAACCTCCTTTGAACCCCTTGGCAATACAGTGGCCAGCACAGGCAGTATGGTTCCAATTCCACTTGGAGAGGAGGTCGCATGTGGCCCGCTTTTGGCGACTGTGCTCCACAACCTCCTGCTGGGGATCCTTAATCAGCAAAGGATTTTCAGCTGGATACGTTTCCACATCGCTCACAGGCTGAGCCTGGACCATACAAGCCACCAAAGCTAAGGCGATAGCCAAGAATGCGAAGAACTTCATGATGGAATATCAGTTGAGATACTGTTGTGGCAGATCGTGGTTTTACTGAGTTTATATAGCGATCTGTCAGTCAGATCGATACGCCCAGGGACTCCCATTCGGTGACTTTCTTTCCCATTGTTTCGTTTGCCATGCAGGAACACGCGTCTCGGGGGTTTTTAAAATTTTTAGATCACCGACAAGGGGAGAAACCCTTGTCGAGGCTATTAGTTCATTTGTATAACCTTCAGAATATTGACAATTTGTATAGATAAGAGCAGAATATTACTGCAAAAGCCAGAATTGGCAAGCAGTCATTTTAATTTATAGGGATTCTTTATGAACCTTAAATTTTGAGGCAATAAAGTATAAAAAACATATCAAAAAATTAAACTTCGATACATAAATTATATTTATGGATAAAGATTTCAAAACCATATTAAATTTAATCTTTAAGAAATTGATATTTTTCATTTCAAGTTATTCAAAGCTAAACGGAAGTAAGATGGGTGTCTTTTTTGGCACTCACAAATAGTTAAAACTCGCTGATCCAGGGGAATCCGGCAATCGCCTTGATTTCTAGCTAACCGTTTAATTGTGCCCCAGTTGAAGGGCTGCACACATAGATACACAGTTGCAAGAGAGATACCCACAGATACGAAGATACATAAACACTGGCGACAATAAATAATTTCTACCGAAAAGTCTCTTCATAAAACCAAGCAAAATAAACAAACAACAAGAATCACACAATGATTAGTTGGGAACAACACAAAACGGCGGCTGGGGCGGGTGTACTTGTATCTGAATCCCGTATCTGCGCGTATATACGTGTATCTATATCTGTATCTGCATCTGGTTCTGAACCCAGTTGAGCTGAGCCGACAATCCCGATCGAATCCCACGACCGAGGCTTTTTTAGTTTGCTCTGCGCTCCTTGGTTGCCCATTGCCCGATGCCCGTTTGGCCGTTGCCTGTTTACCTTTGTTATCGACCAGGTTGTCTTGTCTTGCATTTTGGCGTCATACTGTCTGCCAGTCCACTCCACTTGAGTTATTACCCCGCCCCTTATAACCGTCTGGAGTCTTCTTCGTTTGCCCATCTTCACACTTAGAAAAAATAACATCAAAATTTATGGTAAAATTAGATCTTTTACTTTTCTACAATTTTAGATCACAAAAGTTATATTTATAAGCTAACGTTTTCTAAGCAGAAAGAAAAATTGATAAAAAATTGTATTTCTAATTCAATTTTTCTTAAAGTGCATCTGCGATCTTCGAAGAAGACCACAAAACAGATTGTGGCACAGCCGAAAACAAAACGTAGACAGGGGCGGGTGTTCGAGGGGTTGGGGTTTCAAGATAGGAGGAATAGAAGGGGGGCAGTTATCGCCGCCGTCAGACTGTCTGGCAGGTTTCACACCGAAACGAAGACGGAGACCGGCAACTCCACTTTGCCTCCTTCTCTTTCTCCTTCTCAAAATCCTCTCCAGCCGGACTCCTTGGCCAGCGGCTCTATAAATCACAGGAGCGGGGCCCTCGACGGCTCACGTTTTCCCTCGACCCTCTGCCCTCCGACGCCTCTGCCCCTCCCCCGCTGGCTAAGCAGCTGGTGCAACTGTTGGCCGCTTTGTTTTAGATGTTTTTTGTTGCTTTTGTTGGTGAGGCAACCTCTTGAGATGCACAAAGGAAGATAAATTTCACACGCACACACAAGTGCTCTCACTGTCTGCCGGTGTGTGAATGTGATCGTTTTTATGTTGCTACAGTAGGGCATCTATAAATTAGACATCCCAGCATAAATTAATGTTATTCTTGATCATTTAAAACCTATTTTACTGCATTATGAAAGAACTGATAAGTTAAATTAAAGCGTTCCGAAAGAATAAGCGAACTTTTTTACGAATATATGTTGGATTCTCATCTTTGTTTTAACTATAATGTAAAATTTACAAGTACAACTGTCAGAGGTACCACTGTGTTGCCTGTCCAGTCTCCAAGAGTCGGAGTGGCAAAGATAAGATATTGGAAGCGACACGCCAGACACTCTGGCGGCGGCGTCGGGATCCCGCTCTCTCCGCCGATCTCTCTGCTCGATTCCGATTCCCATTCCGATTCTTCGCCCACAACCTCTCTCGGGACCGATCCTCTCTCTTGGGTTTTGGGCCACTCCACTCCAAGGCAAGGCAAATGGCCAGTCGTGTGTGGAACTCGGCTACGATCGGTTTGGTTTTTTGGCTTGTGTGCTTCGCAGCTCAGTGCTCCTCGCTCCTCTCGCTTCTTCTTGATCGTTTTCGGGCGGTTTTTCCAATCGAAACGAACCAAAAATCGCACACATAAAGACCCACATTATATAAACAGAAGATCTACAACACCTTAATGCACACGCACACACCTCTCCTACTATAAATAGCCCCACGGAAATCGGTAAATAAATAAATCGGAGAGCCGCAAAGTAAAAGTTCTAGGAAGAAAATCTAATTGCGACTTTGCGAAAAAGATGGTGAAATAAACGAAAAACTTGTATTATAATGAGTGAAGAACTGCACTTAATGTAATAAACACGCGTACTTAATTAATTCGTAAACACAAGAACAGTTAATTGACGAATTCGAACTGCGAAGTGAAATGTTGGCGAGATGTGTTTTGTTTGTCACCTGGCTGGCGGTTTTCGTGACTGGAAAAAGTGACGATCAGTTGGTAAGTTTTTACAAAAAAGTTTTCAAAAAACTATACAAAAATTTAGCAGTTTTAAAAAGTGTAATAAAGATATTGGAAATCATGTTAAAGAAGAAATAGTCCTTGATCTGATTAATAGCAAGTATCATGCTCAGGCTTTTAATCCCCGTAAAGTATTTCTGTGCTTGTAAGCGAAACCTGCCAAACTTTCTGCCAAGACATACAAATGTTCACTTCGTAAATCCCAAGAAAACACTTGAATATTCCAGGTATCAAAGGTACCAAAAGTCAGACAAAGAAGAATCTTCTTCTTTTACTCTTTCTACAGCTTGTCCGCCGCCGCGCTGTCTGCCAAACTCCGAAAAGAGAGTCTGCCGGCTCCGTTCTTCTCTCCACTTCTGATCTTCGCCTCGCCTCTTCCCCTGTCTTCAAACCCGCACACCTTGATTTTTGTTTTTGTTTCATCTGACCGACGGACGAACGTGTTTCTTGTTCCTGCAGAAAAAAGAAGAAGAATAATAATAAGAGGAGGTGCAAAAAGGAGAACAAAAAAAATGGTCACAAGTCAAAAGCGATTTCTTTTCCCTGCCTTCTTGCTCCTCTTTTTTTGGATACCCTATAAAAAGGGTATTATAATCACAATAGAACATGTGAAAAGCCCAGTCTTTTTCTTTAAAGGGTTATAATTTTTGAACTTATTTTTGCAATATCCTTTATAAAGAGTATCAAATTGTCATTATCTCTTTGGTTGTGAAGATAAATAGCTGATAAAATATCTACCATCAGCTAAAGAATCCTTATCTTTAAGGGTATTCCAACTTCGATCGACAAACCTGACAGTCCTTTCTTATTTTAATACTTTTTTTTTGTAGTTTTTGCCAATTCCACTAAGCTGGCTGATGATGACAAAGTGTGAAGAAGTATTTAAAGTGTGGAGCTTGTTCTTTTGATTCTTCTCTGCCTATCGCAGCCTCTTCTTCACCTCCTCGTTCGGCGAGCGTGAGAACTGTCAGTCAATAATTTTGTCGTTATCTTGGTAACAATCCTTGAGCTGTCTCCGTTTATAATTTGTGGCTCAGAGGGTATGGCAAAGAAGTGGCGGTGGAGGGGGTAAGGGAGACAACAGGGTGCTCCAGGTGGGGTATTTTTAATCCAGGCACGTTTACGGGATAACGCCCTATTTAAAACTTAGATAATCACAAACGAAACTGTCATTTGCATTCCCAATCAGACATTCCCTATTGCAGTGGTATGGTTAAATTATATTTCCAAGGGGTTTTATATATTTAAGGAGCTAAATGCTTCTTACCTTCAGCATAAACTTAAACCGGTTGAGTTTTAGGGGAGATACAATAAAATCAATTATAAGTATTTAGTTCTTCCATAACCAAATTTGTTAATTGGCTAATGAGGTATTCATGTTCAACTTAATAACCAGATGCCCCTCACACCCCTCAGTTCTGAGAACAGTCATCCGATCTGCCGATTGCAGCAATATATATAGTATGTATATCTGCTGTGTTTATATACTTTTCGATCGATATCTGTCTGTGCCCAGTCGGGAGTCAAAAAATCACCTGCACACTCCGATTTCCAAGCAGCGCGTGCTTCGCAGCCCACAAAAAGAATTCGAATTGTTTACAGACATTCTACATTATTTGTGTATATATGTTGGGGGCAACAAGATAACACTGGGACAGGTATTATTTGTGCTTCTCATAATTGTATAACATTTCTTGCCGAGCTTCTGGTGTTTAGTATCATTGGGGTACATATTGATTTTTGTTGGGTGTCTACATAAAAGCATTAAATTACTAAGCCGGATTATAACATATTGATAGACTTAAGCCCTTCATTTGATACTTTTTGGAATTTGTGGACAACTTTCTCTGTTCTAAAAATGTGACCCAAAGAACATGTTCTTTTTCATAGATATCTGAACAAACCTTTGTTATTTTATAGGGTTCCTAAGTTCTTTTAGTAATAATCTTAAGATAAAACATGTTTTTGGTATAACTAATATTTATATTACAAAAACTTAACCTATTTTAACCCCAAGTCAGAGCTCTGTAAATTCCATATATTATACAAAAATCTTGCAGATATTCGACATGGTGCCATAAAGCTCACATACTTTAACTACCATGAGCACCTCAATTAGTATGCTCATATCTTATCCGAAACATGTTTCAGTTATGGGGCATTTAGATGGCTTGACGCATTTCACTTTTCAATAACAGCGAAAACTAATTAATGTCCGTCTGACAAGACAAATAAATATCTGTGGGCTGGCCGCAGCAAATTGGCGACAAAAGGCGCTGCACTGGCAAATCCCAAAGTGCTGGGCCTCCCCATCTATATATATATTTATATATATATATATACAGACATATATATACAGATATCTACGATTTACATACACGAGTATTTGTGATTTTGTGGGCTAAACAAGAATTCGCGCACTCAGCGGCAAGTTGGTCGAGAGCAGCAGGCTGCCATAATTTTGGTGCGGATTTCGGGGCATTCGAGTTATGGGCCTGACAACTTTGATTTTCACATTAGCCGGCTATTGCAGGTAGCCCACCCCCAAAGCCCCCCTTTTCCATACAACCATCCATCCATCCAACCCCCCTCAAAATGCCGTCCCTGTCCCTGTCAGACATTGCCAACATTCGTATTCCAGTCAGCGTCAAAAGCCCAGACGCTTGGCGACTCGCAGACTTCGCCATAAGTGCAGTAAATCATTTTACGCGTGTTTGACTACCCCACCCTCCATGGAGCTACTATATGGCAGAGACTTGGAATGACACCTCCTCCACCTCTTGATCTTTACCTGCAGATGAAGCTACCCGCCTGCGCCGCTAAACAGGGCGAGTGCGATGATAACGAGGGTCCCGTCTGCGGCACCGACGGCCAAACCTATCCCACCAGGTGTCACCTGATGCGGGCGCAGTGCGGTGGCCACCAGGTGAGCCTCAAGTACAGCGGTTCTTGCAATGGTAAGTGCATTATATCATTTTATTCTTCACTAAATTTATAATCCAGAAATTTTATTGATTGATAAAAAATACTCGATTCCTTTGGGGTATAGACTGATTCTTAATGCATCTACTATTTTCAGCCTGTTTGGAGGCAGTGAAATTTGCGCGTCGTCAGCAGGAACGTGATCCGGAATACTTTGTGCCCAGGTGCAGGAAGGATGGCAACTTTGCGGCAATGCAGTGCTATGGGAAAAACGGATGCTGGTGCAGTGATAGTCAGGGTAGACCCATCGAGGATGATTCCAAGCAATTCCGGCGAAAGGGAAAGCTTCGCTGCAGAGCTAATCGACGTGACCGACGCCGTCTGGCCTCGCATCAGATTAGCTATACTCCGGATACCTCTGCCTCCAAGGGAAGTTCGGAAACAGGGTCATCTGCCCACCGACCCTGCACCAAATCGGATCGGTTACTGTTCAACAACAATCTGATGCGCATGTTCCGCAACGAGGCTCAGAGCTTTTTCCGACAACCATCTATGTCGGACTCCCATATCCTGGAGTGGAAGTTCGCCAAACTGGATACGAATGGTAATAAGCTGCTTGATCGTCAGGAGATCAGGGAACTAAAGAAGGTCCTCAGGCGGGTAAGATATCTTTGTCATTTATATTGTATATAGATTAAGTTATCCTTTTTACTTTTAAATAGAACGTCAAACCACGACGATGTGGAAGGACTTTTGGCAAATACTGTGATGTCATCAAGGACTCCAACTTGAATAGGTTGGAATGGAGCATTTGCTTTACTAAAGAGTTTCATAACCGTGAGTAAAAGTGGATTATATAGAATGGGGATAAAATAACATTTTATAGAATGTGTATTCTTTAAAATGAAAAATTGGGTTTTCCTCTCATTCCTCTCCTCGTTAAAATCTTAAATCCATTAAAAGAAGAAGGGATAATACTAACTTTGACAGCATGTTTAGCTTAAAGTAATATCATGATTCATCTTTTCGAGGCTTTAAAACATCTCCCATCTGTATGTCATCTAAATCCAGGTAGCGCTGTTGTTAATCTTCTAGCGAGCAGTGCAGCCACCGCGCCACCTCACTCTACCCACTATAGTATCCATGACACGAATGGCAATGGTCACCATCGTGGTCATATCAACACCATTGGCAGTGGAAACAATGCGCACTTGTACTCCGAGGATGTGAGTGGCAGTGATGAACACGAGGATAACTACGAGGACAGTGGAACGGGATACGGTGGTGAAGACGACGATTCGCAAGGATCGGATCTGCCCAGCTCACGAACCCACATCCCATCATTATATAGTACGTAGATTTGTGTGCAAACTAATCTAAGATATTCATTTTGAGCATGAAAAGATTACTTGATCTTAAGAAGATAGCGTTTCAAAATTATTTTTAAAAACAAAAAGTTTCTTTCGGCTTGCGAATATTCAACTCAAAAGTAGCAATCATCAATGATCATTTCAGCACTTATTTAGCATGAAACTAGATCCGATTGACCCTCATATCATATAATTTCCCTTCTGTGTTCGTTATCATTCTGCATGCTTCCAAAGGGCAGAATAAAATGTATGTTAACGCGCAAATCTTTACAGTGCTCAACTCGAAGCCAGAGGCAGCCAGTCAGGACATAGAAAATGACTCCAACTGCTGGATGGATCAGTCGATTACGATGGAGGAGCAGGGCGTAAGTCGTGGTTACACTTCGTTAAAGGAATCATCTTACTACTTACCTCACTTCACAGCACAGTGGGGCTTTTGTGCCGCAGTGCCTGCCGGATGGTCGCTATCAACGTGTACAGTGCTACTCCTCTACGTCCACCTCGTATTGCTGGTGCGTCAACGAGGATACGGGCAAGAGCATTCCGGGCACATCGGTGAAGAACATGAGGCCTCAGTGCGATGAGAATGCGGTGGTGCGACCCATGAAGGGATGCACTGAGCCGCGAAAGACGCAGTTTCTCAAAGAGTTGAAGGCCTACCTCAACACCTCACTCCTGCCCAGCAGTACAACCGGGTAGGACTGATCGGTTTCTTATAAAGTAAAGATTTGTTAATTATGAAATATTGCAGCACTAACTCAACGTGGAAGACAGATGATGAACGGATTGCCACGCTGAGCTTTGTATATCTGGACAAGAACAAAAATAAGTCTTGGGATCGTCGAGAGTGGAAGAACTTCCGGGATTTGGTCACCAGTGCCAGGTGAGTCACTATAGCAAATCATATCTTTAGAGATAATCTTTAAATATTATTCTATCCAACAGTAATCTGCGTAGATGTGGCAAGAAGATGCCGCGCTACTGCGACGTGAATGGAGACAAGAAGATCTCGTTGACCGAGTGGGTCAACTGCCTTCAGGCAACCCCGCGGGAAAGTGCCACCACAGCCAAGCCGGCACAGTCAAGTGGGTTTCCATTAATATATAAAATTATATCAATACTGAAACTGAGACAAATTCCAGATGAGACGGCCAGTCCAAAATTCCAGGGAGTAAATCCGGTGGAGCGATATCTGAAAGATTAATTGGGGAAAGATATTTCCCATCCGTGCTGCTGCTATTACTACTCATTAGATGTCGTCGTGCCATGACACACACAAAAACCACACGAAAACACATCCTACACACCACCATCCAAAATTGGGTGGATCGATTTTTGGATTAATACTGAAAATGTAGACATTTTTACAGTAAACAAGATTTTTTTTAAGAAATATAATTTCTAACTTTGGCATTTTCGAAGATCCTCATTAAAACAATATCAGTTTGTAATAATTATTGCAAATATTTTTATTTTTTAGATTTGTGTTTTGTTGTAATTATAAAAAATTGTACAAAATAATTAATTCAATAGGTATTAACATATAAATTTAAAATTACAAAAATACTTCAGCTATCAGATATGGATCAGTAAACTAATACCTTTTCTCAACATGTAACTATGTATCGTTTATGTAAAATTTCTTGTTCTTTGGTTTTAAGAGAGCTTAAGCTTATATAAGCCCAGAATTTATTGTCCATGAAATCGATCCACCCTGATCTTCACCTACACACAGACACATTCCTAGCATTAGATTCTATAATTTACATGTGTATGTTACTAATTCTTAATTAGTGTTGTAAATATTATCGGACATAAAAGTTTAAGCTTAGCTATGAGTGTACTGATATTGGTTTTAAGGCTAGTAATGGCTAGTGATGTTTGGCGCTAATCACATCCCAGTGGATTAAACGTAGTGGCAGCCGTTTTATGTCAACTTCATCCCACGTAATAACTCGCAGCAGCTGCTTGGCGGTATAGAATAGCAGAAGGATCACCAGCGTGGTCACCTCCATGATGACAAAGTGTGATATGGACGTACCGATGTCCAACCAGGAACCCTGGTTACGTACCAAGAACAAGAAATTCAGACCCATAACATCGCAGATGAGCAGCAGGCTAATGAAGATCTGCTCCTCGTGCTGGCGGACAAACTCGCTCTGGGCATAGACCACCGACATGACCAGCACAACCGGGACTAGAAGCTTTAGCAGCACTAGACCCATAATCACAAAGGGATAAAAATGGCTGAGATAGCAGCGAGCGATGTTGGGATCAAAGGAGCTGATAGAGGCTATGTTGCCGGATCCGAAAAGCGAGAAAAAAGTGTACAGCAGCAGGGTGAAAGCTAGTCGAAGCACTGACTTCTCTGCTTGCGCATTCTGGGCCTTCAGAGAAATGTTTAATTCTATGGTCAGCAACTGGACAAATACAGCCTCATATGAGGTACACAGTGTTGCGTATAGCGTTCCCAAATTGAAGCCAATCTGGGCCAGACGCAGTTCTAGTCTTGTTTCTTTGCTCTTCAAAATGGATGCGAAGGAATATATCAGAAACAACCAGCTGGCTAACTTCAACGGTAAAGGAGTTTTCAATTCACTTGAGTGGAGATAAGCACACACCATGGTCAGTAGCAGGATCAAGGCATTACAATATTTGGTGTGATTTTTGTAGCTTAATCTAGACTTCGTATTCCAAAGTGAGTTCATAAGGATCGTGATAACTCCAGCTCCAAGTAGATATCCATTCTGATAACCGACTGACAGTGGCAGTAAGGGAAAGCAGGAAAGGATCACCACCAATGCCAGCCAGGAGAAAAATTCCTTGCTCTTCCTTTGAAAATTGCTCCAACCATAGTAGCTGGCGAAGGCGAAGAAACTGAGCGAGATCAGGCGACGCTCAAAGAAAGTAAAGACCATGAGCTCCGCGCAAGCAATGATTAACACAAGCTGCCAAACGGTGGTCTTCAAGGCTGGAGCGCTATAAGCTGAAGCTGGCGAGGAACTGAAGTTGAGGTTCCAAGGTTGCAAAGCCTTAAGCCAGATGAAGTTTGGAAGCAGCAGGTAGAAGGATGTATCCAGCGGTGTTCGTTGGCTCAGCAGGAAAATAACTAGCAGGATCACAAAACATCCAAGGCTTATTCTCACCATTTTAGTGCTCTTTTCAAGGAGTAACTCCACTTTACCTGCCCTATTCCTCGAGAGCAGGCGATATAGATAGAATATCCATCCCAGAAAGGAGAAAGTGGTGCTTATTAAAAGCGCTCTACGGTAGTACCCATGGTAGTAATCGATGCCTTCAAGGGCTTGCAACATTACGAGTTGGCTTCTCGACATAGAATTTATGTACTCTCTGTTTTTGTGCAGCTTTAAAATTTCATCTTTGTATCTTTTGACTGCTTCTGTTGTAAGAATATCAAACTCGGATAAGACTGCAGCGAAAAAACCTTTCTTATGCTGCTCCTGAAGTGCCACATACTGCTCCAAAAGCTGCAAAGCGTTTAAATGCGAAGCCACGGCTTCGTACTCCTTGCTGACATTCAAGTATCCTAATGGCAACGTTCCAAAATTGTTCATTGGCGGTGGTAGACCCACCAAGGCGGACATCAAGGGTGTCAGTTGTGCCTGCTCCAGTTCGTACAGTGGCATAGCAGGTCCTTCATTGTTCGGCATAAATGTTCGGCCTTCAGGATTGGGAACCGAGCGTGAAACTCCAGCGCCCCAAAGCACAAAAGGCGTGTCCGTTTCATGTGGCGAACCAGCACCATGGGCACCTATAATATAATATATTAACTGAGAATTATTAATAGGTTTAAATTTTAGTTCCATACCCGAATCAGTCATTCCATGATCAGCAGTGACTAAGTAAGCAGTTCGCTTATCGGGAAAAATTCGCTCAAACTCCTCATATATCTGGTAAACTCCTGTCTCCGTTTTATCCACAGTCTGGCGAAACTTCGGAGCTCCCGGCTTATGCACATGACCGGCGGTGTCCAGTCCCAGGAGGTGCAGAAAGAACACCCCACCTTTGAGTCGTTGCAGGGGTAGCCTCTGTTGTTGGAGGAGCAACTTGACGCGCTTGAACACCCACTCGTCCTGTTCGTAGGCATCGTAGCCTGGCGAAAAGTCCAGATCGTCGGTGTAGGAGCGGATATGCATTTTGGTTTTGGACAGACTGGAAAACACACTGATAACATCGTCGGCGCCCCAAGCGTAAGTCTCTGAACTCCGGTTAAACAAAGTATCAAAAGCAATTGGGTTCTTTTTCCAGCCACGCAGCACTGCCGACGGATCCTCATACAGACCAGCTATAAGAGTTATGTGTCCGGGTCGGGTTTCCGTGGGCACACGTGTGCGGGACACGCCCACCACGCCTTCGCGCAAGAAGATCTCGCGTAGATGCGGTACATAACGGCAGTTCTCCTCGAAGAAGGAGGCGGCACGGAAGCCATCGGTCACAATCAGCACCAAACGATTCGCAGGCGCTTCCAATCCGTAATACAAAAGTGGTTTCTGGGGAGTAAGGCCCGTGATCACCGGTGAGCGGAAGTATATCACGAATATGGAGCCGAGGAGCAGTACGTGGACCACTAGGGCGTAAGCAATCCACATCACGGCCGGAATGTTTGTTATCAAATGTCAATCAGCTGTGAACAGTGGTAAGTAAGCGATTGAGTACGTGAAACAAACTGCTACGCAATCAGTGGTGACAGTCTCGGTGCTTGTGGAAATGTAAAATGTAAAACAGCTCCTATTTTGACAATAGGCACGATAAAAAAGCTATTATCTAAACTAAACAAAACTAGCTTCTAAAGGATACGAGTGACAGTTAATATTTGTTATTACACATTTTTAAATTGTTTGAAGCCAGGAACAATCCAAGAGGAGCAGCAGATCAGTCCAGTTAAATCGATAACCTTCCAGCTGTTTAGTTATCGGTGAGTGGGTGCCATCACTATATGTAAAAATGTCAGCGGCACGTTTATACGGAAGTTTTCGTTTATTTTCTTCGAGCACCGTTCAGCGCAATGCTGTTGGAGGCAAAAGCCTGGTGGAGGCCGTGGCGGTGACCAAGAATGGTCGCACCATTGTGGCCTGGCACCCGGACACGCCTATCCCCTACGAGAATACGCAACCGCTGCCGAAAGTCACAGAGATTCAAAGCTCGTCGGTGATCAAGGAATCAGCACTAAAGACTGCTATGCGGGCGTTTAAGACCAAGCATCCCGAGGTGGCGCGCCAGGAGCTTATGCAGTTGACCCACACTACCAAGCACCGTTGGTTTCCACGTGCCCGCGACAGGAAAGCAAAGCAGACGCCGATGGACCGGCCGTACCTATAGTTTAGCACACACTGCATTGCATAATGTTGAAATAAATTCGTTCTCTTTTAATCCATACGCTGGCGCTTAATGAATACATTAAGCAGATCTGAAATGGGAATGTCGGCCGGCGGCTGGGCAGGTGGAGGAGCCGTAGTATTGTTTCTGTATTGCGGGAAAGTGGGCATCATGCGAGGGTCACAAGCTTAAAAAAAAAATAGTTCGATCAGTTGGTCGGATCATTAATAAAAAATAACAAGCCAAACTCACCCACAGGCGGTTCCAAAAAGTACTTGCTATTCAGGCACTCCTCGGCAGTAGCTCTGGTATTTGGGTTGTAGATGAATAAAATGTTCAGGAGGTTCCTGCCTGATTGGCCAATCATATGAAACTTGGTCTTGAGATTATTGTATGGCTGTTGGCTTAACGTAAAATTCTGCAAAGCGGGAAGGTCGGAAAAACCAGGCCAAATGGACTCTGAAGGAGCTCCCAAAAGGTCAATAATCAAGTCGAGCTGCTTAATCTCCGAACTGCCCGGGAGCAGGGGCTTTCCAAGCAGCAGTTCACCCAATATGCAGCCAAAAGCCCACATATCCACCGCCGTAGTGTGTGTCCGGCAATCCAGGAGTAGTTCTGGGGCTCTGTACCACAACGTAACCATTTGTGGAGTCATTGGTTTTGGGGGAATGCTAAACATGCGGGCCAGACCGAAATCAGCTGGCATTTGAAACACGATTAGCTAGTAAGGCAGATAAAACTTATAATTCAACTTACCAACTTTGATGCAGCCCTTGTCAGTCATGAGGAGATTGGAAACCTTTAAATCCCTGTGAATAATATGGCGTGCGTGAAGGTACTTCAGGGCTTGTAGCACCTGTAACGTAATACACTTAACCTCGGACTCAGTAAAAGGCTTAGCCATGTTATCAAGCACGGCATCCAAGTCCTGCTCGCAGAAATCCATCACAAGAAATATACTATCCAGGCTTTTGCCCACAACCACCTCTCGCAAGCGGACTATATTCTCATGTTGGCACTGCTTTAGGATCATAATCTCGCGGAGCCCACTAACGGGCAGGCCATCCTTTTCCTGATCCATGCGAACCTTCTTTAAAGCTACGATTTCATTGCTGCGAGTATCACGTGCCCGATCTGTAGAGGACATCAGGTTAAGCATGTGAATTAAGTGCTTTAATAGCCAACATACAAACAATTCCATAACTGCCTTCGCCAACGCGGTTCAGTTTTTCAAACTCGGAGACAGGTCGACAGCGGCCAAACTAAAGGTTAGAAAAAACTTTCGAAATTCTGTAAAGAAATAACTAAAGTAAAGCACATTTACCAGATTCTGCTCGGGAATAGGCATTGGAGTGCCGGTGCTCATAGAAAGAAGAAAGCCCTTGCGAGTAACGGGAGCCTGGGGGTCCGGAGCCGGATTGTTGTCCATTTCGTTCGATTTTAAGCTGGACATAGCTCAAGAAGACCGGCAAATATATACAAGACAAGATAAACTAAAAATTGTTTAGAATATTGTATTAGTGATGGACGTTGTTGCACGTTGACTGCTTGCCCTGTCGATAACTCGTTAGAACTATTGGAACCGACACCTTTTGGCGCGTTTTTACATAACTTTTGAAATCTATTCTGCTTAAATCGCCAACCGACAATTACCTCAAATTTAGGCCCATGTTGTATAACAAGTACGAATTAAAACAAAAACAAAAGCGTCTAGAAACCCGGGCACGACTTAAGAAAGTGAAATTGCACCCATTTAAAGAAATTTCAAATGCATGTCTTGGGCATTAAACTCGTCATCGCCGACTCTACGCATGTGTGAAAATCTGCGCGCAAAGCCGCAACAACAGCGGTTTAATTATCACCCTGAACTTGGAACGGTTAACTGATGGCCGGTGGTATAAAAGCTGGATCCCCGGCTTGGAGCTGCATCATTCGGTTCTGCAGTGACCAACCAAAGCCAAAGGGATACCAGCTTTAAGTCTTCAAGTCGTTACAAACCTAAACACAAATCTACAACCATGCACAAGAACACCATTTGGTACGGAGCTGTGCTCTTAGTCGTCTACTTTACCCTGGTATTTTGCGAGGAGGCGAAGAACGAGGAACCTGCAGCAGAACTGGATAACCAAGCCGGGGATACCTGGGAGAATCTCGGCCGGGAATTGATGGAGTTCGAGGGACGCACTCGCCGCCATCGCCACCACATGTTCTGGTGTAAGTCTTGAATTATTTAACATATTTAAAATCTTTGGGTTTAAAAATATTTTAGTTTAGGTTTTGATATTATAAATCTCGAGCCCCTTTTTAAATCAATTCAATTCTTAGATACAAATTTCACCTCCCACTAGTTACCTAATACTTTTTTGCTTATAAAAATAGTAGCTATCTCCAGATGTTATCAAGTGATCCTAATTTTTATAACAATTAGCGAACGAGTACTACAATTATTCTGATCATTTTTGATCAATATAATCACATCACATACATAGGTGTAAACCATCCCACTTTCTTTGGAAAGTTTCCCCATAGTTCACATCCCAAGCCAGACGCACCTCATCCGAATTGGACGATCACGAATTACTCTCAATTAACACTTTTCACTTTCAATCTTGGGCAAAGATATTGTTTAATAAATTGTCGTGAAACACTCTTCAAAATGTAGAATTTCGTGCAGTGAAAGTTCACCAGGTCTGATGCAATGGAAAATTATTTAATCTTCTTGATGTTTATGTACTTATCTTCTATAACAGATCGTCACCTGTGGCCCTTGGCTATTGCTTACTGGATCAAGGTGAAAGTTGTTATCGTTTCCTTCTTCGTGGGCAGCGCCATTTATTTGGGTCTGCGCTACTTCTGGCCCCATGCCAGGTGCAACCAGGAGATCATCCTTGATCATCCGTGAGTAATTCTTTATACCACGATCAATGCAGGTTAATAACAATATACTTCGTGATTTAGACCATCATCCTTCTCCCATCACGATCACATTCCTTACTCCCTGGACCACGATCACTCGGATCACTATGATGGCCCCACTTCCTTTGACTCCAGTGCCAGCTTTGAACCATATTCCGGATATAGCAGCTATGCTGGTTCTGACATTGTCTCTGATGTGCACAGCGACTACCATAGCGAATCTCCCTCGGGTCCAACTGGCCCTGTAGATACCCGTCGCCGCGGAAGGCGAAGCACTGAAGATCAGGCCCATTTGATTCAGGAGGAGGAGCAGCAGGAGGATGAGCAAGTGGAGATTGTGGATGAGGAGATTTCAGAGAGTGTGGCTCGTCAAATGCCAGCCGAAGAGCAGTAAGTGAAGTAGTCCTAGTTTTCACCTGGAAATGGTTACATTTTATTGGTCTCTCCCTAGGATTGCCGACTTTATGTTTGCCTTTTTGGGTCTGGACTCAAAGGCCTGCCGTCGCCGCTTTGTGTGTGAAATGGAGTTCCGTTCCAAGTTGAATCCCATGACCAGCATGGCCTTCCGCATTGTGGGTCGTGGATTCTTTGAAAAGTACACCAATGCCAGGAACCCTAATGCCAGAGCAACAAACTTTGGTGAATGTGCTGCTGTCAATCCAGAGTGCATTTTCGTGGAAAACGAGAATCCAGAGGCAGAGGCAAATCAGGAAGAGCAACAACCAGAAGAAGAGGAGCAGCAGCAGGAAGATCACCAGCAAGAAGAGCAGGCAGCCACCGAGGAAACAGCAGTCGAGGATTCCCAGAACGAAATCAACCTTAAAGCTGAGAGGCGACATGCCAGACACAAGAATCGCAAACTCAGCACCATTGCAGAGCACATCCTGATGCAGTAGAACAGTCGTGTTAAATTAATCTATTTATTTGTATTTATTTATTTTAGCTATAAGAGTGGATAACGAACACAAAATAAACTTGCCTCAATCTATGTATGGAAAATGATAAATTTCAAAGTCTTCTTAAATGCAAATCAAAATTAAAAGTTTAAGTTACAACAGAGTTAAACAAAATCTCACAGAAAACAAAACCAGATGAATACCTACCGCGAATACCTCGAAATGTGACTAAATTGATCAACTAATGCGACTATCAGTCGGGACTAAATCTTCTTGGTCTTTTTCTTTTTGATGGCATTGATCTGGTCGGCCATCTGCTCGATCTCGCGTTGGTTGATCGGTTCGTTCTTGCGCACCTGAGTCTTGCTCTTCTGTCGTTGGGCAAGATCAGCGGCCACATCGTTAAGCTTGCTCCATACGAAGCTGAGGAAACTGGTTGCCAGATCCTGCTTGAAGAAGGCAATGGCCACCAGAGCGATGAGCACTAACGCTGAGATGGAATTTTGATTGAGATCCGCTTCGGCGGCGCGCACCTCTGGCTTGAATTCCAGCTGGATAAAGACGGACCCCCTGTCAGCCACAAAAGTAGATGATGGCAGCTTGTAGGTATAAGTTTTATCGGAGAGGGTGGACTGCAGTTCTACCACGTAGCTCTTGCCGTCCAGAGGAATGCGCGGGAAGAAAACGGTGATGCCAGGATTCAGTCTGGCCTTCGGATTCACTGGAGTTCCAACACGTTGCGAGAATACTGGGGAATCAGAGTTTCCTCTGCGATACATCACAATGCGCAGGGTCTTGTAGTGCTCGTTAAGTGTGGCTGTTACCCTGGCGGTGATGTCTACAATTTTGAGAGGACTAATCGCTACCAGATTTATGTCGCGCACATCCTCGCTGCCCACCTTCACCGAGTGCTGAGCGGGAATGGATCGCTCCACGTTGTCATTGTCAGGGACCACGCGAACGGAATAACTACAACCAGGTTGCAGACCGCGGATACGGTACTGTCCGTTCGCCTCGCTGGTGGCCTCCTCTTGCTGTTGGGGACAACCCTCCTCGGCGGTGGCTTGAACATTCACACCGGCAAAGGGATCACCATTCAAAGAAGACACTGAGCCGAATATGGAGTAAGCATAGCGTTTGCCACTGTAATAATAAGGAAATTCATTATAAAATGTGTTTAAGAATAACTAATATTTTACTTACATGAGGGTAACAGCAACGGTCTCGCCATCCTTGATCTCAATCATCTTGGAGTTGGGCTCGAATTTGTACTCCTTCATCATTGGTCGCAAGTAATATTGCGACGGCGATAGGGAGTGGAAGTTAATAGCACCATTATCGCCGGTAACCAGATTCTTGCGATAGCTTTCGCCGCCACTCAGCGAGAGGAGGACTCCGCCCAAAGTTTGGCCAGCCTCATCTTTGACAACCACGGAAATTTCGCACAATTTGTGGGCACTGAAGGAAGCAGACTGCCGGTTGTAATCGCTAAACACATACGACTCCTTTTCGGCTTTAAGATCGAAGGCCAAAGACTCCTCAATGGGACCAAATTTAAATTCTCCAGTCACTGAGGTGAGTACTTCCAGGCTTTGCAATTCAGGTTGATCTGGGAAAGACAGTGTGATCTTGGCATCCTTAATCGCAGGAACCACCTTTCCGCGCAGAATCAAACCCCTTGCGGCTACAAAATTAAAGGCAATATCCACACAATCGCTGCTACCAACAATCTCTTGTTGCTGAGGCGTAAACAGCAGGACATCGCTCACCGGTGTAATGCGAAGTACCTGTTCCGGTTTCAAATATGTATCATAACGGTAGGCGAACTTGCCATCTACTTTATGGGATTCAGCAATGGGTGTGATCACCTCCTGACCCTGCGACTCTGTTTCGAGCACAAGCTTAATGGAGTCAGCAGTAGGTTCTGTAGACAGAACACGAACGCCAGTCTTGTGGGCCACAGCGTTGATGATCAAGGTTTGCAGCTGATCTGGCTCTGGAGTTATGAACTTGCTGGGCAGCGAACTGTCATACGTATGGCATCCTTCCAGCTTGAAATCGTAGCTACCATACTTGTTCACGCAGAAGGTGTTCACTCCTGAAGCAATCTTCAGTGTTTCCGTGGGAGCCTTAGGATCAGAGGGTCCAGTGACGTGTGTGTATTTCATCTAAAAGGGAATTGGTATAAATTAGCAAAATGTTACTTATATTCTATTCGTAGACATACCAAAGCCCGATGGCTGGAGATGATCGACACTTCGTAGCCCTTGTGCACAAATGGTGGTGCATCTTCTTCAGCAGAGGCCACGTTAAGGAACACTCGGGTTGACTCATAGCAAAGATTTCCCTGGGGAATTGTGAGTTCATAGGGTCCTGGGAGCATATCCTTAAAGACATACTTGCCACCTACGATTTAAAAGCGTTAGTTGAATGAAAAACAGTTCTGTGATAAGAGAGTTAAGCAGTCGATTATCTAAAGTAAACCAAAGCTCCTACTTTAACGTTGCGTTATCTATGAATGTAATCTATGGTACTTATCAGCAACAATTGGTAGCGTGGTAATTTGTGTCAAATGTGTTTTAAAGTATGATTATGAGCAGACCTCTACACTTTTCCGGAATAAATTTCATGCCTTCTAAGATATCTTGCTTAAAAAACTGCCCCTTATTTCTTCTATTAAGTCGAAGGATCACACTTGCAATTGAATGTATCGTTTCTAAGGCTTAATATTTAGGAACATTTTTGATAAATTAACTCAATACAGAAAACTTACGATGAGCTTTGGCCTTCCACTTGTTCTCTGTCGGCTGGCCGGTGGCATCCAAAGCCTGCAGGGTGACCTCAGCGGATGTACAAGTGGCAGTAGCATCAGAAAGACACTGAAGTTCGCCGCGAATCTTGGCACGCAACTGGGAGAATGTAATGCCATTAACAGGTGAATCGCGCACCTCCGTTTGCTGTTGTACAGGGAAGAACTGAACTCCGGCCGCTTTGTCGGCATCTGTGGTCAGGACTTCAATGGTGTATTTGCCAGTGGGAAGGAAAGCACACCAGCTTCCCGTCTCTGCCTTTGTGGTGGCGGTCGTGTGGAAGGTGGAGCCACTCTTAGTCAGTCCAACGTTGTGAGATTTTGGGGAGATTACTTTGCCACAAACTTCATAAGCAGATGGAACAATTGTAGGCAGTGAGCCAATGTTTATCTGAGCTTTGACATTCAGAGGAGAAAACTGAAGCTGGGAGTACTCAGCTTCGATGAAGACAGCGCCCGCCTTAAGGTTTTCCAAAGTATAAAATCCCTTCGCATCTGTCTCGGCCACATTCTTTCCGTTCACTTTAATAACTGCAGATTTCAGAGGCTCTCCACCGGCCGAGGTCAAAACCTGACCAGAAACTGAGAAACCAGTAATCTTGAAGTCCTCTTTTAATTGCAACGTATCCTTAACAACTTCTAGTTCAAAGTACTCAGGACTTAAGTGCAGCTTAAGCTTGGGATCCAGGTTTATAGCCCTCAACAGGTATATGCCGGAAGGTACATTCTTGAAAATATATTCTCCAGATTTTTCCAACTTTGAGAAGCAGGAGGATCCAGATTCGTAGTCGGCATGAACATTATTTGCCTGCACTGTGGAGGATTTCTCGCATTTTGGCACTAGAGATTGCTGAAAAGTGGAAAGTTTTATATTAATAATTGCCAGGTAACGCATTTTTTAATTATATTATGTTTTAAGCATCGAAAATATGGAAATAATGACCTAAAAGTTCTAGATCTTTCTTATAAAGACCTATTAGTTCGTCACTTTCAATACTTACTCCTCTCTTTTTGTAGAGAGCCACGCCCAGGTTTCCGGGAAGCTGTGAGCTAGAATCGAAGCGACCGACGATATCGAAACCGGAGACCACGAGGGAGTTAGCTGGCAGCTCTGTGTTGCCGCTGACCACAACCACCTTGTGCTCCGCCTTGGAGAAATGCCATCTTGAATGAGAAGCCTTGACTATGTAGTTTCCAGGAATAATGGGTGTAAAGGAGAAGACACCGTTTGAATCGCTCTTAGTGCGTCGGACTTCGCCCTTCTCCGATTGCAGTTCCACGTCCACGTCATGGGCTCCGCCACCGGAGGCGAGTGCCACCTGTCCGGTAATTCCGAAGCCCTTGAACACAAAGTTCACATCGCGACCCTGGCTGCAAACGTCTGTTTTTCCGTCAAAGTTCAGCTCCACCTGTTCCGGCTCAAAACTCCATCCCGGTGGCGGAGAAATGCTAAGCAGGTAGTCGCCCTTATCATAAATGGGGAGAAAGTAATATCCATTGGAAGGTGAGCAATCAGTCTTATCCTTCAGAGATCCCTGCTTGGTCAGCCTGTGGAAAACCAAATGGAATTAGGTTAATCACATACGGGTCAGTTAATTTATTATTCAATTAGCGGCCACCATGCGACTAAAATCTTATCAGGTCATCCCCCATTCGAACAGAACTGACACTTACAGTTTGATCTCCACCCGGGAAAAGTCAATCTCGGCGTGGCTCTTGATGAATCCTCCGCAGCCGACGACTTCCACTTCGCCGGCGTTGGCATTTTGGAAAAGTTTAATTAATAAAATTAGAAAAACGCCGGAAAAAAACCTCATTTTGACTACGTGCTAGAGCTGGGTGACCGCTCACGATAGTATCAACATTATCGAATATTTACTGGTCAAACTTCGTAAATATCGAGTGTGACCAATATCGATGTTTTCCCATCTCTACAGTGTCAAAAATAATATACCAAACAATTTTCATTGAATTTAACAAAAATACCACACATCTACCACAAAATCTAACGGTTATTTAAATTTCATACACAGTTGAAAATTATCTACATCTTATTTACTTTAAAAAATTTGCAAAATTTGTGTATTCTGAAAATTATTCCATTTCAAATATATATATAAATATATTTAGCTAAATTTACAAATTTTCACTTTATATCTCTTAACGAACCTAATCGTATTATGGGCTTAGTTTAGTCATAAAATAAATGAAATCGCCCGATAAAGAGGATAACATTATCTTTAAGTGTTTGCCATTTGGCGCGACGGCATTGAAAACATTTTGTTAAAACAGATAATGGCTTGTCGTATATTAATTATCGTAACCAATTTCCATCATCCCAAAGCTATCAATAAAGCCCCACATCCAAATGTATATGGATGAGTGTGCGAATCAATCCGAAGTAAGCCGATCTGAGACCCCAGGCCCCGAGATATAGTTGCAAAGAAATTCATTTCAAGCATCGTTGGTGCTATTGGGTCGCTCGTCTAATAAATTTCGTCGATGATCGCGCGATAACGACTTGCACATAAAGAATCCACAATATGGTGTCTTCCTCTGACTGTGGGTCTGAGTTCCAGAGTCTCCGATTCGAACAAAGCCCAAGAGCTGTGAAGCTCTGACACATACATATGTTTGTAATATTCTATAGAGGGGGAGAATACATATAATGGGATGACTGTGTGTCTGTACATTTGCAACGTCAAGTACCCGGCATTGACTTTGAAAAAGTGCGCCTTGAGATCGTCTTGCCTCTTGGTTATGCTCGATTAAGTGCGACTCTGGTTAACCCTCTGTGTAAACACGTGATAAATCTAGATCAAACAAGATACATAAAGATATTTTATTCAGTAATAATAGGTCAAGAATTATATATCTAGATTAAGATAAAGTAACTGTTATGCAGTATCAACAGTTTCAAACTTATAATACCCAAAAAAGATATTTTAAAAAATATAAGCTGTCCGAAGATAAAATTCGCAATCACTTTATTTTTATTTCAAAATAACTTTAACTACTTAATTATTCTAAAAATAGAGAACGGCAAGATCAAGATTAATGGGTTAATGAGTGCACCGGAAGCGTGTGTCGCTCGGCTTCCCGCTGTTCTAGCCACAGCCTACCTGTGGCTACCTGTCGTCGCCGTCAATTCAAAACTAATTAGCTGACCATCGTCGGCATTTGCATCTTTCCCGGTTCGCTAAGGGTGTCGGCAAGATTTACGATACGGATCTTCTTGGCAGCCGCCCGGTCAGACAGTTTGTCGCGACGGTGGCAGATCAGATCGGATCAGCATTAGGTTTTATGGTCTGCTCACTGCTTTTCCCGCAATTAGAGTCCGTACTTAGACGTGGCGCTGATAAGCCGACGAGCGCACTAAGTAATAATAAATACGATTTTAATGAAATGCTAAAAGTTCACTTGGCTTATCGGTTTGGCCTGACGATTTTTGGAATTCAATTAGCTCTGCCACGCTGATCTATGATCAGGGACCGAAGTCATAAAGGAAGCACAAAAAAGCAAGCCACACATAAAAAACCCTAGGGATGTGATACACAACCGATTATAGTGGTGCAGATTTCAAAAAACAATCAAGCAACCCCTATTAAAACGTAGGGGGAGGTTTTAAGTACACACAACGCCATAAAAAGAAATAAAAGAAGCGATGGAAAACACTGCGCAAAAAGTCAAACACGCTTTGTTACTTAAGATCGCCATATGGACAAGGGGAAATCGAAACCGAGTACAGTATGACTTGATTTAGAAGGAACGAAAAGTTTGGAATAAAAATAATTAGATCATATAATAAATAATATTTGAAGTTAAAACCAATTTTGCCTTTAATATTTTTTGATTATTATTTCCCCCTGTTTCTTTTAGTCAATGACCACTGTACCGCCACAACAACAACCCCGGCGTAGCCTTGCCAAAAATTAATTACACCAAGTAAATAGCGCAGGCGCCCTTAAGTATGCCCCGCATCCTCGAGGGAGAGTAAAAGAGAGAGAGGAGCAATTTTGATCTGTCTCATTCGCTCGCGTGCCTGTTCGCACATGAGAAATCAAGTGCCGTTCGCTTCGCTCAGTTCCCGTTCTCAATTCACAATCATTCTCTTTCGAATAGTCGACGCGAACGGACGTTCAAAATAGAAATACAACAAGAAAACCGGTAAAATCGTGGATCGAAAGCAAGCGCGTGCGTGCATGCTAAGCAAAAACAAAAAAATAAAGAAGTTAACCGTTTCAGTTAACTACCATACGAAGATCGAATTTCGCCATCGGGCAAATTACTTAAAAATAAGTGCAACTTTGTGTCTTTTTTTTTCCTTCTTGCCTTTTATCGCAGCCAAGAAAGAACTGATAAAACGAGAAAAATATCTCGCGAAACTCGTTCTCGCTAAAGATATCTTGTGCAAATTTGCCGATCGCGGAAGGGAAAAATAAGCAGAAGTGCAAAGAAAATCTCCCTATCCACACAAAGACTATATCATCTTTGAAAAGATCATAGTCATCCGGCCCGAGAGGTTTATCTATATAGATGCGGCAGCTTATCATCTGTTAGGGTGTTTTCAGTGTTTGTGTATTATATATACCTACATACGAGTATATAGTGCGACAAAAGCTCGATTGCCAACAGCTGTCGAGTGCCCTTGAGTGGGTGGGCAAGATCGTCATCATCAGCATTATTATTATTATTATCATCAGCATCTGGAGGCCCCGGTTGCTATAAGATCTTAAAGCGTAGTGTTCATCAATTATGACTGCCGAGACCCTTAAGCCGTTTATAACGCCAACGAGTGCCAACGATGATTTTCCGGCCAAAGATACCAGCACGGCAACCGCCCAGCGACGCACCCGCCAGCTGATCCCCTTTGTCTTGGGGTTCATCGGACTGGGCCTGGTTGTTGCCATTCTCGCACTAACGGTGAGTTTTTGCCCTTTGTCGGCATACCGGGTCAGCTGGTCTACTAACAGCAAATATTATTGTCAGCTTAAATGGGTAATTTCTGTACTTTATTTACCAAATGGATGTTATATTAAAAGGTTATTTTAAAGATACTTTCAATCTCAATCTAAGTACTCTAACACAACTAAGAAGCTATCTTAAATAAAGAGTTGTTTTCTTCCCTGTTGTATATATTTTATGATATTTATGATAAAATAGATTAAGGCTGTTATTTTCAACTTGATAGGGCAATTTCAAATTAAACTTCTGTTGTTATTGTTACCTAGTGCCGATCAATGATACGTTGAAATTCCTAAGGTGTGTTGATATCAGTTACTGGGTGGGTGTTTTCCCAGAATAAAGATATGAATAAATCGTTATTGGCTATGTTGTTGAAAGGTATTTTCGGCTCCAAAGGTAAGCACTTATAATTAGGGCCGTTTAATGAGATTTTATTTAAGTACTAAAAGATTTCACAATGACTATTACCTATAACGGTTACCGAAAAATGGACTTAAAATAAGATAGTTATATTTAGTATGCTTTAATTATAATTCCAAGTTTAGTTTACTTTGGTAGTTAATGGCCACTAATTTATAATGATAACTTACCTTATCTGTCCAAAATCTCTGTTAGCGAGCTTTAAATCCAAATGGAGATTTCATTTAGCCATGAACTGGCTTCTAGACTCTGAACAGACTCCCGTTCCTTAGAAATGTTTATTTCAGTAGCTGGCGCAAATAAATTGCGAATAAATATATATGCAAATTGGACTTTAACAAAAATAAATACAATCTATAGACACCCCCGAAATCGCAATCTAAAAATGAATATTTAACCTCTGGCACGCTTCTTCTGCTTATAAAGCTGTTTGTCACAAAGTCTTTGTTGATGCCAAATTAAAGAAATATTATAAAACGAAACGTAACGTAAATTCCCCAGATGCATAAATTGAAATGAAAACAGATTTTATGATCCGTGACCGTCGCAGATACGTTAACTATAATTTGGCATGAAACTATATTTAGAGGCGAAAAGTCGCCGGTTTCTTGGCTGATCAAGCGATGTCATCACCGACACGTCTTTAGGCCAAATGGGTTCCTAATGATCCAGCTAATCCAAATAAAGCGGATGTGGATCGGGATGCAGATGCTAGAGAAATGTTTATCGTGTATAGTGTATAATAGTATATATGTCTGTTTTTTGTTTGTGTTGAACCAATTTAAATGCCACTTGGGGAATTGTGTTCTGCTGAGTTTTGCATTCTCCGTCGATAAATCTCTGTTGGGTCATGTTTTTTTTTTTGCTCTTTTGCTGATAACTTTGGAAATGACTGGGCTGGCTGAAATGCAGATTTGAATTGCAAAAGATGAAGTTTCTAGAGCTGAGTACCCATAGCCATCCCGTACCCATTCCCTATACTCAGATTATCCCCCATGACCCACTCAACTTTGGCTTAAGTGAACGGAAATCGTACAATTGACAATTGACTTGTAAATGATTGGCTTCAGCCACTGACGTGGGCCATGAGTTTTGTTTTCCCCATAAATCTCTGTTAAGTCTTAAAGTATTTTTTTGGTTTTTCTTTTGTTTTTTTGTTTGTTTAAAATCCCCCTCCAAATATCCTGACATCCAATCAAAGTGACCTCAACAACGAATGACCCTCATCATCTGACTGCCTCTGTGAAAGTGACAAACTGCAGGCGCTACGATCGATCTATAGATCATTCGATAAGCCCTAATGGAAAGTGGTTTGTGGCTTACTGGAAAACACAAAACAAGTTTCTTAAGTCCATAATTTATACAAGAATTCAGTACAAGTTTTCATTTGTACCTACATATATGTACATATGTATATATAATATTTCCCCTCAGTCTGCGTACAGTGGCTTAAGTTGAGCCATTCTTTCTTTTTTTTTTCTTGGGATTTTTGGTTGCCAGTCGAAACATGAGAAGTGTCTGACTGTATATAGAAGGCCTGTGCTCGGACAGAATGTTAATGATCCATTAAGCAGATTATGTGCCTGAGTGGCGATGTCGGTACCTCGGAAATCTTTCTCGTCTCGCCTCTATCTGTTTGTTCAGTTATATAGTTTTCGGGTGTCAAAAGTTCGCGGCACTTGGTGTTATTTTTATGATGTGCTTGTGCTGGGCCTTAGCATAGATAGACTTTTAATTGAGGCTTATTAAATTGATTGCTAAATGTGATAATGATTGAATGATTAGAAACTAGTTAAGATAACACTATATCAATTGAATTGTTTTCCAGATCTGGCAGACTTCACGGGTCACGCATCTGAACAAGGAGTTGAAGAGTCTGCGGCGAGTTGTTGATAATCTCCAACAGCGTTTGGGCATTAACTATCTGGATGAGCTGGATGAGTTCCAAAAGGAGGTGAGCTATGATACAAATCAGTCTTAAGCATCAATATTTGTGTTATTTGACGGGCAAGAGGCTGTAACATTTGTCTGAGGTAAATGCAGAGATCTCACCGCATTGTTTACAAAGTTGAAAATCAAATTTTGTTATTCTGCCAGGCAAGTACTTGTGTTGGGTATATCAGGTCTTTTTTTTTATTGTTTTATAGCAGCTTAAGTGTTAAAATCTAGAAAATGTATAGCTACATTTTATAGGCAAACAAACAAATAAGGTATTTCGTAGTCGGTAAAACATCCATTTCTCTTTTTAGAAAGAATGCCCAGACCATACTATGTGGTTATTGTGTGTGGGACATACAAAAATATTTATAGAATTATGTGCTAAAATATAATTTCAGAGCGTTTTCATCTGTTTTTTGGTTTTCTAATATTTTTCTTAAATTCTTTAGAAAAGGCCTCATGATAGATTATTTTTATTAGAATGTCTCTTTCCTCTGAGAAGCACTTAATTAAAATTATATGATATACAGTTGTTGGGGATCAGGCGCCAGCTGGTTTAAGTAATTTATGAGATACAAATCCTCAAGTGACAAAAGGCAAAAGCCTCAATAATTCAGGAAATATATCTATCTGTAGATATAGCCGTTCAAGGCAAAGCGATTGCTTTTCGTTTTTATGTGACGATTGATCCGATCTCATCAAATGGCCTAATGGCCAGAGATCGTTTCAAGATTTTAAGATTTATTTATATGTCTGGGCATCTGTGCAGGCAATTCTCTTGAGAGTTTTCTTAGCTTTTAAATATATATATATACAGTTATAGATATATATATCAAATATGTTTTTGAGGGAGGCGCCATCAATTAGGATGATGACGAAACAGCTTTCTGCCGCGGGCGTGCGTCTAAAAATGTTCGTCCCAAAAAATGAATGTGAGATATGTGCCAGGACTGTGCCAACTGCAGTCACGTAGTTGGCCAAGTGTTTTGACCCAAAAATGTTGACCCCATCTCTCTTGGTTGCAGTACGAGAATGCTCTCATCGACTATCCCAAAAAGGTGGATGGCCTCACGGATGAGTCCGAGGACGAAGATGAAGATGATGTTCTGGATCCCATTGAATATAATGGAGAGGATGATGAAGACGATGACGACGAAAGCTATGACACCGATTATAAGGACTACGCCGATATGATAAACAGACTTAACAATGCACAGACTGGAACCACGCCTACATCCGAGACTACAGTTGAGGGCGAGTCGGATAGCACTTCCGCCGCCTCGAATGATGACAATGTCTTCGATGACTTTACTAGCTATAATGCCCACAAAAAGAAGCATGAAAGGTGAGAATGGTTGGAATTTTCTGGGTTTATAAAGGGCATAATTTTAATATTTATATTTTTCTTATCACAGAAAATCTCGTTCGATTATCGATGCTCATCTAGAACAGCAGAATATTCAGGGAAATCACACAGAGCTGCAGGAAAAGTCATCCAATGAGGCCACTTCAAAGGAGGGGTGGGTAGAAAGATTCCAAAAAATATACTTTTTATACTAAATAGATTAAATTTAAATTCCTTTTTACATTGAAAAGTATATAATAAAATAATGAATTCCCTTTCAGTTCCACTCCACTCCACCATCGTCGCCGGATGCATTCCCGTCATCACAAATTCCTGGTCCGCAAAGGTGTGTATACTAGAAAAACCGAATCAATTGGCAACAAACGAATACCAAATCTCTATTTGCACCTCTGTTAATTTGCAGGTGAATCTCTTATTTCAGCCAGATCCGATGACTCCAAGCCGGCAGCCCATTTCCATCTGAGCAGCCGAAGGCGTCACCAAGGAAGTATGGGTAAGAAGGCGACTAATTTTAGTTCTCCTAACAAATTCATATCTATTTATATTCTTCAGGTTACCATGGAGATATGTATATTGGAAATGATAATGAGAAAAACTCCTATCAAGGACATTTCCTGGCCCGCGATGGCGTTTTAACAGTGATTAATCCTGGCCTATATTACGTATACGCCCAGATATGCTACAATAATTCGCACGACCAGAATGGATTCATTGTCTTCCAAGGAGACACACCATTCCTGCAGTGCTTGAATACGGTGCCCACTAATATGCCCAATAAGGTGCACACCTGTCACACCAGTGGACTGATCCATCTGGAACGAAATGAAAGGATCCATCTGAAGGACATTCACAACGATCGGAATGCCGTGTTGCGGGAGGCGAACAACCGTAGCTACTTTGGCATCTTCAAGGTGTAAAATGAAGAGATTATTTCTAATCAGAAGATGGATGAATACCAGCTCGTGAATGCGATTCATTGCCAGCGTGGATCCATTAGTTCGTAGTACCTAGTCTTAGTCACTCATAAACCTAATCTCAAACTGAATCACGCAATCACTGCAACGATGTGGCAGAATTCGCACAAAAATCATATTTATTTTGTATATACTCCTTCGACTTTAATTGTACGACGAAAAAGTGAATAAAATTATAGTTTAACTTTAGATAAATTTCTATGGTTTGCTAGGATAAGAGATTGCAGTTTCCCGTTTAAACTGCCAATGAAAAGGTCCATTCAAAAGGGATTTGTTTAATATACTAAATTCCATGTGCCTGGGTCCCAATAGAAATTCCAGCTTACGGTGTTCTTTATTAAAAAATTGTAAAAAGAATTTTGTCAAAGGTCTAGGGAATCGCATTGCAACTGGATAATATCCGGATTGAGAGTTGTGCAGCAGCTTGAGCTCTGGACACCCGGACATCAGCAGCAGCAGCATCTGCATCATCGCCATGGTAACCAAAGGAAAGCAGCGAGTTTCCCTCATCCTTACTGGGCACCTGGACACCAGCCCACTCGTTCCCGGGATTCCGACAGATGGACGTTTAAGGAGGGGAATGAATGGCAGCGATTGAGTGGGTCCAAAAAGTACAGTCATCATCAGTACATATGTACAGAAGTCACACTTACACGTTACATAGTCCAATCATATAAATGTGGGAATGTGCTGATAAGCTTGATTGCTCAAATAAGCAATTACTCATACGCAGCGTTGTATATCGTCTATTACTTGGCAACAATTGGAGAATAAACTACTACAGAGACATCTTTAAATGATTAAGCTGGAAAAAATATAGGCAATTTTATATATGTCATGTAAATAGAATGTTTTGAGTAACAATTTCATTACAATTGCTCATGAAAATTTCACATTTTATAAAAACAATTATTTTGAATAATTAAATAAAATTGAATAAAAAGCAAAAAGATTATGAATATTTAATTCTTTTCCAGATGATTTCACGCCAAAAACACATAAATTTCAAATAACAATATTGATTGAGAAGGCCAACGCCGGAAGCAATTTAAGGGCCAAATGCAGGTCGATTTGCGAACGGGCGGAGTAACAGGTGGCTCAGCCAAACAGCTCGTGATGATGGGAGAGCAACAGTTCGTTCCCGGAATAAGTATATGTGCTTTTGGCCTGGCCAGAATATATGAGTGTGTGTGTGTAACCATAATCCCCCAGCTGCAGCCTCGTCACATGTTCCTTGCCATGCGCAATGGCCGGAAAATCCGAAATCCCAATAACGAAATCGCTGGGGAAATGATTTTCAGTCAGTCGGCCGGGAAGCTTTTGTCCATTTACCTGAGTCTATTTTTGTTATTTACTCCACGATTGCATCCCACATCGAAGTGCATTTAGTTTGGTTGAAAAGCCAAAACATTTGCAGTTCGTTTTTGGTTTCGGTGCAGTGAGGTTGAGTCTTAGAGCTACTAGAGTCCTGGTTGTAGGATCTGCAAGGATTAAGTCTATCTAGAATGGTAAGTCAGCATTTTTTTAAGGCACAGTCAACAGGTGGCAACTTTAGGAGATTAAATAAGTTAGAATAAAGACATTTTACAGGTGTTTCCTTATAGAAAATTTTCCATTACATTTAACATTATCCAAAATACGAGTACATAATTTACATAGTTATTATTTCTGAAAATTTATATATAAATTTAAAGTCCATTCGTGAAAAAGTCTTGACTGTGGATTTATATCTTGTTCCAAAGACCTCTACTCCTTCTTCTCCCCCAACTTGGCCTGGATCTCGTTAAGCGTCTTGCCCTTGGTTTCGGGGATGAGAAAGAGTATGAAGAAGAAGGCTGTCAACGCAAAGCCAAAGAAAATTGCAAAACATGCAGCAGCGCCAATATGTACGTTTAACACAGGGAACAATAGGGTAACAATGAAAGCACAAACCCAATTCGTCGTGCCGGCTATTGATCCTGCCAATGCCTTAACGTCCTCGGCAAATAGCTCGGCCATCATGAGCCAGGGAACAGGACCAAAGCCCAATGAGAAGCCGATGATAAAGATACTGACAGCCATGAGGGCTAGCCAACCGATGCCGTAGGATTTCATAAAGCCGAAATAACATGCCATGATCAAGGTGCTCATACCCATCAAAAAGGCCGAAATCATTAACAGTATCTTACGGCCTAGTCTTTCGATCAATAAGATCGAGATGAATGTACAAATTACCTGCACCACACCAATGATAATCGTACAGAATCGAGGCTCCAATGATGATCCAGCCGAATGGAAAATAAATGTCGAATAGAACATAATCGCATTGATGCCGGTAAGCTGCTGGAACACCATCAGTGCAATGGATAGGAAGAGGCCCTTGAGTGTAACCCTTCGGCAAAGAAGTTTTCCAGCTTTCTCCTTCTCCTTTTGAGCCTCTGCCACCATTTCCTTCAGTTCGCCACTCACATCTTCATCTTTGCCACGCAGAAATTTCAATGATTTCTCCGCTTTCTCAATTTTGCCCTTTTGGGCCAGATATACTGGTGATTCCGGCATCCACATGAACATCAAGAAATATATAACGGGCAAAACGGCGCAGGCAACATTGAAGACAAAACACTTTGCGAAGGCACCAACAATGAAGGCATACAGAATCCCATTGACGATGAATAACTGAAAGAAGCATCCCATGATCCCGCGATACTGAACCTGGCTGATTTCTGTGGTGTACATGGGACTTGCCACACAGAATGCTCCGCCACAAAATCCCACAACGAAGCGACCGACCAGCAACATTGATATGTGCACCGCCATCGTAATGAGCATCCAACCGATAAAGAATGGTGGCAATAGACCGAGCATTGTGACTTTCCTTCCAATCTTTCCAATAAGTATTCCCACCGGAATGCATGAGAATGCTGCTCCCAGTGTCATCAGAGATCCCGTCAGACCCCATTCCGTTGTGTCCGGTACAAAGTCGTAGGCCCCGTTTTTCATGACCTCATCTTCCACAGGTCCCGACCATCCGATCACAGCACCCAGACAAAAGGCACCAAAAGCGGCAATTATGCCCACTAAGAATTGTACACAGGCACCCATATTCAATAGGTTAACTTAGCAAACACTACACAAATTTACAATGCAACCAGTTCGAAATAAATTTCAATACTAATATTCTAGGAGTTCCAAAAATGGTGATAACCTCAAATGAGATGTTAAAGATTTCAAAGCCTACTTGATTTTTTATCTCATAACGAAGACAATTTTTTACAGTGTCCTTCTGAGCGAAGCTTGGCTGCAGCTGAAAGCTTTCTCTCTTTCCATTTCCCCAATTTCCCACCTCCCACACACACACATATACACGAGCGCCAAACTCTCGCCAAGCTTCGTGCGCCTTCGGTCCTCGCGGGTCCTGTATAAAACATGGAAGCTCCAGAGACTGGCCGACACTCTTGGTTCCGCCTTGGCTGAGCACAGAGGTGGGTACAGTGACAACTGGCTGGCAGTGACGAGCGTTTCCTTTAGTGTTTTGCTGGCGTAGGCGTGACGCCATGTTGTGAAAAGTGTCTGGCAAAAAAAGAAAGTGAAAAATTCGCACGGAAAACTGCACTCGAACGTCGGGTAAAACAACAAAAAACAATCGTCAAACCAAACCAAGTGAGTTGAGAAAAGTGCAAACTTTTCGGCCAGTGTTTGTGTGTACCGAGAGGGGGGAAAAATTACGCAAATGTTACACAGGAATTTCCATTCCCATTGATTTCGCTGGTGTGGGCGTATATATATATATTGTTATATTTGTATGTGAAGAGGGTTAAACCAGAGCCGAAATAATTGCGTACAATTTATTTGCAACACTTTTTGTCTTCTCTAATTGGACAATGGTACTGATGAATTGTTTGCTGGCCTGTTGACAAAATACCTCGGGCATACCTCCCTGACTAACTGATACATACACACACAGAGACGCTGGCGCAAAAAAAAAAAGGAAAAGAAGACTTGGGTAACAAGTTGGTAACTTGCCCGAGGACAGGACATCTCCTTTGTTGGCTTTAAATATTTGAAGCCAGAAAAAGCTTTTCCCGGCCCCCTAATTAGCCGCTTCCTCTGCCGACAGAATGCATTCACATTCACTTAGTCGCCGGCCAAAAAGCCCGATTCAATTTGCCCCAATTTTCACCAAAAAAAAAACTATAAAAGGATCTCTGGCGCAAAAAACAGTCCTGATTATATATGTTTGTATGTATATATATAGAGCAATAGCCGTAGTATCCATGGTTGCTGCGACAAATTCAATTAGGACGCTAATTTAAATGCCCTGCTGGGTCGCATTTGTTCGGTCTGGAAATCTGATTGGCGGGTAGCAGTATGAACAGAGAGAGAGCCCTGCTCCATTGAAACTCAATAAATTATTACCACTGACTTCGTTTGATGTTGCAAAACCTAAGACGACAGCGACATCAATCAATATTAACCATACGCCCCGTGCGCCATACAAGATGTGGTTCCCTAACCCTTATATATTCCTACATTTCCTGGAATTGAACATAAAAGCAGTCGTTTAGTGTGAGCATAAATTAATTTATTAATTTAAAGATGTGGCTTTAAAGGCAGAGCATTTACATTAATCATACGCCATGGATGCCAGTCTACCAGCACAGACTCTGTTGGTTAGAATGTTCTTATTAAATAAATTAAACTTCGCAGAATATTGTTAATTAAGATCTTATGTCAGACAAGAAACTATACTCTAAATGTTAGTTAAGTTGGGGTACTTAAAAGTTGAAAAACAATCTAAGTTCAAGGCAAAAACAGAGTAACTTAACTTAATTTCTTTTTACAATTGAAATGTTTTGTAAGATTGTTCTTGGAGAACTGCATCACCCCAAGCAACAAGTCCAAGTTTTTATGTTTTTTTACAAAACCCCATTGCAATTGAATGGGTGGTGGAATCTGCTCTATGCAGCTGCGTTTAATCTGGATTACAGCCAGAGCACAGACACAGAAAAACATCAACACTAACATCAACATCAACAACTAGGGGACTCGTTTTCTTAGACAAAAGCCAGCCAAGCAGCAATAATACAATGAAAAGGGGCTGAATTGAACCAACAGCTGCAGGCGAGACGCAAATAAGGTTCTTCATCAGAGCAGGAGTGGCCATAGAGAGAAAACAGCGCTGGGAAAGCTAAAAGGGAAAAAGCGGAATGAAAAGCGACGGCTGCCTTGACATTTAATGGGTAGGAAAAATGAAAAGCAAAGCGTAGCTTCTACAGGTACGAGATAAGTGGGAAGAACTATGGAGCCAAGTAGGTAGTTGGAGACGCGATGTGATTACCATATATTTTCCTTCCAAGTCATATATTTTTTTCTTAGAAATGCGTAGCATACTTATGTGCGCCACCATAAAAACCCGTAAAAGAAGAGAAGTAGAGATGCGTAGGAATACAAATGGGATGAGCATTTCAATGGCAGTTGGCATCCGGGCAGCAATTCAACTTGCCCATAATTGTCAGCTTTGGCTTTTGTCAACGGCCAAGAATGCTGAAAGTCAGAGTGGGAGTTTTAATGGTGAAAGCTAAAGAACAAGACCTCCGATGAAGTTTTCGCCTCCTTCAAGCATGCTGGCACTTTTGGAATTTTATTGATTTATATAGATATTGTTCCTGGGTCCTCCTTTTGTATATGCATGAGGCTGTGGGATTTACTTCATTAGTTAGTCAGCTGTGATGGCCGGATTATTCAAATACCTTTTGTGCAGGCTAAAGCCCCAAATTTTTGGGGTACCTGCTGTTCTTACTGCTGCCGCTGCTGCTCGTTTGCATAATTAAGCGAGGAAATATGGAATTTCACACGCCATCAAGTGACCGCGAAAAGGTGACAACTGATACATACTCATACAGATACTAAGAGAAGTACCCCACCCACACACACACACACACACACACACACACACACACACACACACACACACATATATATATATATATATGTGCACAGCAAGGACCTCGCTTTAAAGTGCAAATGTAATTAAAAGTTTTTTACGCACCTGTCGGAAACGTGTCGAGCATTAAAAACCATTTTAATGCCATTTTTTTCAAGCGTTTAACTGGTTATCCTCTAACCCAAGTTTTGGTTTTCTTTTTCTTTTGTTTTTGCTCGCTGAAGAAAAGTTTTTATCAATTTAATGGTGTTTTAAATAAAGCTATAACCCTTTTTGTTTCGAGAAAATGTTTTAATAGTCTTCATAGTCCTCTAAAATAACTCATAAAGTAGAAAATTTGCTTAATTTGCATCGTATAAATCCTTAATTCCCACACTTTCTTACAGATTTAAAACCCAATTCCAGTGACAGAGAGAAAGGCAACTGCTAGCAAATCAATGGCCAACCAATTTGTAGGCCCCAGTGGTGCCATTGCGGTGGCGGTGCTGCTGGCGGTGGTGGTGCAGTCCATCCAAGCAATACCACAGCGCACAGCCGCATTTTCGCTGCAGGCAGCCGTGGATGAACTGCATCGTCGGGAGGCGGCCAAATACCCACTGAATTCCCCACCAATGCCAACCAATTTGGATGACTGGGATGAAGGTGAGTACAGAGGGCGGCCGTGGTTAAATCTTACCAGGAAATTGATATCCCTAAGGGAAAAGACTGAGACCTTAACCTTTGCGCACACGTTAGCTGGAGTAAGTTAATCAAGAAAAAATTCCCCCAAGAAATTTGAACTTTGATTAACCTTGAAGTGAAGGCAAGGCAAGAGCTCTCTTATTTACTTGGTAGTTTATCAATATTTTAAGACTTCCTGGTATTTGTTGATTAATTAACTTGTTTCGAGTAAAAGGTGTACTGTGTAGTTGGATAATTAATAGATTAAGGGTTATATCTTCTAGATAAATCATGATGAAAGCACTTTAAATATACTAGAAACTCTTCTACTTATGAGATACCCATGTCACATTTTGTATCTAACGAATTCATCTGCTCAGTGATGCAATCTTTATCCATAAGCCAAAACTCAGATACACCCAAATTATTATTATTATTATTAGATTTATGTGCCTAAAACCTTAGGATGGGCTGTCAACTGCATGTTCAGATTATATAAATTCAAGTCGTGGCTGAGATCTGAAAGTGATATCCATCATGGGCAGATGGTGGAAGTCAAAGTGGGAAGCGGGAAACCCGCATGTGGAGTGCACGTGCCTTGGATAGTCGAAACCTAAGCACAGATTTTCCGGATTTCTTTCCCCACTCACGAAAGTCACATGTACCGTTGTTAGTTTTACTCGTTTTCCTTTTCTTTTTCTCTTTCGGGCACACCAAAACCTAAATAATCCCCCCCACAATCACCAACACCCAACCCAACCTGCACAGATGGCGATTTATTTGGCAAGAATAGGAATCGGAATCGCCATCGAGTTAATAAGGCACTTGGCAAGTACTTAGAACGCGACGAGGATAACTACGATTCGGATCACAATCTGGGCTTGGGGTTGGGTCTGGGCTTGGGTCTAGGATTCGAAGATGGTGGAGATTTGGTCCCAAATAATCTTCAGCTGGCCGATGAGAAGAGAAAGCGCTTCTCCTCATTTCGGGAACGTGACGAGCAGTTCGGTAAGTAAAAGCCACAGCCCAGAAAAGCACGCACTATGTAATGGATACTCACTATGAAGGTCCTTTAAATAGCACCGCACTATAAATTAATCAAAAATCTAGAAAACTTAGATTAGAGTCATGTAGTTTAATAATCACATCATGTAAATATTTTATATAGTAAGCTTAATATTAAATCTTAAATTTTTCTAAATCTCTTAAGAAAATGCCTCTGCATTACGATAGCCCTTCCTTTTAACCAAATCCTGATTGAAAACCCGCACAAATGGACAAATTTTAGCACCTTACTCAAGTGCCTACTTTTGAATGCGAATTGCCGAAAATAATTTATGGCTCCCTAATCCTTAAGTGCTATTATACTGACCCAAACTGTGGAGTGTGTAGTTCTTCCAAGCATGTGTCCACTTGAGGCGTCGTATGATGGCAGTGGGGAGAGAGCATGGAGTGGATAAGGCCAACAATGGGCAGGCTAAAACCACTTAGCTCCGATTAACTTGTGAGTGGTGAGTGGGATGATGGCTGTTCGTCGTTGGTTGGTTCACTCCAGAGTCCCGATGATGAATGCAATCAGCTGGAAGCCCCTCAGAACCGACAGATCCTGCCTGTCTTCCTGTCATTTGATTTAATGGCCGGCCCAACAACTTGATGCATGTCCTCCACACACACACACACATAGACGGCCAAGATTTATCGACAGTTTTTAGACCGTTTTCTGGTTTTGCCAAGGTCAAAGTTAAGTCATTGCTCATTGATTGGGAAAACAAATGGTCGAAAATCAAGATATCTATTAAGTTTAAAGCCATGTTTTATAGGTATAATTTATTGAGAAATATATTTAAGTTTTAAAATATTATTAAGTTGCTTAAAACATGTAAAAATTACTTACAAATTCTGTGAATTATATAACCAATCCATTTCCCATAATGATATCCATTTCCCACCCAATCACTTTCAGATGGACCCGTACCGTCGGCTTTCCGTGAACGTGAGCACCAGCCTTTGAATGCAGAGCCCGCACACAATGAGCTGACAGAGCAGTTCCTGCGGGAGATCGAAGAGGCCAGGGACCGAGATGCAGTACGCCAGTGGTGGCGTCACCTGGACCAGGCCAAAAACCAACAGGAACCAGAAAACCAAGACGCTGAACTCTTTGAGCAGAAGAAACGAATGCGAGTGCCACCCTACTACCTGTTGATGCAGAAGAAGCGTTCCTACCCAGTTCTCCCATGGTTGCCATACAATGGTGATAAGAGGAAGCGTTTCCCGGTGGCTAAGAGGAGCACAAGCAATACCAATCCTGAAACTCCTCTTGGCAGAACCGATGAGCGAGTGGCCCAGGAGCTAAGTGAGCTTTTTGGCAAGCCCAGCGAAACCCAATCACATAATGAAGAGAAACGCAAGCGATCGGCAGATGACCAGCCCAAGGTGACAACCCATCTTCCATCTGAATCCCCACCAGCCACTGCCACCGCCTTGGGTGACATGCGTCTGGAGATCAACTTCCAGAGGGTAAATGTCACGCCAAAGGAAACCTCAACATCTGCTCCCCCTGGCGCTGGTGAAATGGTACAGCATGGCGGTCATGCCGGTCATCATGGTGGTCATGTCCCGGGAATGTCACCCGAATATCATCATCGAAAACGCAGTGATCATGCCCATGGTGAGAATGTTGAAGATCCGGAAGCAGATGAGCATGATGAGGAGGGTGAGGAGAGTTCCGATGAGGATGACCACGACGAGTTCGACGAGGAAGATGGCGAAGGGGATCAGGAGGCTGAGGATGCGGAGGAGCGACGTCGGAAGAAGAAACGTGCTGCTGCCAGTGGAAATGAACCTAAGCACCTGCATGCTCCCACTGTGGGTCACCTGATGCTCCGAGCCAAGAAGTCCATCGATTGGTCACAATACTTTGGGTTGGATCGCAAGAAGAAGTCCTCGCTGAAAAATGAGTAAGTTTAATATTTTAAAGATTTTTCCAGGACCAAATCTTTTACTTTTCTTTTAAAGGGATCTCAAGAAACGCAGTGAAACGGACAGTAGCTCCAATAACGATGATGAGGAGGATAATGAAAGCTCTGAGGCGGAGAAAAAGAAGCGAGATTTCGATACCGAGAAAATAGACAGCATGGACAAGAAGCTGCAGTCCATCGAAGACTTCATCATCGATGAAACTATCAAGTATACTGGAGCCCATGAGGGTCTTAACAGCAAGGATGATATCCGCAGGATCAAGGAGCATGTCCTTTCCCGCCTGGCAACTGCTTATAGTCTGGAGAAGATGCGCAGGGCATTGGATAAGCTCAGGAGATCAGTGGACAACGAAAATCATCTCATGCGGAATACCATCGAACCGGAATCGGAGGAGAATGCCTTGGACTCCAACTACTGGCTGGCCAAAAAATCCGTGAAGAAGGATCAGGCGGATGAACTGGAGGAGTAAGTTTTCTTATGGAATATTAATTTATAAAATATTAAAATTTATATTTTTAATCCATCAGAGATTCGAAACCCCCTAAGGACATGGAGAAAAGGAAACGCAGTGGTTACTTACGCTATCCCGAGCAGCCGAATGCCATGGATGAGGCTCTTAGTTTGGGCAGTGCACCCTATGAAACCCTTAACGATGCCTATCTGGGCAATAAGAACTACATCGTTGGCTCCAATCAGTGTCCCATCATTGAGTCCATGGCGGAGCGCTGTCGAGGTGTTGATCTCATCTCCGGGGACATTAACCAGGAGCTTCTGCCCCTCTGCGGAGTTCACCAGATATGCTACCTATGTGTAAGTGGTTTTGCAAGGAAAGCATTCAAAAGGATCTTACTAAATAAGTATTTCATTTCAGGGTGCCTCGCAGGTGGCCTGCGACTATCAATATTTGGCGGAGGCTGATGGCGTTTGCGGCGATAGCAACGAATGCCAGTCGGCAGCCCGCTCCATCCTGATGATCCTGCGGGGATCCCCTGGCCGGCAGCTAGGTCCTCGAGAGTGCTTGAAGAATCCCTGCTTGTACAGGGCAATGCGTGAGATTGGGCTATAAGCGGACTGTTCAAACCTGCCGCCCAGCGTTTTCCTAACGTCTTTTTGTGTGCGTTTAAAAAGAAAAACAAAAAATCGAAAATGAAAAAATGAAAAAACGTAATGCAACCCAGAGAGAGAAGATAAAAATATGAGCCCAAAAAATAACAAAAAACAATAAGAAAACCAAAAACAAACCATGCTGAACTAGCAAAAATCAAACGATTGATTCAAAACTAAATAGTCGTCGCATATAAAGACATAATATTTTGATGGATTTTCCTGTCTGCCCTGCAAGGCGGCAGCAGCCAACTAGAGTTTACCAGATACCTAAAGAGATACAACTATATTATATATATATACAATTTCGATTCAGTTCATCGCAGTAGACGCCCGGATGGAGGCCCGATTTATTTCGTTTTAAATGTTCAGTGTGAAAATGGAAATGGAATTTTTCGAAACATATTTGCACGTTTTATGGGTGTTTAAATGTACAAAAACGTGATCATAAGCGAAACCTACATACATATGCGTAACCAAGACATACAAGTAATTAATCCAGAAACAGCTTTTTAAGTAATTTAATTTGCTTGACATTCTGTGGAAAGCAGAGCTCACATTGGCAGCTAATTCTTCTAGAAGGCTTCTATTTGGTTCGACTTGGCACATCCCAAAAAGCCATTAACATTTACATACCACATACATAATATATATAACGATTTTAGCCTATACTGAGGAAAAAAAGAAACTATATATGTACGAGTATATCACTGGCAGAGTGACTAACTATCAGAGACTTCTCTCTCCCCCGCATTACTTGTCTACAGATGAACATATACATAAATGTGTTTCAACGTGCTTACAATAAATGGACATAACTAAGACAAATATTTAAAGCTCTAAACAAATCTATAGATGTGATTATTAATATATACAAGGAGTTTAATAAATGTGTAAATCTTTTAGGGCAAGCATATACCAATCTGAACAACAGCAAGACGTTTGGTTGCGAAATCAAAATATTATTAATGTATTTACATAAACGAATATATATATATTTGAACTTGATGTATATGCTACAGTTTCAAAAACAAAACAAAACCATAAAAAAAAAAAAACAGACGTATTTGAAAATATTTATTGCTATACAGTTATCATAAATGTCGAATAAATATATCGGGGATATCCTAAAATATTAATGCTTTTTCATTTGATCTAAGGCAGCTGGTCATTGTCTGTCAGTTTTTACTTTTCCTTTTAATTTCATCCCACCAAATCATGCTTATCAAGGTTTCGCTGGTCTTTCCTACATAATGGATCTGTCTGTGAAAAGTGTGGTCCCTAAAAAGCGAAAGTTTAATGACATCCAGACACCTAAACGAATTTCTTCTCCAATTTATCGTCGCCCCACAGTCCCGAAAAAATCCATTGCCTCACCTTTTACTGCAAAGTACTCTGGATGTGTCAAGAAAGAAATGAAGAACTAACGGAAATCTTGTTTCACCTATCATAAAATATCTCATAAAATATAAATCATTTTCTAAAGAGCACAATTTTCAGTTATTTTTTTTTAATATTCATAACTGACGGTATTTGAATTTAAATTTTAAACAAGTTTGGAGTCAATGATGTGGCAATGCTGCCCATGTTAGCAAATACACCCTCCTATTTAGTCGAGTAACATCCAAGCTATCGATTATAATTCAAAAACTGATAACATTACAAGACCCCATCGATTTTGTTTCATCTCTAACAGCCACTCTGAAAACAACCTTACGCGTAATAAATATTGTTAAAAATAAACAGTGAAAAATCAATTTAAAAAAGCAACTAAATAACCAGAAAAAACCGGTGACTAAAACGTGGTTAAACAAAAGTCAGCAAACACAAAAGTACAGTTTGATTTTATCGCATTAAGCGACCCCAAAAGTTCCCACCCTTTGGTGAGTAAGAAGAAGAGCGAGTTATTCGCATGACTCATAGCGAAACGAGTTTTTATCAGATTGTTTTTTTCTCCGTTTTCATTTCCTTCGTTCAACCGAATTAGTTTGACGTCATAGCCAGGGCAAACATGAAAACCCCCGTATCAGCTGCGAATTTAAGTAACCCAAATGCTGGCAGTTCCGGAGTAACTGCCGTGCAGATCGTACCTAAAACAGAGCCCGTCGGAGAAGAAGGCACTGGACCCATGTCGCTGGACTTCCAAACACCAAACCTCAGCACTTCCACCCCGAATCCCAACAAGCGCCCGGGTACCTTAGATCTGAATAGCAAAGGTGCCAAAAATAAGCGCATCTTCGCCCCACTGGTTATCAACTCACCGGATCTTCAGGCGAAAACCCTAAATACACCGGACATAGAAAATATTCTGATGTCCAACAACCTGATCCAGACACCGCAACCAGGCAAAGTGTTTCCAACCAAAGCGGGTCCGGTCACTGTCGAACAGGAGGCCTTCGGCAAGGGATTCGAGGAGGCCCTACAGAATCTACACACCAACTCCCAGGCTTTCCCGGCTGTTAACTCCGCTCCCAATCCCACAACCACTGCGGCAGTCATGACGGCAGTAAACAATGGCATCAGCGGAGGAACCTTCACCTACGCCAACATGACCGAGGGCTTTTCGGTGATTAAAGAGGAACCCGGCAATCCAGCTGGTTCACCCACTGTCAGTCCCATCGACATGGAAACACAGGAGAAGATCAAGCTGGAGCGCAAGAGGCAGCGCAACCGTGTGGCCGCCTCCAAGTGTCGCAAACGTAAGCTTGAGCGCATTTCTAAGCTGGAAGATCGCGTCAAAATACTTAAGGGAGAGAACGTAGATCTGGCGGTCATCGTAAAGAACCTCAAGGATCACGTGGCTCAGCTGAAACAGCAGGTGATGGAGCACATTGCTGCTGGCTGCACAGTCCCGCCAAATTCGACGGATCAATAACAGTTGGAGTTGTCAGACGGTGAAGAGGATAAGGGAGATGAAAAAGTGGCACTGAGGACTGAACCTTCTTCGAATCGAGAATTTTCCGAACAGACAATGCCTCTGGAACTGTTTCTAAGTGCCACCACGAGTGCCTTGGAACTGGAGGCATCGGCCTCGCAGGATATCTCCCTAAATAATAGCGATCTTCTGGAGGAGGATGGCGAAAATGAACGGCCTCTGGTGCTCTACATCCTCTCAGACGATGCAACCTGAGGTTTTGTGCCTTTTTTCTGTTTTAGCTGCAATATTTCAAATGCTTCTCAAGTGTTTTGTTTACTTAGTTATTAGTATAAGCTAATATTAATCAAGTATTATCTGTGTTGAACGTAAGATAATATATAATGTAATTTTAAAATATACGTATATTTTCTGTACTTGATATATACATAAAAAAATTAAATCTACACCTAAAACTAATTTATTCATCATCCTCCTCGTCATCATCGTCGTCGTTAGCTTCCATAGCCTCAGCCTCTGCATCCTCTTCCATGGCGCTATCAGCCTGGTCATCGTCGTTCACATCGTCCTCGACGTGCAGCTGGAAACCGTCGCTCTTTGTCCACGAACACTTCATGGTCAAACGGAATTTCGCCATGGGTTTGCCCACCAGTTTAAGAATTCTCGCCTGTTCAGGCGTTAGTACTTTGCCTTCTTCGCAAACGGTGTAGTCACTGTACAGAGTAACGATTCCCTTTTCTAGTTTGGTCGGCAGGCCCAGGGATCGCAAATGCGGCTCCATGGAATGGGCAAATTCTTCTAAAGGACCAGCTGGCAGGGTAACCGTTTCAGTGGCCACAAAGCCACTGCGTGCGTACTCCACCGCCCAGTAGTTTTCGGCCCATTCGAGAACTTCTTTCTTGGACTTGTCTGTGAAAAGCAGACCAACCTGCCCAGTCAAGCGCTTGGAGAGCTAATAAAAATATCATTATTTTTTTATATATTTCTTACATATATATTAACCATAATTTACCTTGTACAAATCAGACTCAACTTCCTCGCTTTTGGTGCGACCCAACCCGATCTGCATGACGCGATTCTTGCCAAAGATAAATCGGGAATTCTTTTTCCACTCCTGACGCAAATCCTTCAAAAGACTATTTCTCATATTCTGGACTTGAAAAACAAATATATTTGGGTATTTGCCAACACAAAAGCGAATGTCATCCACGATTCGCTGTTTCCAAGCCAGACCCTTGCGATCGGTTTTGGTCAAGGAAACTAAATGTAGGAAAGTAAGACACATTATGTACGGAAAACCATATGGAAAAATATCCAATTTCTTACCTTTCTTATCACGTTTGGAGCGCGGCATGTCTGTATCTTTTAAATATCAAATTTTTTTGTGCTAAAAACCAAGAACTATTTCCCACACAACGTAAACACGTGCGGCACAGATGGAGATGGCAAATGTGTCTAACCATCTATCGATAGTGCCCTCGTGTATCGGAATTCTCAACCGAGCAAGTTGGAAAATTCCTGCGGGCCCATCCCTATACCTAGTTCCGACGTTTTCTAACACAGCTGCGCGTTAAGAAGAAGAAGAACCTTCAGGTCCGAGCCGTAAGAGGTGAATTAACTAATTAATAAGTTGTCGCCTGTTAAAAAGTCAGTTAAAAGTCGAGTGTTGTGAGCTTAAGGAATACGCAAATATTCAAATTACGCTTAAAAACCTAGGCACAGTGAGTAATTTCACCTAGTGCGTCGTGTGTCGGCTTGCGACCGCCATATTGTCGGCGGATAAAATTTTCCCCGAATAACTGCGCCTACGCACTTTATCGATTCCGATGGCCACCTAATTGGATGCCAACTGCCCGTGGGGCTTTCAATAATTTTGGTTGCGTGCGATATACGCATTGTGAAAATCCCATTACAAACGGCAATGGACGTAGCAATTTTTCATTACCGCAAGCAAATAGGACGCCGATGACGTAATTTTCTCCGTCTTGTTCTTTGTGAGCTGTAGTAAAAAGTAGAGATGGGCGCGTGAATCAAGTATTTTCGTGTCACGAACGAGTTACGAAAATTATTATTTTTATTTATGTCGGCAGAACAAATTTGTTGTATTTATTTAGTTTCTTTTATCTTCCTGTTGCAATGAAAAATGTTTATACATTTTATTCATATATAACTGGAACCTTATCAATTTTGATTGTTCCTAGAATTCGTAAAGCTATAATATTACTTGTGGGTCAACAAAAACATTTTTGCGCAGTACTATAAATAAGTTCTTACCATGACAGAGCTATGAAAACTTATAACTTTTAGCTACATGTTAAAGATTTTATACATTAAATGTTTTTGTTTTTATATTTTTTGTTATTAGCCCTCAATGTTTAAACTTAAATACGGAGTACTTAATTTAATTAATTTCACGCCCATAATTGGCGGCCTTTGGCTCACCCCTCGTAAAGAGCATAACTGCCGCTGATATCTCGTTTTTACGTGTGAGTTCACGGATTCAATGAAATCCAAATTAGAATTAAGGCAATTTACCGCCACCCCCTTATCAATGGCATACATCTCCCGATTAGTTTCCTCCTTGCGGAGGCCATAAAGTCAAGATAAAAGCGTAATCTGGCAGCGTGATAAGCGCTCGAAAGTTTCAACAGGTTGGAAACGAACTATAAACTATTACTTCATAAATCGTGATAATACGGAGACTTGACAATAAAAGCTGACTCGTTATAAAGCTTTTTATCATCAAGTTATGAGATGGCTGTTAATTAGTATATTGTATCTCAAAGTTTGAGTTTTTAAGTTTAACCTGCACACCTGGCAACATTACTTCAGCCGGCAGGTTGGCAACCCTGAAACGCGCACTCTCTCGCTCTCGCCTGCAGCTTTCCCGTATGCTCCCTCTCTGTTGGCGGCGGCGCATGTGCCCCATGCAAGTGTGTTTGTGGGGAAAGAGCGGCAGTGCGAGCGAGTGTGAGAGAGCAGAAACACAGATACAGCGGCGCGGCGAATGTGTGCAACCTTTGCCGTCCGTCATTCTCATTCGTTCGTTGGTAGTGTTCGTTGTCGTTTCAGTTTCAGTTAATCGAGAATGTAAGTAACATTTTTGCTGGCCCAGAGTGTCTTGTATATATATGTGTGTGCTGCGACTGCCAGTGTGTGTGTGCTTGAATGTTGGAATTATAAAACGAAAAAATTGCTAAAATATCCGATGAAAAAAACGAAAAACACGTGTAAAACCGCCGATGAGTAATCACTTACATGCATCTATACTTCGGCCCGCAGGAAAATCGAAATATCTCAATCAGGCATCGATCCAAAGCCAAAAAAAATTCTACGCAAAAAGTAAAAAGTGTGAATTTGTGCAAAAAGAAAAAAAAAACGAAAAAAGAAAGAAAAGAACATTCCCGATTTGCCCGAGTATTGGTGCATGTATGTGATGCGGTGAGATTCGCTTGTAGCTTCGTATTTCTCATCATCATCATCATCATCATGAGCAGTTCATCGGTTAAGTTGTAGGCGGCGGACATAGCCGACTTCTATATATACGCATATATAGTCAGCTATATGTACACACAGTACGCCAAAGATATATACATATAAATATATATATCGACTTGGATGGGGACACGCGGTTAGGTGGGTTTCCCTCACCAAATTCAACACACTTGGCGGCCGCCTGTGGTAGATACATTTCAATCTCTCATTTTCGTCGCGGCGTTCTCAGCTCTCCTGCTCTCTTTCTCGGGCTCCCCGCTCGTTCTTTTACTCTTCGCTCCCCTTTTCTTCCGATTATTTTTATAATTCTGTAGCGCCGCACTTGGAAACACGATTGGCGGCCCCACCAATACCATCTCCAACAATCACCACCACCACCCAGAACGCACCAGCTCACTCATACATATAGGGGCGAACCAAAACGCACACGCACACAGCCCCCATAAAAAAGTTAGTAACTTTTTCGCCCCATGTAGAGTTCGTAGTATAGTAGCGGTATCTACAGTGTGTGTAGAGGAATTTCTACATCGTCGGGAGGTGGGTTTGGTATTTACGAAGGAGAGGGGATATTCTTAAGCTACTGCGCATGCTGTGTCGGCCGGCGCAGATAAAAGTTTAAAGTACCATGGATTTTGCAGAGTTTTTTTTAGCCCCCGGAATTATTAGCCTAACCATATGGGTTTTACCCTTCTCTAAACTCGTATCTAAAACATTGGAGAACCCCTTCTCCCACCTGTATTTTCAGCCTTTTACTAATTAATTCATTCAAGCAGATGAGCAATCTGCGTGGTTGAAACAAGTTTTTTGTTGTTTGTTTCTTTTGATTTATCCGATAGAAAAACTACCAAACATTTTTGTGCCCATTTTTGGGGAGTGTTACGTTAATTTACGTTACGCCTGGCTTAATGTTTTGGCATTTACTCGAGTAACCAGAAATAAATACATGTCAATTGACCTAAAAACGCGTTGGTAGACCGCACCCATCCCCTTCCTCCATACATCCCCTTGCCACGCCCCGCCGCCTTTGTTTTGACAAAGGGTCAATGCTTTTTCAATTTGGCGGTCGATCGCAATACAAATAAAAGCGTTTTTTGTATGTATGTTTCAAACATCTATTAATTGATTTTCAAATAACTGCGCAGCATACACTATTTTGAATTTTAGTCTACATGGAGAACTATAAACTAACTAAACTAAAGTATATAAGTTTAAAAAAAACCAACACTTAATTCTAATCTTAAACTTCTTGCCCTCGAGTCAAAGTACAGCTTTAAAAAATATAACTTTAAAACATCTTAAAATTTCACTACTGAATATAAATATATTTATCGCAACATTCCTTTTGTTAAACTTAAAGTTATGTTGCTTATGATATCAACAAATGAGTCATAGAAGTTTATTTATATTAATTTAAGATCTTTATGAAAGTAAACAACCTTTTAGTTGCCAGATGTTGTGGTCGCAGTTAGCCAGGCCGGACTGTAAATCCAATTGAATGCGGTATTTGTAGGATGGTCGGTGGTGCTTTTATGACGCCGATGTGTTGAGATTTTCCATTTCAATCATCGCTTGGCTGCATTAGTTGGCTGGCATTCTTGTGCTTGGTTTTTCGAGGTTTCCACCGGTCGGGCAAACAAAATGTTGTTTGTTTTTTGTCCAGAGCGCAAGTTGTCTAAAAATACCAGCAACGCCCATATGCATTTCCACACACACACACACTGATTTTCACCCCTCGGCCCATTTAGTTCTTGCTTTCAAGCTTTCTATAGGTCGGGCGGAAATTAATCGATTTTCCTTCCCTCTAACATCCCTTTCCTGAACAGCCAAGCCGGAAATTGATCCTACATTGAAAGTTTGGATAGATCCTATCGCGAAAAGAAACTAATTGGATTACGTGTGAGCGCATTAATGAATGTCGCATATTTTCCTGGTTTTTTGTTTTCTAATAATTACAGCACGTTTAATCGATAGAAGTTCACTGAGTGGGCAAATAATTGAGTGCGTCACTGTACGACAAAATATACAAACCGACAGTCTTTATGCACGTACATAAATGTCTATCTTTGGCGCACACACAAAAATATATAAAAAACGCATTAAGGCGAGCCGACTTTTGCTCCATTTCTCCCTCTCTCTTTATTCATGGGTTTATTTTTATCGCTGTTTGTCGAACTTGTCTTTTTTTCACATCTATCTAGTAGATACTCTCTACTCGCTCTCCACCTTCGGCCTTCCATAATCTATAAACTGGACTTCAAATAGTTGCATTTGCTGTCACACGTGCGGCCATGTCCAGTGAACGTTTTTTTTTCCTTTTTAAATTAGCCATTCCGTCAGCGATTAGTCAATAAAGACCTGCTGCGAAACCATGACTCATCGCAGCTTTAAATTCAACACTTTCGTCAAGCGGAAGCATGACAACAAACTAAATTCGTACGACCTACCCTGGAATACTCGCAGCAAGTGCATTGCGGGTATATTGGGTATGCTTAGAATGTCAATGTTATTACTTAGTAATCGTCAAGGTCTAAGCTCTAAGGTATTCAAATTTTAATCGTAGTTTATCAACAGAAAGGTATTAAAAAGTTTATGGGGGTGTGATTTGAAATATGTCTTAGACTATATTGCAGTTCCTTTTAAAGTTTTGATGGACTTAGTTTTTAAGGGATTCAGATTGATATATGAATTCCCTATATAGTCCATCATCTCCCAGTAAGTACTGTGTACTTATATGGCAATTCACTCAACTCAAATGATTGACTAACAAAAATTCGCAGTGTTGTGCAACAACAGCAACGGCTGGCTGTGGAATTCCAGCTGAATAACAGCCAGGTAATCCGCAACAGAAGTCTGTTAGTCAGTCAGGTGTTTGTAAAAGGCAAACTGCCAAGAACCGTTAGCCGAGATAACAGTTATAGGTGATAGCCTCACCTACATTTCTCCTCAGCTAAAAAACACACTAATACTCTTGTTTACGTTCTAATTTATTGCAGAAAGCCATCGTAAGCAACTTTTGAGCGGCATATCGAACTGTGTGGCGTATTTTATTAGTTTTGTGAAGTAACCAAAAAAAAAAATCAAACAAAATGTCGACAGTCGATAAGGAAGAGCTGGTCCAGAAGGCTAAATTGGCCGAGCAGTCAGAACGGTAAGTAAAGAGTCCTTTAAATTTAAGGTTTACCAACATTAGAATGTCCAAAGTGCCTTAGTAACTCTTTAAACTCTGACTCATACTTTGTCAAGCGTTTGGTATTTTGACATGAGATAATAATAACAAATTTGAAAGTGTTTACTCTTCTGAAATTAGCGTCATGTCTAAGACAATAAACAATACGTTTTGTATGTTATTTTTATTACTCAATTATTAGATATTTGTTTGTCTGAATATTGCCTTTTGATAGCATTAAGGTACTAGAGTTATTTGAGCTTGATATTCTAATTAACAAAAAATTTGATGAATTTCTAATTACTAATGAAATGTTATCTATACAGCTACGATGACATGGCCCAGGCCATGAAATCCGTCACAGAGACTGGCGTTGAGCTCTCAAATGAGGAAAGAAACCTACTCTCCGTTGCCTACAAAAATGTGGTCGGTGCCCGCAGGTGAGTCGATCAATCACCGTTTGATTAATGTCGCACCATAGATTGGAGTTCAAGTGCTAAACTGTATGTTTCCTCTTTATCTTTTTCTGTGTTTGTTTAACATGGCCAAACCAGGTCATCGTGGCGTGTCATCTCCTCCATTGAGCAGAAAACCGAAGCATCCGCTAGAAAACAGCAGCTCGCCCGTGAGTACAGAGAGCGTGTGGAGAAGGAGCTGAGGGAAATCTGCTACGAAGTTTTGGTAAGTGATGGTCCGCAAGTCTGCGCAAGTCTCTTTTTGACGGATTTATGGGGTTGTAATTGGTCCATCTAATTATTTTTATACCCACAACTCACTTGGGTGTTCATCTAAATTGACGGTGATGAAGCTGGGCAAACCTGTCAACCGCCTAAATATATATATATATCTTTTATATATATATATATAGACCTCCGCCCTTGGCAAGCTCAGCTGTGGAGGGTGTTGGTCGGTTGGTTGGCTTTTCCAGAGGGTGGGCCCCAGTTTTCTGCTTCTGCTCTTCTTTCTTGCTCTAGTGAAATATAAAATTTGTTACAATCAATAAATCTATTTTTAAAATGAACATTTTCCATTTTCCCCCACACACAGAGGTTTTCGCTTGTGTGTATATGGAATATATATTGCCATACACTGATCAGAAAATAGACCACGGCCAGGGTTGAACTTGGGGTTTCCCCCCTCTTATTCGTTTTCCTTTGATTGGGGTTCTTATGTTGGATTAAACTCAACTTGTGCCTGATGGATTTTTAAATGGAAAATGTGATACAGAACAGGGTTTACAATAAGGCAAACAGCTTATTTGGTTAATTGCTGTGGTTGAGGCTGCTGTAATCGAGCTGAAATTAATTGAAGTGCTTGTTCTCTTTGATTACAGGGACTTCTGGACAAATACCTTATTCCAAAAGCCAGCAATCCCGAGAGCAAGGTGTTCTACCTGAAGATGAAGGGTGATTATTACAGGTATTTAGCCGAGGTTGCCACAGGAGATGCACGCAACAGTAAGTATCATGGATAGGAACTCAATCACAAAAACACCCTATTACCATTTTGAATATACAAATAACAAACTTTATGAAAAAAAAACCAATACAACAAATATTATTGCAAACACAGCCGTTGTCGATGACTCGCAAACCGCTTACCAGGATGCATTTGACATTAGCAAGGGTAAAATGCAGCCAACACATCCCATCCGTTTGGGTCTGGCCCTTAACTTCTCAGTCTTCTACTATGAGATTTTGAACTCACCAGACAAAGCTTGCCAATTGGCTAAACAGGTTAATAACACACTTGAGACTTGGCTCGATTAAATGAAATGTATGGCAAGCAGCGAGCAAGGCACACACCAAAAAAGTCATTCTCCATTGATATTTAAGAATTTTTTTATGTTTCTTTTTTTTAAATGGTTTATCTAACATTTTGGTATATATTTGTTTCTTACTTTTTCAACATAATCATGTGTAAATCGTTAAGCCGTCGTTGAGGACTCGAAAAAAGCCTATCAGGAGGCGTTCGATATTGCAAAAACCAAAATGCAGCCCACACATCCAATCAGATTAGGTCTTGCTCTCAACTTTTCCGTCTTCTATTACGAAATTATCAATTCACCAGCGAGGGCTTGTCACTTAGCTAAACAGGTTCAGTTCAACTTATACATGTCTCTTCTATGTATACTTAATAGCTCGCTTACGAATACTAATCATCCAATGAAAAAGATACAATTTATTGTTGTTCTGTGACTAAACTGAGTAAGATATCTAGCGACTAATAAACCAACTAAATGAGCTTTAACCCTTAGAAAGATATACACTTAAACACAAAGGCGTTTCAAAAGTTTCATCAAAAGCAATGCTGCGATCAAATTTCCCTTTAATAACTATTAAAATGTTAAACTTTTCGACTGTAAAAGCTACTTACTTTTCCACTCCAATAACAAGTAAAGAACTAAACTTTAACAACTCTTTTTTACAAACAGACTTTTTTGTAATTCTACTGAAATTCCAAACTTTCTGAAACGCCAAGTATATCCAACCACCCAGTTTTCCCCCTCGAACTGCATGAGAAATGCCAAAAAACTTTGCCTGTGAAATAATTTACTTGCGGCCTTTGCTGGTGAACACTTTTCGTTTTTTATTTCGTTAAGGTCAACAAAAACACTTTTTGGTTATTTTTATTTTGATTTACACACACACTTTGCTTTCGAGTTTAGTTTGAAGAAGTTGTTTAGTGAAGCCAATTATGAATGTATGATGAACCTAACGCCAATTTGAAAATGCTTTTGTTCTACCAACTTGCATTCGCCTTGCCAAAAAAAAAAAAAAAACATTTCCTTTAATTCGAAACCTTTTTGGAGAATCAATACTAATAAGACTATTTTTATTTGACCACGATGATGTAGGCGTTCGATGATGCGATAGCCGAGCTGGACACACTCAACGAGGACTCCTACAAGGACTCGACACTCATCATGCAGCTGTTGAGGGACAACCTGACTCTCTGGACGTCGGACACCCAAGGCGATGGCGATGAGCCACAGGAGGGCGGCGACAACTAACCAAACAACTAAGCAAATGTTTCCTTTTTGACTATGCAAATATTATTCAGTAATACAAAACAAACAAAAACCAGAAACAACAAAGAGAAACAAATATTATAAAAAAAAAAAAACGCAAACCAGCAAAGCAAAAACAATTTGAAAATGAAACGATAATCCAGGCGAGAGAGAGAGAGAGAACAGCAAGCAGGCAGGCAGGAAGCGCTAACATTTGAGACATTTACATACGAATTGAAAGGCAGGATGCTTCACAGTTCTTCATTTAAGGCCGATGGGCCGGCATTTGAGGCCGTTAACCCCCCCGATTGTTACGGGTCAATTTTTAGCCGGGCTCTGGTTTCAAATAGAGCCCACAATCTATATACATATAGTCAGTGAAAATGTATGGACAGATGCCGGTCGATCTGACTCAAATGTAGCAAACTGCAACTGCTTAAGAAATACAGAAAAAATACAGCATCGCTGAAAGGGTGTCGAATGAATGCGGTGTATCTTGGAGTTTGGTAGGAGATTTTCCGGTGTTTTTCAATCAAAAATAATATAGCAGATAATTCGTAATTGTATGTGTGTGTTGTATTTCCCCTGATCGAAATGGCCAAACTCTAGATACCCCGAATTTGTTCACCCTGGGCGATGCCTCGTGTGGATTTCCTCCTTACAAAACAAACAAAATAAATAATATTCCTAACTGTATACACAAGAAATGAAATGAGATAATCGGTTATTATACGTTTTTTGCAAGAGTCTAAATTAATTATTTAATTTTTTCGTATGGCAACAGAAACAATGCAAAAGATACAGCAACAGCAACAACAACAGCAAAAACCAAGCGAACCAAATGAGAAAACAAAAACTTATGTATTATTTGTAATTCTTTTTCTAAACAAATAAAACCAAAAAAACCTAGTTTCCCATTTTATGTTTTATTTGAATTTACAATTTTTCATATTTTTTGGATTTTTGTTTTTTTTTTTAACCTCCCCCCACACACACAACCACTACAAGAACAAGAAACAGAAGCAAACACAGACAAACACACACAGACAGGGCTGCATTTATATAATGCACGTGCGGAAATCGGTTCAAATCCCATGAATCAGGAACCATATCTGTTAGAGGAACGTGGTGAGAACGGAAAAATACAGAAAATATATAATTGTTCATTGCTATTTTTTATACATGTCTTACATAAAACAAAAGGGTTAAATCTACAATTGCAATTTCTTTGTTGTTTTTTCTTGGTATAAACAATTGTGAAAAGCATAACTCATATAATACATACATATAACCAACTGTCTGTCAAATGAAATTTTTCGAACGAAATGCAATTATCCGATAACCGGAAATGAAATCATCCAATTTTTAAAATGTGCAACAACATGGCGAAAGGCACGAGTTTTATTGTGCGCAATGTTTTGCACAAGTTTCCATAAAATATTTTCCCAAAATAAAAAGAAATTAACCGCCATTAATTGTTCCTAAAAACTGGCGTTAATTTCTTAACACTTTAATTTGATAGTTCGAAAAAGTTTTCGACTTCTTAAATTTATGACAATTGCAGCCTGCGAATCAGCAATGGAAATATTTAACAAAACAATTTAAATGAAGATCGAATCAAAATACATAAATATTGTGAACTAAAAACTATTCAAATTTTTCATTTAAATACAAGAAAACTTTGCATGTGTATTGAAAGAAAATATATATTATTGTCCAACAAAACGGTAACATACAGAACATATGTATGTATGATAAAAGTAAATGTATATTTTCGCAATTGAATTTATCGCTATATTATGAATGTGAGGAATATAAAAACAAAAACAAACAAAAAATATATATATTTAAATAAATGAAAACACTTTTGCCGCAACGCTAATAAGTCGAATCCCAAAAAACATATAAAAATAATAATAATATTGTGAAACTGCAATACATTCATGAAACAGAGTAAATAACAACCAGATGAATAAAATTTAAAAACCGGGTGTAGGCGTAAATTGTATGCATATAACAGAGGCAAAGATTGATGTATGAGTGGAATATTTAAGTTTATTGAAATTACAGTTTCTTAATTACCAACAAAAAAAAAACAAAAAATTAAATAAATAATACAAAAAAACCAAACCAAATGTCTTTTTATCGGAACTTTCGTTTTAATCGGGGTTCACTTAGCTTAAAATGTTAAAAATTAACATAAATTGAATGCGAAAAGTAAAGATAATTTGGTAAGCTTATAAAAATGTTCAATATTTAGGAGCAAAATTTAATTTGGCATGAATTCATTCAAATTTCGAGTATTAACTAAATTAAAACCATTGTAAGTTGCATTCAGGGAACTGCATTTTCAATATATACATATGGTCTTGAAGCTAATTCTTTTTAAAGTTTTTTAGAAATCAATGAGAGAATATCAAAAGAGCGGTATTTTCATGGACTTTATATACAATTTTTAAACCCCGTCAAAAAATCTCTTATTAAGCATCAGGTAAAAATTAAAAATAATGTACTGATTTTTTTAAGGATTTCTTCCCCGATAGTTAACTGTTCCCAGGATCGATCACCAGTGCACCCGAAGTCAATTGAAGTGTCACTGTCGAAGAAATAAAAAAGGCTTTTATTTAACTATACAAAAAACTGGAAAACTTAATTTAGTAAAGACGCTTAGTGATTCTGGTGATCAAAAGAACGATTCTCCTGGTATAGATAATTCCATATTTTTCAAACCACAATGTGGACAACCCGGGGACTTTCGCAGTGGTTTTTATGCCCCTCAGACACAGTCTAAAAATACTGCTAAAAAGAAAAAGAAGGCGAAGAAGGATAACTCAAAAAAGAAATGTGCTCAAACTCTGAAAGACGCGCGAAAACCTTTTAAAACTTTGCAAGATGTTTTGGATGTGCATCCTTTGAGACCTTTTGTAAGTTTTTTTTTTTTGTATGTTTTATTGATCTACACAAAAAAAATATTCATGTAAGTCTAGTAATATATCAACTACATTTTCAAATCTTGAAATCGTTATCCTTATCGTTACATTCAAAAAGCGCTCTCATCGATAACGCTTATCGCACTCACCCACCACCGATGACAGCCCTGCTCCCACAATTTTGCCCCATCCCAACGGGTGAAAGCTCACGAAAGCTTTTACTCGCCCAGTGATAAACAGCTGATCAGCAGCTGACCGATTGTGGGCTGAACGTAAACAAATTGCTTAAACGCTATTTTCCGTTCGTTGCTACTCGCGAAAAGTCCGCTCATAACAGATCGAAACATTTAAATATTAATCTTAAACCAATTACGTTCGAAGAAAACGTGTGGGTGTTAACTTTTAGGATTTTAATCATCCAAAGTTTGCATTGCATCAGTACGCACTTACAGAAAGCCCGTGACTGTGTGCGTGTGTCGGTGTGTGTTGTGTATGCGTCTCTGGCCTGAAGGTCACCTTGAAACGTCAAAAGCAAAAGCGAAACTTGTGAATACCGCCTGTGAATATAATATCGCTAGTAACTGAAAAGCCACGGAAAGGAGCAGTAGTAGTATTTATAGGCCATTTCAACATATATATATAACCCAGCTCCAGCTGCGTGGTTAGAATAGTTGAAAAAATACAATCAAAATTAACTGGATAATATAGGAGAAAAGACTTTCCTACATCCAATATAGTGCATAACAGTTGGTGGTTCCTAGTTTTGTGTGTTTGTGCGATAATATCCCTTAACATCTGAGATACATTTACATAGTTACAAAATAACAAAAAAATAAGCAAAAATATGAATTCCGAGATTAATCAACGATTCCTGGCCCGTGGCTCGCAGAAGGACAAAGGATTGGCGGTCTTCACCAGCGGCGGGGATTCCCAGGGAATGAATGCCGCCGTACGAGCATGTGTGCGTATGGCCATCTATTTGGGCTGCAAGGTGAGTTTGTGACCTCTGTCAAGTACTTTCCGCCCCCACAGCATCGTGTCTGGTAACCCCAAAATGACCAAATATCAACCAACCCCACGTGAACCCAGAAATTTACGTAAAAACACCTGGTAATTTGCTTATCAACAGGCATTGAACCATAGCTATGCGATTGTTAAGCCAGTTAGATAATCTCTAATCGGTGCGAAAAAGAATTCAAGTATACGAGTACGAGTATATGTATGCACATTGACATTGGGTTTATTTTCGGGACCCACTCGCATGCGATTTATTTCGGCTAATTTGTTTCGTTTTTTGTTGTCGCTCTTGGTTTCTTTTCGGTTTATTTTATTTGCTGTTTTTTTTTTTTTTTTTTAATTTAAATAAGTTCTTATGTTTTATAGGGAAATTGCGGCTGGCTGGGCACTTTTTGCCCTCGAAAATATGCAAAAAAATTTTCAATTGGTGCCCAATTTAAATCGATTAAAACCTATTTATTTGAATTCAATTTATTGGGGGTCAATGAAAGTGAAATTTATGACACGCGACAAGAGAAAATTTATTAGCTATAGCCTATACATGCTTAAAATTTACATTTTTCATAATAATTTTCTATTTTGATTGGCTGCTAGGCAGTTCCACTTATCTTATCGGAATAATCTAATAATGCCCAGACATCATTATTGTTTACTTTGTTTCACGTTTTTGATTTTTAAGTGTTACAAACTTTTGATGTCTTTTAATGAAATTTGAACTGCTAAAAAAGTATATTAGATATAGATTTTAATGCATTTTAATGCAATGAGAGTTTAAAATATAGAAAGGGTTCTGGAATCGTGTTTTCTTCCATCGATTGTGTAATAATAATAAATTTTAATAATGAAAATATCGCGATCTTCGCAATATATAAATGAGTGTTAAATATTTGTTCTGTTAATTGAATTTATATCAAATGTTGACGATTCATGATGAAATTTCGGCTTATGATGTCATCCCCTGAAGAGATAAACTCTTTTCTGGTTTACACAATATCTACAAAAATTTCGTATCTTTTCCTGTCAAAGGTCTACTTCATCCGCGAAGGTTATCAGGGAATGGTTGATGGTGGCGATTGCATCCAGGAAGCCAACTGGGCCTCGGTGTCTTCCATCATCCATCGTGGTGGCACCATCATTGGTTCTGCCCGTTGCCAGGACTTCCGTGAGCGTCAGGGACGCTTGAAGGCTGCCAACAACCTGATCCAGAAGGGAATCACCAATCTGGTGGTTATTGGAGGAGATGGCTCTCTCACCGGCGCCAATCTGTTCCGTCAGGAATGGCCCAGTCTGCTGGATGAGCTGGTCAAGAATAAGACCATCACAACCGAGCAGCAGGAGAAGTTCAATGTGCTGCATATTGTGGGATTGGTAAGTTATCTATGGTAATCTTAGGGTTTCATTGCTTATAGAGATGCATATTTTCAGGTGGGCTCCATTGACAACGATTTCTGTGGTACGGACATGACCATCGGAACGGATACGGCTCTGCATCGTATCATCGAGGCCATCGATGCCATTTCCAGTACCGCCTACTCTCATCAGCGTACCTTCATCATGGAGGTCATGGGTCGTCATTGCGGGTAAGTTGATTTTGTAATAGGAAAATATCCAAGCAAAGTTGGGCTGGCATTGTATTAGCCTAAGTGTGAGTGATTAATTGGGATTTTAGCTAATGCCTGCAACGACTATCTTTAGCTATCTGCCGGTAGTAGCCGGCATTATCTCCGAGGCAGACTACGTCTTTCTGCCCGAATATCCTCCGCCGCAAGATTGGCCCGATCGACTTGTCCTCAAGTTGGAACAGGCAAGCCACCATAAACGGAAATCTGTTGAATGTCGTCGACTCATTTCGCACATTTCTGTTGTGTTTTGGCCAAATAAATATCTACTGTCGATCGATCTTAGTGTTCCCCAAGAATCCCACCCCCTCCCCTTTTTGACTAATATTTAATGTAATATATTTTTACAGCTATTTAGCTCTTGTGGGCGGACTGGCGTGCGAGGCGGATTTCATATTCATTCCCGAAATGCCGCCCAAGGTCGATTGGCCAGACAGGCTCTGCTCTCAGCTGGCCCAGGCAAGATGCAGCTCTATTTTCCATACCATCTGCACTGAGAAAAATTGCTATTTAGTATCAGGAATATGTTTTCGATATCTTAAACTATAAATATTATATCTGGTACTAAGATCGAAATGCTATCGAGATATTATTCCTGTTTTTAGATCAAGTTTTTATACTTCAGTGCAGTTGTCGTCGCTTAATGTTGATATCAATGCCTTAGTAGTACATTGGTACTTTTAAGTACACCATTTTTTTTTAAAGACACTGATTAAGAGCGACACTTGCCATACAAAAAGCTTTTTCTTATTTTCTGCTTACTGCACACGAATGATACTCTAAATACAAACGGAGATACGGAATGAATTACGCACAGTTTTTGTCTGTACCAAGCATATCAAATATCATATTGTAACTAATCTTAAGTTGATCCCAGATACTCCCAAATCCCCAAAAAAAAATAATATTTATACATCCCCGACATTTGTGAAACATTTTTTATTTTCTGTACTTAATCTTTTGTTTTTTTAGTTACTTAGCCATATCGGCAGCCATAGCCACAGAGGCTGATTTTATGTTCATACCCGAGGAGCCGGTATCAGTCAATTGGCAGGACGAGATCTGTCTCAAGCTCCAGCAGGTCAGGCCAAGAGTCCTTCGCTGTTCAATTAATTTCTAGTTAATCTTTTTGTCAAATTTCGAATTTCCAAAATTTTGTAATGCTTTTCTTACTTTTTGGCCCTGTATTTGGTGTGCCGAAATTTCCATGGCGATAAACAGCTTTAACAGCTATTTGATTTAGTTTGTTGGGTCTTTGGGTCTCTGTTTTATGTACTTCTCATGATGTCACTGAGTTCCTCTATTAACTTTCCCAACTCCACTAACATTCATCCTCTCGTCTAATCGATCTGTAAATCTTCATAAAAGTTTCATTTATCGACTTACTATGACTTGTGCGTCTGTTCTTCATATTTCAAGACAGTTACTCAGCTACAGTGCGTTTCATAAAGAAAAACAATATTATTCATCGCCATTTATCTTTATTTTGCATTTCAATGTTATAGTGAATGAATCAAACTCAATTTCATAAACCTATTTGACTTAAAACTATAAATATAGGTCAATATATAACATTCTGAAACGCACTGTATTCATAAGCTTGCTGATACACATATCTCAAACATCAAAAAGGCAAAGCATACATAAAATATACATCATAGATAATATGATGTACACATACATCAAGTCTCTTCGTAATTTGTTTTTGCTGTTGTAGTTTTTTGTATCATCCACCAATAGAATGTTTGTATATATACTTAAACATATATATTACCGATTTCCTAACAGGAGCGTTCTGCTGGTCAGCGCCTGAACATCGTGATCGTGGCAGAGGGTGCCATGGATCGTGAGGGTCATCCCATCACTGCCGAGGATGTAAAGAAGGTGATCGATGAGCGTCTTAAGCACGATGCCCGTATCACGGTTTTGGGTCACGTGCAGCGAGGTGGCAATCCCAGCGCCTTCGATCGTATTTTGGTGAGTATCAGCCTTAGGATTATCTGAAATAGTACAAAGGCAATTTCTGTAGCATACTTTTGAACGACTGTTTGAACGTCTTTAAAAAAAACACTTTTAAAATACCTTTCCCCCTTTTGTAGGCCTGTCGCATGGGTGCCGAGGCTACTCTGGCCCTGATGGAAGCCACCAAGGAGTCGGTGCCAGTAGTCATCTCGCTGGACGGTAACCAGGCTGTTCGCGTGCCGCTGATGGAATGCGTGGAGCGCACCCAGGCTGTGGCCAAGGCCATGAAGGAGAAGCGCTGGGCGGATGCTGTCAAGCTGCGTGGTCGCTCCTTCGAGCGTAACCTGGAGACCTACAAGATGTTGACGCGCTTGAAGCCCCCCAAGGAGAACTTCGACGCCGATGGCAAGGGTATCGAGGGTTACCGTCTAGCTGTGATGCACATTGGTGCCCCAGCTTGTGGAATGAATGCTGCTGTGCGCAGTTTCGTCCGTAATGCCATCTACCGAGGCGATGTAGTGTATGGAATTAACGATGGTGTCGAGGGTCTGATTGCCGGAAATGTCCGCGAGCTGGGCTGGTAAGTAACAGATCTATTGGTTCTAGTTTGAGTCTTTATTTTCCTTAACCTACTTTCAGGTCCGATGTCTCCGGATGGGTTGGACAGGGTGGAGCCTACTTGGGCACCAAGCGTACTTTGCCTGAGGGCAAGTTCAAGGAGATCGCTGCTCGCCTTAAGGAGTTCAAGATTCAGGGTCTCCTGATCATCGGTGGTTTTGAGAGTTACCATGCTGCCGGACAGATTGCCGATCAGCGGGACAACTACCCACAGTTCTGCATCCCGATCGTCGTTATCCCATCGACGATCTCGAACAATGTTCCCGGAACCGAATTCTCTCTGGGATGCGACACTGGTTTGAACGAGATTACGGAGATTTGCGACCGTATTCGTCAGTCGGCCCAGGGCACCAAGCGTCGAGTGTTCGTTATTGAGACCATGGGTGGCTACTGCGGTTACTTGGCCACCTTGGCTGGCTTGGCCGGTGGTGCTGATGCCGCCTACATCTACGAGGAGAAGTTCTCCATTAAGGACCTGCAGCAGGATGTCTACCACATGGCCTCCAAGATGGCCGAGGGCGTCTCGCGCGGTCTGATCCTGCGCAACGAGAAGGCCAGCGAAAACTACAGCACGGACTTCATTTACCGTCTGTACTCTGAAGAGGGCAAGGGTCTCTTCACCTGCCGAATGAACATCTTGGGACACATGCAGCAGGGTGGCTCTCCCACTCCCTTCGACCGCAACATGGGCACCAAGATGGCAGCCAAGTGTGTCGACTGGCTAGCCAACCAGATCAAGGCGAACGTGGACGCCAACGGTGTTGTTAACTGCAAGGCCCCGGACACCGCCACGTTGCTGGGAATCGTGTCGCGACAGTACCGCTTCTCCCCACTGGTCGACCTCATTGCTGAGACCAACTTCGAGTGAGTATAAATCTCTCTCGGGATTCCTTTAACAAATGTTAAAAGAAAAACCAAAACTAATTGTAATTATATAATCATCTTTCAGCCAACGCATCCCGAAGAAACAGTGGTGGCTGCGCCTGCGTCCACTTCTGCGGATCCTGGCCAAGCACGATTCCGCATACGAGGAGGAGGGTATGTACATCACTGTCGAGGAGGAGTGTGACACCGACGCCGTCGCCTAAGCGAACTCGGATCCGGACTCTATATCCCCACTTCTGCTTACCGCCTCCATCGCTGCATCGAAGCATCTATGTTCTCCTATCCGCACCCTCGAATCTGTCTCTGTGTTCGCTTTTTGAGTTGTTTTGGCACCGCATCCGATCCGTTTTATGGTTTTTCCCAAGATCAGACGAAGAGGCCCATGACAGCAGCACATACGAAAGTATTTCATCATCAACAGACGCATACAATACGCACAAATACATAACTTATTTATATATATATTGCCCGCCAATTGATTTTCTTATGATTTTTTCAAAATATCGCGTATTCTTGAATTTTGAATCTCGAATACTTAAATATCGTTAATAGTTAATTCTACATTGCAGCCGTTCCCAAGTGTCTGCAGACCTGTTAGCGGACACCGTTTCGTATGTTATCGTAAATTGTTGGTTCTTCAGCCCAACTAAATTAAATGTTAAAGTATTTACACAAATTACACCCAGTCAACGGAACAAATTCTATCTGCAAAGTGTTTTTCGAGTATTGTTATCGAACGAAGCAATGATCTATTTATATCGGTGTGCTAAATACATTATCAAAGACCTGTAGGCACAATTTAATCATGATTAGTTGTATTATTTGCATGTGGGAAAGTGGAAGTATATTTGGATTTCGATATCAGCCATAGACACTGAATAGAATACAGCCCTATAAAAATATTTGAAAAAGTGCGCCAAAAGGCAATGTGAACAATATATCGATAAGAAACGATTTTTACGCATCTGTTTTTTTGGGCTTATGTCAGTTGCATTGTCGTTTAATCAATCAATGATTAATGCAAAAGCCTTGCATTTAACTTTCTTACGACTACTAAATAGGTCATAAAGGTAGTGAATCACAGAATACATTACAAAAATGTTATAACCGAAAGGAACTATAACAAACAATCGATTTAAAACTATCGGCGCAGTGGATGTTGCCATCGCTCTTTCTCCAGCCCTAGCCACTTCGACTTTTTTTTGCCACGGATTGTGTATGTAGTTTTAATTGTGCTCGAAAAAACTGAGTTAAAGTGAATGTCAGCGTTAAGAAATTAAGCCCGAAAGTACTAGACACCTTGGTCCATAGTGATACGCAATTAAAAACGATGCCAATACAATAGTTCCATTTACTAAAACGGGTACGAAGCCAACTCGAATTCGAGTTTCGAAGTGCGTATCACAAAATTTCAAAGAAATTTTACGGGGGGAAAAATAGCAAAGAGACGCTACTATGTACATATATGTTTATATATATAGGATGTCGATCTAATGGATATATTCGATGTTCTTATTGTTTTTCGGGTATTCCATTTTTGCAGCAACTCCAAGACGCTGCTGCTAACGTATTCTGTCCATTAAGAACCGAAACGCCACTGGAAAGAAATGGTGTCCACCCGCCAAATGTGCAGTGGAGGCGGTACGTCCGCTTCAGAGGGTATTGCGGCCTTCCTAGCAGCGGGATTGGTACCTGGCGTGGCATCCGGATCAGGAATGGCAACCGGATCGGGAACTGGGATACAGGAGACCCCTGAAACCACGGCAAACCGTACCTCCGTCCTGCGGCGAACCACCAGTTATCAGGGTCAGAACCAGGCTCAGGGATCTGGTCAGGTGACTTCACCTGCCAGTTTGGCCTACTCAGCCAGCGTGGTGACCCGCCACCATTCGTACACTATCCAAACGCAACGACAAAGGTCACCATCAGCCACCAGCACCACCACAACTAACTCGCTCAGTTTGTTCGATCTGCCCAACGAGCTGATTGAGAAGATCCTCAGCTACTTGGACTTTAAGAAAGTTTCAGATCTCAGATTGGTAAGTGCACCGCCCTCCTCTGTCTCCCTATGTTCCACCCAAAACGCTGGCTATTAAATCAATAAAAAGCAATTTGCCCAAGTGCAAGCGTGGTACGGGTTGTGGGTTATCCAACCAACCAGCCAACAAACTACCTGCACTTGTATGCCTGTTTTGATATTCTGCTGTTATGTGTATTATTTTTCGCCATGCGTTGTATGTACATATAGTTAGTACTTTCCTCGACGGATTTCGGAATTTCGGATTTCCCTTAGCAGGAGGCAATTAAAACTTTGTCACGAGGGCACCATGCACTTGCGATTGTTTATATTTAGCAGCGCATTCGGCATCTTGACTCCGGCGGGGGGCGGTAGATTAGCAAGAACGAAATATTTGTACATAAACAGTTTCATTTTATGAATTCCACATTTTCTTTTCAACTTTCTGCAGCTACATATATCTGTTTTAAAACCGCAACATTGTTAGATAAGTAGGTGACGCAGAAAATATATTTTTAGCTAGAAAAGAAAGAGGTAAAAAGGACTTTAAGAAATGTTAATTTTTTATTATATTATTGATGACGATAAGGTACTTAAATTTTATTTTAATGTGCTGTTCATTTTATAACTTTCATCTTCAATGTTTTAGTTTAAAAATCAGAGAACTAAAGTTAATAAGAAGAACCCAGTACCAATCGCAAGAATCCCAATGTTTGACTTAAATCATCCTACAAAGATTAATCAAACAAGAATTTTTATTTTTATAGATTATAAGTACCTTAGGTAAAAAATAGTTTAAAGAATTGTTTTCAAGGCCGCGAGGGTAACTGCACTTCGTCGTTTAGTTCGTTCTCGTGTTGGCATTTTTTGCCTGCACCCGCGTCTCCCATCCACAATTCTTTGTGTATGTATGCATGATTATTTGTCGTAGGTAGCGGCGACAAATGTAATCTGATATAATTTAATAACAGGCAGAACCACTAGCTCTTGTAGATGGATGCGGGCCCAGCAGCCAAAAACGAAAATGAAATAAAAATCTTAGCTTAGCTCATACAAAACCCGAAAACATTTTTGTCCCTATACAGTCACGGTTACTTAAATTCCGGATGTGCTTATTTACAGGTGGCGCATCGCATGAACGATATTTGCATGGCCATGCTGAACGCTACCTTTTCCAAGCAGATCAAGACCACGTTAAGCCGCTTCCAGTCGATCAAGGCCAGCATGCCGCGTCGGGAATCAGCCCGTCGCAATCATACGCTGGCCTGCGAATGCGATATCATAGAGACTTGCTACATGCGTCTATCCCTGCTTCAAATGTCCATGGGGAAGCACATCGAACGGGGTCACTGCTGTTTCTTTCCGGGCGCCGTAAGTTGAACTTAAAAAACCAAACTAAATTTGCAGGGGCTAATAAGAATAATTTCCATTCCACCAGATACTTGACGAGGTGCAAGCGATTCTTAACTATATCAGTATTACGCCCAGGCTACAGCGACCTTATCGGGTAACTGACGAGCTCTTTGATCTCTCCACCATGGCCATGGAATACTTTAAGGACCGCATCGAACCCACGCTCCCTGGGCTGGCATACTTTAACAAGGATTTCTATACGCTGCCCACTACCACAAAGCGACGTAAGAACCCTGATCTTTTTTTGTCCTATCATAACTAAACTTACATCTATCCCATAGCCACGCTTGCCATTAGTTCAGATCTCGAGGACAGTGCCAGCAACTCTCCTCCCCAGAACCACATGGTGCTCCGCAAGGGCATACGCAAGATCAAGCAGGGCATGAAGATGTACAACAACCAGCTATCGGTGCTGCGCACCGAGCTTCGCAATTGCAAGCGCAAGGCCGCCGAGCAGAGCAAGCAGCTGGCAGAGCAATCAAATCTCCTGGCGGAGCAGCAAAAACAGACCCTCGAGTATGCTAATCGGCTGGACGAGAATGACAAGAAGAACGAGGAGATTTCTCGCAAGTTCTCAACACTGTTGCAGGTGCGTCAGGATGGGATCATCTAAGGAATCGCATTAATTTATTTTTCTTTTGCAGGAGCTCAACAAGTGCAAGACAGAACTGCAGTTCTGGCGCTCTAAGAGTCCGGCCATTCCTGCCGTGTGTAGCTCGTGTAACCAGAAGGTGGCGCCTGTGGTGCCGCCAGAGGATTTCCAAGTGTTGGTCAACCAGGGTGTGGATCCCGAGCACTTTATCATTATCAATGAAGATGCAGATGCCGAGAGTGATGTGAGCGTGGGCGAACTCAAGGAGTTTGCCTCGCCGGACGAATCCACCACGGCCAAGCTGCTGGCCGTGAGCACCGCAGCCAAGAATCTGAAGCGCAAGCTGCCTTCAGAGAGCCAGTTCAATGCCATAGCGTCCACTTCGAAGGCAGCGGAGGTTGCCCAATCCCAACAGCAGCCTTTGGCCGCCATCAATGGAGGAGTCGCCAAAGTTGCCGGTTACTCGCCGAAACTATTTTACGGCAATCATCAGCGCAGTGGCGTGATTGTTAGTCCAGTGTCCAAGAATCTGGCAGTGGCTACGCCAGCGGACAATGTGACGCCCGTATTAGAGGCTCTCGAGGAGCCAGAGGAGGCAAAGAAAGCACGTAGAGTACAAAAGGCCAACAGATATGTAAATACGCCCGGCAAACGCAGTAAATAAGCATTAGGATGTACGCATATACACTTTACATATTTTTTACCACTTATTTACATATAAAGCGTGCATGCCCTTGCTCACCTGACCCCCAGGATATGGGTTAGGGATCAGGGCATGCGCCGTAGTGTTAACGGAGGAATCAAATTAATATATACACATATATCTATTAATGTCAAATGCATTAGGCATTTCGAATATTAATCATTATTATTATTATTATTATTATCAAGTACAAGAAACGTGTCTGTATGTTCTTCGGTTTTAACGCCCCCGCAAAACACAAAAACAAATTCTAGTTAACCAACACACTACACGAACATCACATGAATCCCGTAGTTATTGGCAGAGCAAAACAGATAATAATAATTTAAAAGCAAATTAATTTTAACTAAGAAAAGCAAAACAAAAAAAAACGGCAAAGAAATATTTTAAATAAAACTTTAAAAGCATTCAAGACTTGTTGACTCTGCAGTGGGTCTTAACAAAGTAAAAATGGCTAGACAGTATTTATAGTTCGAAGGAGCCCTACGGTTTTGAATTCTTCTAATGACTTTCGGTCGCTAGATAGAAAAACTACTTGTACAAAAAATACGTTTATTTACATGGTCAACAAAGGAATACACAACTAAAGCTTTTGTGAGCGCTCCTTGCCAGCCAGCGGCTTGTTTCGCTCATCCCAAAGGGTGACTCCATCGCAGGCGCAGATTCTCTTGAAGTTCTCCAAGATGCCCGCCGAACGGGCAATTATACCACAGGCAATCCTGCAAGAAAAGATAGACTCATAGAACTTTGTATAAGAAAAACATAATAATTAACTTACCTCTCCCCGGAGTTGCCATCGACCAGGCTCTGTTTGTTTCCACCACATCCCAGGTCATCTGGATTGGCTGTTAGAACGACAGCCCTTCCAATAATATCCCAGACCTCCAGGACTGGGTCTACAAACCTAAAGGTTGCCCTGCCACTCTCATCAGCTCGAATGTTGCCCAAATCCCCAGCATGGCGCTCCTCCGCTGCAGCTGTGGGGCTTCCATGTGGCGACTGGCGGGGATTGTAGTGATCTCCCACAGACAAACAGCCGGAAGAGGTGTCCCCGCTCTCGTGAATATGAAATCCATGTAGGCCAGGTGTTAGTCCATCGACTACGCCATCCACCACCACTCCGGGCTCCTTTGCCGTGATAGTGGTAAAGCGGACAACTCCTTGGATAGGTGTTTTGTCTACAACACTGCCGGTGGTGTTGATGAGGGCCACGGCGGACTGTCCGCCGAAACCTGAGAGCACGGCCTTCCTTCCGGTGGCTTCTATCTTATCTTGTATCTCTGACCAAGGTCGTTGGGTCTGGACAATCACTCTGCCTTCTTGTGTGTCGATTTCCACTTGACCCACCCCATCCAGCGCCGAATATAGAGCTGTGGCGTAGGATTCATCGCCTTTGGGCATCTGAACTGCAAATTCAATCTACTCATTAACATGGAGACATGATTCCCGATCATTAAGATAAGTACTTACTTTAATAGAGCTCATTTTTATGGTTAAAGTGCCGAAAGACAACGATAAACAAACTTTGGCCCTTATGAGCTTTTTTAGTGTGACCGGAGTATAAAAATTAAAAGAGCCAAACTTATTGGTAAAAAAATAATGTGAGTTCCCCTAACGTAAAAGAAACTTCAAGAAAATATTTAAAATGTTATGTTATATAATGCCTTGTAATAATATGTAAAACACTATATATGGAACAAAATATATGAATTTTGATATAAATAATAATGTCACTCGTAAAAATCATAATTGTTTGAATTAATGATGACTTAAAATGTTAGATAAAAGTTAGCGTTGCCAAACTAAAGTTTCCGTTTTTAGCGCCCGATTTAAAATGCTAACCCCGAACTAGCTCAAATGCTAATTAATCTAATTTCTGTGCTAATTTCGAGACCTGTAATTCCATTCACTACTTATTACGCGTTATAATTTTTGATTAACTTTTCTTTATGGCCGCCGACAGTTTTAATCAATGGCCATAAAGAGTATTTTTAAGCCAAATGTTGCTAATTTGTGAAAATTAAGAGCACTAATTAGAGTCTCCAAAAAACCCTAAGCGACAGATGCTGGTTTAGTTGTGGTTCCAAAAAACGTGCAACCAATTCGGTTAAGCGTTTCCATGCGCGCCAATTTATTTGCAGCAAATTGCGTCTTTGACTTTCATTGTGCAAAATAAATTAATTTCACTTGAAGACCCCGTTATTGATGGCAAATTAAAAACAATTGAGAAATATTTAATATCGCTTTGCCTTCAATTGAAATGTATGTAAAAGGAAGCACTACAACAGGGCATGATATTAAAGCTGAGGCCCGTCGATTTCCCAAATTTCGGCAAATTCAGCACATGGCTTTGGTCAATTAAGAACACAATTAGCACGGCGTTTGAAGATTGAGATGAATGAAATCGGTGGACAACAATTAGTTGGCATTAGAGTACTGTTAGTAGGTCTAGAGCTGTAAAGAATTCGTTAATTAATATGATTTAGTAGGTCCACCTTAGCCATGGATCGACGCCATATGTCCAGAGCCACTCTGAAGAGCATTTGACGCCTACACAAAAAAGCAGGTGCGCTCGGCAACTACTCTCTTTAGTAGCTTCTCTTCGGAGCAGCGATCAAAGGGAACAGCTGTTCTTGTTGATAAATACCAATAAGACTCGTTGTTGCCTTTTATTTTTGGAGATCAACAAATGCAAGTCAGCATCCCGGAAAACTAGAATCCTCTTATCTAAAAGAAAAACTGGAAAAAATGTCTATGTATATAAACTAGCCTGGAAAGTGCGTGCTTTGGGAAATTAGCCTTGCCTTTGTTTTTTTTTATTGCATTCCATATCCACACACATATATACTCTTACATTGGTGGCAACCATAATGCATTAGTATTTGTGGGCCAAAGAGCGCCACGGGTTGTTGCTCTTTTGGAGCCGTGCGAGCGAGAAAGGGAGAGAGCGCCACAGAGAGAGAGCGGGGGAGGAGAGAGAGACCGAGAGCTACAACGGGCTAGTGTGTTTTAATATTAGCTTTGTGACGTCCGCTCACCAAATCAGTATTTTTCGTACCATCGGCGTTAAAACACACGTTCAGGCGATTTTATGCGGGAGTGTAAACTAATCTGGAAGAGCAACAAATCCAACAGCAACAACAAAAGCAACAGCATCTCACCAGCAAAAAAGCAAAAGCAAAAGCTGAAAATATTAACACGTTGACGGTTTTTTCTAGTGTTTTATCGCGAGCGGAAAAGCTTAATTAGCGCGTACTAGCGAGACCCCGAAATCTTTTTTCCTCTATGGTCTTTGCGTCTTTGAGTGTGCGTGCCAAATTTTAAATACGTCATCGACGCGCGCAGCCTTAAAACGAACTACAAAAAAAAAACACCAGCAGCAGCCACAAAAATTGATACACACAGCAAAAGATTGTAATCAATTGCAGGAACAACAAAACCAACTAAACAAACTGAGGAAAAAAGTTCCATAACACAACAATAAAGCAATAACTTGAATTAATTAACTTGTTATTGTGTATTCCACTGTTTGCCATTCACCACGAAACGCGGCTAACAAAAAAGAACGTGCAAAACAGCTGAGACGAGACTCAAATTGAGAGTAACGGAGCATCAAGCAACAAGTGCAGCAGAGCCCTTTCAATTAAAAGAGAGAAAAAGATAGACAGAAGGAGAGAGCGCGGATATATGTGTGTGCACTCCAATAAATACAAATACAAAACACAACCACATTGTTGTTGCCACAATCAATTAGAGTGATAGCAGCCAGACGGCAGAGGACAAAAGCAGCGCAGCAACGGCATTCGCATCAATTTACTGCTTGGTCAGCACAAGCACAAGCACAGCCACAGCATCTGAATCTTCGGCTTCGGCTTAATTCCGAAAAGTGTGTCTGTGAGCGTAGTTGCTCCCGTTCAGCGTTCCGCCTCCATAATCGCAAGTGCTCGTTTGTTGTTATTGTCGTACTTCGCGATCTGAGATCTTTCATTGGTATTTGTTGGCAGCGCCGTCGTCTTGATTGGAACGATCTCTTAATATAATTTTTTCTTTTCGCCGACGTACTTTTTTGATTCCGAAACTGGTGTATCTGTAGTTTCCCGCTAACGGCGAAAATTCACACAACTCATTGATATTTTAACCTCGTGTCCGCGTTGGCTGCCGCTCGACCAAGGTTCTGCCGCACAAAATGCTCGTCTCTTTGGGCTTTTCGAAGCCTGGCTTCGTCGGACTAAAAGTGCTCCTCTAGCACATTAGCAAGTCCGGCCATCGTAAAATCGAAAACACAAAAATTCAAATCGAAAACTTTAAACATATAAAACCCATTGAATTGGCAGCCAAAAGTTATCACCACCCACCGTTAAACCGTTATCGTTATCGCGAAAACACAATCCACAGATAAAAAACAAAAAACGTTCCGTTTCATCGTAAATACAGTGCTAAATCGTGTGAAACAAAACACTGCGAAAAACTCCCTAATTCGACATTATTTTTGTGAATAATTAAACACGAACAAAAAGTAAAAACCAGTTCGCAATCGCCTCAAAAATTAGGCCCCCAATAAAAATATATACTGGCATATGCAAAAAAAAAAAAGTGACGATCCAAAGCAAGAAACTGGCATCTCGCCCGCTTGATATATAACACCCCAACACAAACGTATTAATACGCGATAACACAAATACTAGAAAAAGAGCGAAAATCAAATCCAGCGAATCAACTTCACAGTAACGTCGCAAAGTCAGAGCTAAATCGTCAAGCAAACCGAGTAGTTGTGCCTAAAACCGTTGGTTAACCACCGTCGTTAAATCGCAAAAAAAGTTTCAAGATCGTTATCAATCTGGAAAAATTTCATTAACTGCAAAATAATGTCAACCTTCTGACAGTGTCTAAAACAAAATTAATACAAAACAACAACGCAAAACCTTAACTTACATAACCAGCATTGAAAATCTGAAATTTTGGAAGCGAAGCCCCAAAAGTGTCCACTGATTTAACTGCTAATTGGAATGTCGCATATCTGACAGTGACTAAACAAACACCACAACCAAATCCAAATCGAAACAAGCAAGAAACGAGAACTAAAACTCCGTGGAAAGCAACACATAAGCCTGTTATCAGTGAAATATATACATATTCGATTCCAGCGTAAACAACTGCTATATAATGTCCGTCGCCATCTGACAGTGGTCCAAACAACCAGAGACAAAAAAGGAGACAAGAATCGCATAGTCAGGCAAGTTTCACCGGACCGAGTGAAACCTGTAACGTAGGACCAAGCAATCCAAGAAACATTTAAATTTGCAACAACGGGCTAACCGATTCAGCAATAAATGGAGAAATCTGAAATACGACTGCAGCGCATGTCAAATGAATATCAGTCGCAATCGAGCTATATGTATCTCCGGACCAAAATGCTGTTAAAAATCGAAAATACCCTACTTCGAAGCCATCGTCAGCGCGAGACTACCGGTATCAAGAAACTATACAATTCGTTTTTCGTATTGTTTTAATTTGCCCCGACCCGGCCAATCCCGAAACCCTTCCAAAAAAAGGCCCTTAAGAACACTAAACGCACAAAAGCAACAAATTCCAATTCCACTCAATTGTGAGCCAAGTTAGCAAAAAAAAAAAACAAAAAAATACAAAAAAGTTACAAAAAATAAACGCAAGTTATACATGTTTTTAAACCCTATGTATATTAAATATATATATATATATATGAATAAACTAGAGATATTATTTGGTTGTTAGTAGAACTCACGTCAAGTGCATATTGTTAAAAAGCATCTCTCGTATATCCAAGTGCTGTGCGGCGATCGAACGATTTAGTAAGTGTGTCATATGAGCATTTTCAACAAGCTAAGCCAAAATGTTAGCCTAAGCAAGTAAGCCTTTAGTGTCGGTCGGTCCATAAACAGTTTCTACTTCGAATATTATTATTACCATCAATCAATCACTTTTGTTTGCATTTCGCGTTGCATCAAAAAAAAAACAAACTTGACTTCAAATTGCTGGCGAAAGGACTCCGGTCGGAAGCGGTGTTTCGTAATCCTTTTTTGTTTTGGTGTGACATTAAATCACAATCCAATAAATCAAGAGAATTATTTACTATATAATAAAGTACTAAAGAGTATATAGAACGCGATTATAAACGCCGTTAACTCACGTACCGAATGGCGCTTTCGTTTCTATCCCAAAACTCCGGTCTCTTGGATTTACAAAGCATCTTTGATCCACAATATTCTCATCATCAACAACAACAACAACTTTTGAGCCAACACCCACAACAAAATAATCAACAACAACAGCAACAATCGGAACAAATTCAACAACAACATCGCATCTTTTCATCAAAGTTCGATTTGAACCTTTTCAACGAACTCGACCAAATGGAATTCAACAACACTTTAAATCGCAGCCAATACCAGAATAATAATAATAATAATAATAGTAATAATAACAATATCAACAACAGCAGCAACAATCAGAGCAACAACACTAATAACAGTGTAAGTGAAAACCTAAATCAGGTGAGTTTAAAGTTTATCGGGGTAGGAATTTCCCTGATTTAAATAGGTCGGAGATAGTACTAGGTCTGTCATGATTTATATGCAACTTGTTATAAGTTAGGATCTATCAGATATTATTAAAAAACTTTTTAATCTTACTCCCATTGTTAGGTATTTTTCCATATTTTACTAAGAACATTAAGTAAACTAAAAAGTCTAGAGTTTTCAGTCTAATTATAGCTTTAAATGTTGATACAACTGTTTTCCAAAGCAACGTTAGTTTGTTTCTCCAATCAAAAAGCCTAGTACTTTAGGTTCTTAACAATATAGAAAACTTTTCATTATTCGCCAGCTAAATCTGTTTGCCTTGGGGCAAATATAAATATATAGTTCAATTGCTAATTATACTATATGACGATGTGTATCATATAACAAAGTTGTGGCAGACAGATAGAGGGAAAACAACAGAACAGCGCTTAATGAAAATAGTTGCAAATGTTACGACAACAGTCAGTCGATATTGGTTTCTGTTTTTGGTTTTTTTTTTTTCATTTATTTTTGGATGTTTGTTTAAATATAGCCTCATGTTCTAGGTCTTCTTTGCCCAGCTCTTCAAGCTGAACCGTTTTTCGTTTTTGTTTACACACATTGAAGTTATCTTTCGGAGGCAAAACATGATGGAATCAAGCCCAGTCCAAGTCCTCCTCATTGGCAAGTAAACAAGAATCGATGCGCGGTTTTACCCACTCTCTCTCTCTCTCTCTCTCAAAACAGAGAGAAAGAGGGAGCTGCGGGGAGATTGTTAGCCACCTTATCAGCAAGGTTCGGACCTACATATATAGTATTCCAGCTGGACTTTATAGAGATAATGCTGAGAGGGCATAGCCTCGTTGGCGGCTAGACACGCTTTGTTACTGTTTTTCTGATTCCGATTCGGTTCTATAATTGATTACGGCTTTGAATTTCAAAGTTTTCCAAACTAAAATCCCTCTACGTTTTGGTTTTTCAGATCCAAAACCGCCACTTCATCAGCGGCTATCATCACCAGCATATTGGTTCGGATTATGAGCAAGTGATCAACTTTGTTGACTCGCCGCCAAACTCTGAGGAATCGTGGACAGGTAAGGCCATTGCAAACAGTTTCATCCAGAACAGTCGGCTCACTTACTTAACTCATCGCCACCAATGACAAACTCACCTATGACATCTGTTAAAATCGTAGAGAGCAGCTCGCTAATCGAACACATTACCATTGTCGTAGACGCCCAGTCGAAGGACTCGCCGGGACCGCAGATTATCGACGTGCAAACCATTTACCTGAACGGCGGCTCACGCAAAAGACGAATGGATTGGGACTCTTTGGATATTGTCCAAAGTGAGAATTCACCAACAGGATCCCAGAGCAGTGAGCTGCCCACCAAAGTGGCCCATCAAGAGAAGGACAAGCATAAGCGCGAGAAGCCCTCGGGTGAGAATAACTATATATTAACTTTAACATTAAGTCTCAAATTAACCATTTTAAATCTTTGCATTTGGTGGGGTGTCTAATTAAGACATAAACTCTTTAGTAGGATAGTAAAATTAGATCAGTAGGAGCTTAAGTTATATATTTAGAGTCATTAGTACATAGAATAAGTCGTCATAAGAATATTTAACGCTGCTTTGGTGCTTAAGAGGGGGACCAAACTTTACATTTCCAAATTCTGGAATGAATCTTAATCGGAATTCCCCAAAAGTGACTAAGCTTCATAATAAGTCAGCTAACAAAACTTCAGTCTTATCACTAAATAACTTAAGTAAGGCCTTAACTTCGGTATATAAAATTCTTGCTTAATATTTTTGTATCAAGCTAAGAAAGTCTCTTAAAGTCTCAAGTAAAGCCCAGAAGCTTGGGAACCGCATTTTAGAACAGGTTCATCCATTATTCCGAAAACCAAAAATACTTTCATGACTGGCTTATCAATTTGTCAAATCAAAACAAAAAGTGTCACACTCCCATTCAAAAGATGATTTCAATTTAAACGAAAGTATTAATTTGATACCAGAAAGAAAGATAAAATTATACGAAAAAAAAGTGTCATTATGATGTTCACTGAATTAGCTCGGTGATTTGCATAAAATGTAGGGTGAACCGCAATCAATGAAAGCCAGAAGCAAGAATGAAAAAAAGTCTCGAACCAAGTTGATATTTCTTCCTGAGATTGCAATTGGAATCTGGAAACAAGTCGTAAACCCGTTCCCATTCCGAGATGGCACATTAGAAGCCGGCGTAATTGAGAAACCCGTTTCCTCAGTTGCGCCTCTTTGATTATCTTGATCTTAGTATTTGTATGATATGTAGATATGATATATTGCAATGCCTAGACAGATGTATCCAATCTAACGACTAATTCAATTCCCAAACCTAAGCCCGTAAGACAAACGTGAGTCTCTCCATTGTTCGGTGCTAAGTGGCGTATAAACAAAGGAATACAATCGCTAATTACTCTGTATCCATCAGACATCGGAGATATATACGATTTATACGTGAGATCACAATTAAAGGTTGACTTTGTCAAAGGGTTAAGCTTGAGGTGTTTGAGCAAACTAAACGCAGGTGGAGTTGCACTCTAAAATCCAATCTAATCTTTAAATAGTTTCATAAACTGATTAACATGCTGGATCTTTTTAATTTTTGAAGTTTTTTTTTTTGGTGGCCGTAATGAAATTAACAGCGCCTGGTGTTGGGTTAAAACTCACCATAAAACCGTAATTAACTTAGCACTTCGGGTTGTGTTAATCAATAGAGCTTTAATAATAGAATGCCACTAAAAGAAATAAAATCTTCTCTCAGTACTTTTCCAATGGCCCGAACAAGCCCCTAACCGAGAAACCCTTTGTGAACCTTATAGATATGCCCTCGAGATAGCTCCAAAATCAAAATCAAAATCAAAAAGAAATCACGCAGGGTCCCTGGTCTAATTACCCCGAAACGAGTGACTGGCTCACTGATACACTTCGGAACAAAAACAGATTTGGGTAGAGACAAACTCGTGTGTGGGGGACCTGGCCATATAATTTGGACACCAATCTCTCCCTCCCTCTCTCTCTCTCTCTGATGGCTTATCAACCGAAAGGCGGCACTCGCTTGTGGGGGAGATAAGAATTAAATGCTAGTTGGTTAGTTTTTAGAACTCCACGATTATAGGGCCAACACAAATCTTAGATCATTCTAATGACCTTTGCTTTTTCCCACACAGTCGGTTTTTTATGTAAGCCAAGGCTATAAGCTGATATTGAAGCCATTTCCCCTAGCCATTTGTTAAGGGAACTATATAGTACATCCTATATGTCCACATTTACAGATACTTTTAATCAAACAATTGCCTGGGTGACACTATCGCGAATTTCAAATGGCCGATCAACAGCGGCCTTTCGATGTGCGTCATTCGGTCTTGGATAACTTTGAATCAATTGTGATCGAGATCTCTGATGTTTGTGGCAGCCACATACAGGCACAATTTCTATCTGAATTTAGATTAAATCAATTAACGAGACTATACAAGCGTTTGTTCATTAAAGTAAATTCTTTTTTTGTGGGAAATGTTTTTTAGGCTTTACTTGGGAGAATTACTTTTTCTACTTAGTTAATACTAGAAATTCTACGAATTTGTTTAATAAATCCAAGTCATAAAAACATAATTTAAGCGTAAGCCTCCTTATCGCTAGACCAACTGCATGGAAAAATCTGATTTTTAAGTCTTGTTACTTAGATAAGTGTTTATTTTTGGGCTACTTACTTCAGAAGCTCTTAATTTAGATACATATGTTAGTAATTAAAACCAAAAATTATGCCTTTAACAGAATGAATTGAGTGACACTTTTACAGCCTACAAATTTTCCAAAGTAATAATCCTAAAAATGTTCTCAGCACATTTCAAAATAAAAACTGACTTCCATAATTAGACATTATTGCATATTAATGGTGTGACCCATTTTTAAAATAGCTTTAGCTGATGTTTGTATAAAATTATGGTTACGTGTTTATCAATTTATTATTATATATATATGTACTGGCCTTACATTTGTCGCATGCTATAAATTCTTCAGAGAATTTATTTTGGCCAAGACACAAGTTTGACGTCAATAGTTTAAGGTCGTCAATGATTCTTAAGAGCGTCGCTTGTGATAACAGTTCAAATCTAAAAGAAATCAATAACGTGCCAGATATGGTTTAATATATAAAGTTATGTCGTATTTTTACAGGTCGCAGCAGCTGGAGCGATGATATTGGCTTCGATCTGAATGCCGAATTCAACAGCAACTCCTACTTGAACAAGTAAGTTTAACCCCTAGATTCCTAATTAAGTTACATCAAAACTAATTCACTTTTACCCTACCACCCTAAACCCAGTGAGAACTTTCTGTCGTTCTCGCCCACTTTGTCCACCCTAAAGCAGGAACCGCAGACGGAGCAGATCAAGCCCGGTCAAAAGATTTCCCTGGACAATGCCGCTGGCTCACCATCCGTGGCAATTGCCAAGTTGGATGACGTTCAGAACTCCCCGGCACAGGCAACTGCTGGCCAGGATTCGGGTTCAGCTAGCAAGCATGATGTTAACTCCGGACTCATCTGCGGATGTGGTTCACCACAGGGTTCACCATTGGCCAACACAGAGTATGAGCTAAACGAGAAGGGCAAACCACAGCAGCAACTTAGCGTTTTGGATCCAACTAAGATCGAGATTGTTTCGCCCAATGGAGCTGCCCATGGCGAGGATCATAAGTAAGTATCTTAAAGATACTTAAATATCTTAAAAAATCTATTTATTAAAACCCCATCTCTTACAGATTTCAGTACATTTTGGCTGCCGCCACTTCTATTGCCACCAAGAACAACGAGGAGACCTTGACGTACCTCAACCAGGGTCAGAGCTATGAAATCAAGCTAAAGAAGATCGGCGACCTGTCCCTCTACAGGGATAAGATACTGAAGGTGAGTCCAAAGTCCCTGCCCGCTGTATCCAATTGATTCAGATGGTCATGTGATGATGCTATGAATTATTCGACTGTCGAGTGAGCGTCTTGGTCAGCGAGTCATGTGTGTATCTGGGGGGGACTCAATTGATTTTAATAAGCCCCAATTAAGCCGTACGACTGGAGAGATGCGACTAGGAAGCGAGCCTCAAACCATGTGAAATCCGCGTGTGCGAAAAAACTTTCCGAGTGAAGTCACTTCTTTTTGCCACTATTGAAAACCCCGCCTCTTCCTCCTATCTTCTCTTGCAGAGCGTGATCAAGATCTGTTTCCATGAGCGCCGTCTGCAGTTCATGGAGCGTGAGCAGATGCAGCAATGGCAGCAATCTCGCCCTGGCGAACGCATCATTGAGGTGGACGTACCGCTTTCGTATGGCCTCTGCCACGTGTCACAGCCACTAAGCTCCGGCTCACTGAACACCGTCGAGATCTTTTGGGACCCGCTTAAGGAGGTCGGCGTCTACATCAAAGTCAACTGCATTTCAACCGAATTTACCCCAAAGAAACACGGCGGCGAGAAGGGTGTACCCTTCCGACTGCAGATTGAAACCTATATAGAAAACACAAACAGTACCAATACCAGCGGCTCGAGCGGTAGCAACAACAACAACAGTGGTGGTGGTGGAGCCAGTGGTAATAGCAACGGCAGTTCAAACAGTGTCTCAACTGCTCCAGCATCTCCAGAACGCAACACAAATGGTGGCAACAGTGGCAAACAGGCGGTGCATGCAGCTGCCTGCCAGATCAAGGTGAGTGTGGTTGTTACAGATTTAAGATATTTTTCCATTTCTTCTCGTTTTGTCATAATGAAATACATTTTTCCTCCTTAAAACTCAAATAACCTATATTAAATCTCTCTTTTTACAGGTCTTCAAGCTAAAGGGCGCTGACCGGAAACATAAGCAAGATCGTGAGAAGATTCAAAAGCGTCCACAATCGGAGCAGGATAAGTTCCAGCCCAGCTACGAGTGCACCATCATGAATGATATATCCCTAGATCTGGTGATGCCTGCCACCACTACAGGCTGCTACAGTCCAGAATAGTGAGTATTCCACATCTCCAACAAAATCTCCACAAAATGGAAATATATAGATATATAGTTGGGGAGAGAGAACATCTTCAGCTGGCATAGTTTCTGATACCGAATTAAGCAAACAATTTATTTCGCTGCGCAATGCCGCAATCTTTCAATTGAGCCCGCAAAAATTTTCCGCAATTCTTATTTATGTGACAGCTACGGGCCGAGCTTTTCGTTTTACGAACCAAGCGACTGCAGTTCCAGCCATTTACATAACATCCAGTTAAGATCAAGTGCAAATTACGAATCACGTATGTAGATACCGGTTTCTTATCAGCCCTAAGGTGGGGTGGGGTGGTATAGGTCTAGTTGTTATGTTTAGGTGGGAGAAGGTGATTGAGTTTAAATTTATATTATTTAATCAATTATCAGGAATATTTAAGGAATTAAATATGATTACATGTTTTATAGAGTCAATCAGGATAAGGCAAAAAGTCTAAAAGACAGTAGATTTCATTCAAAAAGTTAAGAATAAGAAAGATTGCAGAAAGAAGGTTCCACCTTGAAAATAGTTGAGGTTCGCATTTTTCTATCTTCTCTTCTAAAAGTAAAGTCTTCTTCGGGGTCCGAACGGGAACATAAAGATCTTAAACATAAAGTTTATTTGTTTTCCTAAAATATAAACAAACAATTTTGTGGTATCAACAACTTTGTGTTTTGCTTAGAACCAGAAATTACATTAAGTACAAGATGAAAAAGCAATTATAATATTTTGCCACAAGCAAATACAATGTGTGCTAAGTCATTGGCCTACAAGTATGGACCGCACTTTCCAATGGAAATTTCCCATAACGAGTGCCAGAGGAAATCATTTTGTTTGTCATTTTGCATGATCACCAGCAAATCATAAAGATCAATTGAATTGAGAGCGGCTATAAAGATATATACTCAGAGAGAGCTAAACTGAGAGATCGGGAGAAACGAGAGAAAGAGTTATATAGAGAGATCTGAGGAGAGAGACATTGAAGGATCATTGGATGCTAAGAGATCAGCTAAGAGCATTCTGTGCCGTTTGGCTTTGTTATTTCTGTGGCTGCTCCAAGCTATTTTTAGTTTAAAGTTGCTTTTAACCGGTTTTCGGTTTTCGTTTCTGCTCAATGATTTTGTTTGTTTTGCAGGCCGAGCACTATAGATAATAATAATGGCAAATGATATGGAGATATATTGTATAAGGTCTCGTTTTGTTAAGATCGATTATATCGATCAGCGCGCTGAAAAGCCGCTAACCCATCCTATGCTCAGGCATTATCCATTCAAAAAACCGGAAATTATTGTGTAGATTGAGAGGCGAAAGACGAAAGTCTGGAAAATTGTTTCAATAGAAAAGCAGCCATATAAAATAGATTCCAAACGGGTTTATCTGGCCAATCAGCCGCAACAGTCCGTATCGGTTAGCTTGTAAACAAGGCATAGTGGTTAACCCGAAGAGGAAACCAGATTATTCGGACAGCGCGGGGGGCTATGGGAAATTCGAATTGCGAATTCTACGATGGAGTTCAGGGCATTCGTGAACATGCGCTTGCATCTGAAGGATCGTCGCTCCTGCCAACATCAGAAACAGAACGTGATTTATTGGATTTGTAGGATCTGCAGGAAACGTCTTATAGCTAACCTATATTAATCCTTTCTTTATCTTTCGTATCTTTATCCTTTTATAGTATGAAACTCTGGCCAAATTCGCCTGTCCACATACCCAAGTACGATGGAATGCTTCCGTTTGCCCCAAGTGCAACATCGCCGGCTACCAGCAGCAGTCCCATAGCCATCAACTCGGTGACTTCTACCAACTCGCCCACCCTCAAGCTGATGGATGCCACCAATATGGTCTCCCCACAGCATGTGCCCGCTGAAATGGATGATTATGTAGGAGTCATTGATCTAATGCCTATTAAAACTTAAAAACTAACTAAATTGAAACTTTATTGTCCTTATCAGAACCAAAACATAATGCCGGAATCGACGCCCTCGCAAGTGACGCAGTGGCTGACCAATAATCGCCTCACGACCTATCTATCAACATTTGCGCACTTCTCGGGAGCGGATATTATGCGGTATGTGATGTAGTACTATATATATATTCTAAAGTTTCCATAAAAAATTTAAAAGATAACATAGATAAGCCAATGAGTAACCCATAAAAACATCAAGTTGGTAATCTAACTTCAACAAGCTTCCCAATCTACTTCCTGGTGACCCATTTCATTGCCTCAAATTTGGCTGAAATTCGTATGCTAACAAATCTGTTGTCTAATCGAAAAAGTTTATTGATCAATATTGTTTGATATACTTCGTTTGATAACAGTTACATAGCAAAACACTTATATAAGGATTGAGTATTTGATATCATTTCCAGACAAAGTGTCAACAGAAACCAGGCAGACTAAAAGTACTTCAGATTTTCTGATTATCATTTCAAGATTTCTGGAAAATTTAATATAATATTTTAATCAGATAACTTCTGTTGGGGTATTTTTGATAGTGAGATATAAAAGCTAACTAAAGGAATAAAAACTATAGAATAACAAGATTCCACAACCAATTAATCAGGGTCATTAAACTTAACTAATTCGATAAGATATCTTGGCTAACTCATCAGGAACTTGACTGGTTTCTAGGTATGGTCTAAAGGGGAATATATGGAATGTTTATATTTAAACCAAAGCTATTTTTATCACGCTCACTTATTTCATATTTGCATGTGATTTATTTACATTTTGTTATTTATTTATAGCATGTCCAAGGAGGATTTGATTCAGATCTGCGGCCTGGCCGATGGCATTCGCATGTTCAACATTTTGCGCGCCAAGTGAGTGTTTGAAAATTTCTGAAATTTTAAAATCTTTTCTAAACTTCTGTCTTCTTACAGAACCATTGCACCCAGACTCACCTTGTATGCCAGCTTGGATGGCTGCAGCTACAATGCCATCTACTTGCTGTCGAACACGGCCAAGGAGCTGCAACAGAAGCTGTTCAAGATGCCGGGCTTCTATGAGTTCATGGCCAAGGCCAGTGCCCAGGAGAATGGAGCCGGAGGAGTGGCTGCTGCTGCTGCCCTGTTTAACAATTGGGGCATGCACTCTAAGTACTCAGGCAGTGGCTCTAATATTTTCAATGATGCCAACAAGAGCTGCGTTTACATCTCGGGACCGTCGGGTATTCTTGTGACCGTCACCGACGAAGTGCTTAACAATGAGATCAAGGACGGCAGTCTCTATGCCCTGGAAGTGCAGGCCGGCAAGGTTATCCTTAAGCTGATCAACAAGCAGGACAACAACTAAGCGATCTTTTGGCTAGCTAATCACTGTAGTAGACACCACCCGAGCAAAAAGAAAAAAAAAGTATAGTTTATAGCATTTACACACAGTTCGATGGCACATCGATATCGTTTTCTATATAAGCTTCAATTTGTATGAGATTTCGCGCAGCAATTTTGAAACAAGTTAAAAAAAAAAGCAAGCAACCCGAAAACCTTTTTACCCTAAAACCCCCCTCCCAACCTCAAAAACTTTGTTAAAGAATTAGTGCAAAATATTTAAGATTTCGTTTTTCACATTAAGTTTTGTTTTATTTTAACATGTATTTTTTACCATCTACGATATACGACAACATATGCACATTTAATTCTCCGATGCGATTGCATTTCGATTCGTTTATTTTGTCTACTTTTAATTTCTTTTATTTCTATGGCCTATGCTTATGCACTTATATAACGATTATATATTTGTCTGTAGAAGAAGAACCCTACCAATATCAATTATTTGAAGTAGAAAGAAAAAAACACAAAAAAAAGGAACATAAAATTACATTAACGATTATTATTATTATTATTATTATTATTATTATTATTATCTTGAAGTACAGTACCACAAATACAAGAATTGAGCAATTGTTTCGAAGCAGAGTTCAACTAGCAACCAAACAACAACTTTTGTATGTGATAGAAGCAATAAAGTGTTATCCACAAGTGGACTGTCAAAAAAAAAAACCTCAACCTGTGTATTAATTAAAAATCTAAATCAGGTTCTATGAATGTTATTACTAGCCTACTAAGATGTATCGATAGTAATCAATTTTGCTTCTGGGATTCCCCGGAAATTTAGAAAGATTAAAAATTTCATTCAGTTTGTGCCTCCATTTGGAATATTTTCAAAATTTGAAAGTAATTAAAGTTGCCGATCCAATGAATGGATTTCATATCCTTTCTCTGATATTCCTATTTTCGATATGCACTTTAAGTGAGTTAAAACCAGATAAGAAATTCAAATGGATTTGCAACTTCATGTTACCTTTGTAGTCTGGAAAGTTCAAGGCGATTGCCCCATAGCCCAGTACATGGTAGAGCAATCGAATCGCATCTTCACCTACCGCGATCCCAGCGGATCTCTGCAACTGCAGCGCAAGGAAACTGTTCCATCAGGTGTTACTCTCCTGATGTACTGTAATCCCTCGGATATGGTGGAAACTCTGTGTCAGGACAATGGACAGTTTTCAGTTCCGCTGCCCATGATGTGTGGCAATCCAATGCAACCGATGGCCACGCGAATCCGGGATGGCGAATGTTCGGGTACCCTGTATTCCATAGGTTATACGATAGATGGGAAGAATCTGGAGCTATATCGAACCTGCTTTGATGTTGGACAAGGAAGGGTTGTGTACTCGCAGAGTGATGTCTACTTCAAGACATTTTGTGAGTGGATATTGAAATTTTCCGGTTATACCTTCCTTATATCCCAATCCATATAGTTCCCAAGCGTCCGTTCGTGGACTTTGTGACCGATGAGATGTTCAGTCCCCAGGAAGCTGCCGCCTATATGAAGTCCAATATATACTTTGCCTTCAAATGCATTTATGGTGATGACCAATCCTACTTGCGAAGTCCCAACGACCTGGTTATAAATCGAGGACATATGGTGGCATCGGCTGACTTCCTTTTTGTGGACCAAATGGGTAGTACCTTCCGGTATCTCAATGTGGTGCCGCAATTCAAGTCCATAAACGATGGAAACTGGGAGAAAATCGAAAGGTGGGTGCGCAGTCAGATCCCTCAGTCGAGTTATTTTCGCATCAAGACCGGTGGTATTGGCATCCTGGCATTACCAGATGCCAGAGGCTTTTCACAGTCAGCTTTCCTCGCCGGCTCCAAGATACCAGTGCCCGAGTGGACCTACAAAGTAGTGCGGGATGCTAGTGGTAATGGGCTTTACGTCTTCGTTACCTATAATAATACCTTCCGGCGTGAGAGGCCACAATGCCTGGATATTTGCCATCAAGTTAATTGCCCTTTTGGTCTGCCGAATAGCCCTGATGATGGTTTTACCTTCTGTTGCGATCCCAGCCAGTTCCCATTCTAATAAAGGAAACATTCCATTCATATTTCATCGAAGGACTATGCCAAATTATCCTGCGTAATAATCGTCGGGTGAATAATTTAGTATTTTTATTTAACAGACGCACATAAGCTGAAAATCCTAAGGACTAAGGACATGCACTGAGAAAAAAACATTTTTTAATAAATGATTACAAATATTTTCCAATTTTAAACGTTTTCTTAGATTTAAATTAAGGAAAATCTAATAATCCTATGGATGCAAGTACTTCTCTTTGGAAGTTTAAGTCTTAATAAATCAAGTTTTTCTCTTCCTAATAAATCAATTACCTGAAGCCCATTAAACTTAGCTTAGTGATGACCACACCAGGACGATTAGGCCACTATTAGAACTTGCTAACGACTTTTTAAATACTTCTAAGAATCCATATAAACACTATACAAAACCAATTAATCTTAACTTTAAAGAAAATTCCAAAGAAAAATGAGCAAAGGAGCGGAAATATTTTACCAAGGCCAGAAGGCCATTTTGAATCTCTTCTCGCTGTGGCCACAGACGGAACGCCGATGGAGAATCATTCACCAGGTCAACTATGTCCATGTGATGGGCTTCTGGGTGCTGTTTTTTGACCTTCTACTGGTAATTCACGTGGTGGCTAACCTTTCGTATATGTCCGAGGTTGTTAGGGCAATCTTTGTCCTGGCCACCAGTGCAGGACATACTACCAAGCTGCTAAGTGTTAAGGCCAATAATGTGGAGTTGGAGAAGCTCTTCAAGAGATTGGATGATGAAGATTTCCAGCCAAGAGGTGTCGAAGAAGAGTTGATTTTTACAGAGGCCTGTGAAAGGAGTAAGAAGCTGCGGGATTTCTATGGGGCTCTCTCGCTGGCCGCCTTGTCCATGATTCTTATCCCTCAATTCGTCTTGGATTGGTCTCAACTTCCACTTGGCACATATAATCCATTTGAAGATACTTCTGGTTCACCTGGTTACTGGTTTCTTTACTGCTATCAGTGTCTGGCTTTGAGTGTGTCTTGTTTCACCAATATCGGCTTTGATTCCCTCTGCTCCTCACTATTTATTTTCATTGAATGTCAGTTGGATATTCTGGTGGTGCGGCTGGACAAGATGGGCCGCTTAAACAATGATGATAGCTCCGTGGAACATCAACTTAAGGAAAACATTCGTTATCACATGACCATCGTGGAATTGACTAAAACCGTGGAGCGCCTTTTGTGCAATCCCATTTCAGTGCAGATCTTTTGTTCTGTTTTGGTTCTGACTGCCAATTTTTATGCCATAGCTCTGGTGAGTATCTGTATCTGATAGTCGGTAGTATCTAGGTTAATTTTTATAATTAATTATATTACTTATTTAGTTGTCCGACGAGAAGTTGGGTCTTTTTAAATATATAACTTACCAGTCGTGCATGCTGAGTCAGATTTTCATCTTGTGCTACTATGCCGGGTGGGTAAAGCTATATCTAAGATCTATTTAAGATAGATAACCCTTTCACCCAACAGCGAGGTAACTCAACGCAGCTTGGATCTTCCCCATGAGCTATACAAGACCTCTTGGGTGGACTGGAATAGATCAAACCTTCGGATTGTCCTCCTCTTCTTGCAGCGTCTCCACTCAACTCTTAGGATAAGGACCCTAAATCCCAGTCTGGGGTTCGATCTAATGCTTTTTAGCTCGGTGGGTTATATTCAAAGCTTATACATTTTCTGCACTGTAGCCAATTTTCATAATGAGCCTCATTAGGCCTTCAGGCTTGTGGCCTATAAAAGGCTTTCCTTAAGAGGTCTTACAAGGAAAAGTGAAAATCGTTGACATGTCTCAGCATCAGATGGTAACAGAGGACTTCTACAAGTACCAGGTGTGGTACTTTGAGATCCTGGGAGTTTGGAAGCTTCCCACTTGGGCCACGGACCATCAGCGACGCTTTCAATCCATGCGATTTGGCTTCATCCTGGTTATCTTGTTCATCATGTTACTGCTTTTTGCCTTGAAGCTGCTAGACAACATTTCCCAAGTGCGAGAGATCCTGAAAGTGTTCTTTATGTTTGCCACGGAAATATCCTGCATGACCAAGCTATTGTATCTGAAGTTGAAGAGCCGGAAACTAGCTGGGCTGGTGGATATGATGTTGTCAACGGAGTTCTCAGTTAAAACTGAACAGGAAAGACAGATTTTGGCATCGACAAACGTGACGGTTGTTCATATGAGAAACTTCTATGGACTTATGTCTTTTATTACGGCTTTCATGATGCTTCTGATTCCCTGTTTCGGCAACTATGAGGAGCTTCCACTGACAATGTACGAGGTGTGCGAAATAGAGGGAAGGATCTGCTATTGGTTACATTACATATTCCACGCGATTAGCTTGATGCCAACATGTTTCTTGAATATAACCTATGATTCTATGGCTTTTTCATTGCTATGTTTCCTGAAGGTGCAGCTCCACATATTGGTCCTAAGATTGGAAAAGTTGGGACCTGTGATTGATCCCCAGGATAATGAGAGGATTGCCAGGGAACTGCGTGAATGTGCCGCCTACTACAATAACATTGTGCAGTTCAAGAATCTGGTTGAGTTATTTATTAAGGTTCCAGGATCCGTGCAACTTGTGTGCTCCGTACTGGTGCTGATTTCCAATCTGTACGACATGTCCACCATGTCCATTGCCAATGGAGATGCCATCTTTATGGCTAAGGTTTGCATCTATCAACTGGTTATGCTCTGGCAAATCTTCATCATTTGCTATGCCTCCAACGAGGTGACCGTTCAGAGTTCCAAACTAGGTCATGGTATCTATAGCTCCGAGTGGACGGAATGGAACAAATCGAATCGCCGGATTATTCTGCTCATGATGCAGCGCTTCAATTCCCCAATGCTTCTGCGCACCTTTAATCCTACATTTATTTTCAGTTTGGAGGCCTTTGCTTCTGTAGGGCAGCGGAAAATTATTAATTTATGGTTTTAACTTATTTTTTTCTTTCTTTCAGATTGTAAACTGTTCGTATAGCTATTTCGCTTTGCTAAAGCGAGTCAACAATTAGATGTGGAAAATGGAGGAAATGTTATCCTAAAAACTATAACTAGAACCTTTGGATGGGAGCTAAGAAAGTCTTCAGAGCCCACGTTAGAATCGAAACATTCAAAATAAATATTTATTCGTAGCAGAAATGAGCAATTATATAGGCGTTATAGTAGACGTAGCAGTTTGTATTTGTCCATAAAGCTGTAATGAAATATACTATTCATAAAATATAATTGATAATGTGTCTTTGCATATACCTAAACTTAGAAAATGTATTTCAAATTTAAAATCCGTCTACAAAATCAAATTATTACAGAATTAACGGTTTTATTTAAAATGTCACAGCCATATGGTCACTCTGGAAAAATACCAGATTGGTAGCGGGAACAAAACTGTACATCATATAAAATGTCCTATAAATACCTTAACGCCATTATTATGCTGACGGACAAAGATTAAGATGTCGGAAAACGCGAAAAATAATAGCTGCCTGCATTGCAGCGTATTCAATACGAAATATCAGTACCAGGAGATATTCGATGAGTTTGGAATTGAACTGGGAATACAGGGCCTGCTCGCCAAGCACTTCCAATTCGATGTGTTTCCCGATCCGCAAAAGCAACAGCTCCTTTGCGAAGTGTGCGTCGATAATCTCATTCGCTTGTTCGACATCGATGAACTGGAAAGGGAACGCGAGGCGGCCAAGGCGGCGGGGCAAGATGATGCCCCCCGGCAGGAAGAACCCATCATTATCACCGAGGTCCATGTATCTCCACCAGCTGCAAAGCCCGTCAAGAAGGAAACTCCTCAAAAGCATTTGGCCAAAGTACTTCGTCCTATTCCCATTATTTCAACCCGGCAGCCAAGTGCTAGAATAAGGAATAGATTAGTTCCTGCTCCCCAGAAAACGGCTGGTCTATCTAAATCTCCTGAGCTAGCTAAGGATCCTTTACCGGAAACTTCTCCCCATCAAAGGGTAGCCAAACTTGTTCCCAAGGAAGCGGAACAGGAGCAGATCAGTGTTCTGATACAAAACATTCTCGATGAAGATGAAGCCATTATTGAAGATGAGGCTATTGTGGAAGAAGTCGCCAGAGATGTTGCACAGATCCACGAGGAATCCGAACCAACAAGACAAATGCTTCTGTTGAATAGCCAATCTGTGGCGGAACCAAACCTGGATGAAGATGTGTACATCTACGAACATGAAGGTGAGTTCATCATCAGACTTCTATCAATATAGCATGAACTTCAACCAGAATTCCCCATTTTCAGATATTTTGGATCCAAATCTGGAGGAAGTTAAGGTCAAACCAATGGTTAGTTCATCCAGGTTGGTAGTTCAAGCTGAGGAAAGCCAAAGCGATGGAGAAATCGACGAGGGTGAGACCAGCAATATAGTTCTCTTCAATTTTGTTGAAATCAGAGAAAGTGGGTTAAAAATCTAAAAAAGTATAGAAACAATTATAAAGCTAAATCTAATTTTTGCAGAGGATGAAATTGAAGATATTCCGGAGTACTTGTCCACCGTGGTGAAGACCAGCTTTGAAAAGCTTACATTTGAATGGTGTACAGTTTGCAAGCACTGCTCCCTGAAGTGTCCTACCTTTGAGAGCCTTCTATGTCATATTTTAAAAACCCATAAAACCCAAAGAGATATATATCATTGCCCCATTGAAGGATGCGACAAAGAGCTGAAGGGACGCCAATTTCTGGCCATGCATCTGGTTCTATTGCATGCACCCGTGGCAGAGTAACTATTATTTATTTCTCCCATACCGTATTTCTAAACTAATTTGATTTGTTTTTTACTTAGAATTCCGATATATGGCAGCTGCCCGGAGTGTAAAATAACATTTTCCAATATTTTGCAGTACAACAAGCACTCTTGTGCCCATGTTATTAAAAAGAAACGAGGTATACGATCATTTTGCGAAATGTGCTCCCTGGAGTTTCCATCCTGGAAGCGGTAAGTCGACTCCTTAGTGTGTCTCATATATTATTCGATTTTCTAATTATATCCTTTTTATAGATTTAATTTCCACAATCAATTCCACCTGGAAAAGCATAGACCGCGCGTTTGTTTCGTTTGTGAATTTGCAACTACCAACATCGATGAGCTTTTCCAGCATTTGAACTACTCCCATGAGCCAGTGGGCACCTTATTCTGCGATCTGTCAGTAGGCTTGATTGTATTTATTGTAATGTAAACTAAGTATTTATTTCTTATAGTTGCGACCGAACTTTCCGGGACCAAGCTGTTTTTATAGAGCACAACAAATCTCATGCTAATGTGAGCAGCACAACTTACTCTTGCGGCGAATGTATGGCAAACTTTGAATCCAGAGGGCGATTAAATGGGCATATGGTACTATCACTTTTCTTTAGCAATCCTTTATTACATAAATGATTACAACATGATTGGTCATAAACTTTCAGAGAGCCATGCATGGCAGCGTTATAAGTTGCGAGCTCTGCTCCCGCGAATTCGCCTCCGAAGCCACCTATAACATTCACATGAAGAAGCATCTGATCATTGAAAGAGATGTGCATGTCTGCAACAATTGTGGTCTGCTCAGTGACAGCCACGAGACACTACTTACCCATGTGAACTCTGCTAAAACCAAGTGTTTTGGAACCAAGATTTATACGGAACTCCTTCGGGATGCGTACGTCTGCGAGTTCTGTTCTTCGTACTTTAAGGAAAAAGACAATCTCCAAGCCCATCGGAACTCGGGAGTTCATAAGGATGGATTGTACAGGTGCCAGCCGTGCAACAAAGACTTTCCACACATGAAACTCTATCGCCATCACATGCGCAACTACCAACAAATTCGTGCGGATTCGACGCATCGCAAGCTGGAAATTTGTGTGTACTACATGTGTGATCACGAGGTGAGATGCCCCTTTTCGACCTTTTAAAAGTTTGAACTAAAAGTATTTTATGCTAAAGAACTGCTCGGAGGCCTATGTTAACTGGAACTCCTTGTACACTCATAAGCGACGCACCCACGAATCTTCCAATAAACAAGCGGATAAGACCTCAAAGTCTGCTCAGGAATGGATTTGCCAGTTTTGTCTTAAAGAGTGCCGCTCGAAGATGTCGTTGTCAGTTCATGTGGCAAGGAGTCACAACAATGGTGAGTGTGAAATTCTTTCCTACATATTTCCTTTGGGTTAATCGTTTAATTTTTAGACAACGTGGTTTGCCCTTTGTGCAATGCATCATACAAAAGCCAAGACGCTCTGGCCAAGCATCATGCGTATTGGCATGAACCCATCGAGTGTCCACAATGTTATAAAATTGTCAAAAATCGTCGAAATTATGATACTCATGTTAATGTGGTACATTCGAATAAGAAGCGTTATTCCTGTAGTGTCTGTCAAAAGGGTTTTTATCACAAAAGTGAAATGGAGGCTCATCAGAAGGTAAATATAATTGGCTTCCAATGATATGCCTTTAATTGTTTTCTTTCCTTCAGCTCCATGGACAGTCTTACAGCTGTGATCAGTGCAGCTTCACCACCAGAAACAAGAAATCCCTGTCTGTTCATATTATGTGCCAGCACTACAAGCGATTTGATTTTGAGTGCATTGAATGTAAGAAGAGGTTTGGACGGCGTCAAGGCTTGAATACTCACATGCAGCGAGCTCATGGAACCAAGTTCACGTGCCGCGATTACTTTGAGGGCGGCTGTGGACGCACCTTCATTAACAGTTCCCAGTTGAATGTACACGTTCGAAAGGTGCACAAGGGTATTATATTCCTGCAAGAGGATGTGGTCGAAGAGGATGAATATGTCAGCGATGATATGCCATCCACATCGAAGAAGCGCTGCATACGCATCGATGTGGATACCATTGAGTTTGAAGAGGACGCCGCAGATGATCCAGATGGCATAGTGATGGAAGACGGAGAGGATGAGGAAGAAGAATTCATGGACGAGATACCAGATGAAGATACCAAAAATTAAGGTAGACACATTTCGGTAATGTAAGATTTGTTGCTAAAGCAGATTTATTTGATTTGATTTCCATTTGTTTGCTACCAATTAATTGAACACAAATGATGTCCGAAAATGACATTTAGATGTATTCAATAGTACATAATACATAAGTCTAATGATAATGTAATAGCTACATTTAGGCTAACTTCAATTGCAATTAACTAGCCAGAGTCTGGCGGAAGCAAATTTGATTTATTAAGCGTTGTAGTTTGGTCATTTAATTGCTGAAGATTGTGTGCGGAGCTTACCTAAAATGGATTTCAAGTTTATTTAATTAGAGATTCTGATGTTATGGTTTAAAGAGATATTCCCAAAGACTTACTGGGCTAATTGGTGTTATAACAATGGCGGTGCGCGTGGCACACTGCAGCAGGGCCGTGTCCTCAGTGGACTCATCACAGTCGCCATCGGCATCCGCGTCCACATCCACTTCCACCCCAATATCACTGTCGATCTCCCAGGAGGGGAAATGATCCATTTCACCCTCACAGTTAAGATCCTCCTCCTCGAAGTCCTCGTACTCATCGATTAGTATAACTAAATGAGAGATTTTAAAAAAAGTTTATTTAAAGACATATCTCTTAGTTAATTTAAGGGTTATTTTGAAAAATAAAAAAATATTAGTTTTAAATAAAAAATAATAACAAAATGAAATGCTTTTACGTATTTATTCATGTTTTCTTTTGTTCGGCAAGCAATTTGCTAATTTATCTAATTGTCTAAACTAAAAATAAAGATCCAGTAAAATCGTTTTTAATTACTTGAACTATCTGGCGGCGTTGGCTTTGCACTGCTGTCCAGGGATTCAGCTCCCTCATCGGGTATGTTAATCCGTTGCTCCTGTTTGCTATACGGTTCCGATGTGGATCTATGTAGGCTATAGGATATTGTTTAATTATATATAAAAACTACATTTAATATATAGACTTACCTTAACGTAACACGTTTTTTGGTTCTATTCTCTAATTCAGTCATAAAAACATCATTGTGCTGCTGCTTCTCAGACCCCAGCTGATATGAGTTAAGCACGGAAGACTGTAAATTTATGTTATATATTAATTAGTTAAAGTAATTATAACTTAAGTATACCTTTGTATTGGTCGCTGTATGCTGCATGTGTGGCGGCATGGGGGTTTGTGTGGCGATCGCATCCGTTGTTGTGGTTGCCGTTTGTGTGGCTGTCAGGGATCGCATCTCAGAGCCATCGGTTACCGAGGGTGTGGTGGTGGTCACCTGTTCTGGATGGACACTGAGTGCCGCGGTCCGTTTCCACACATCGATCATGGCCAGATTGTGGGCATGGTGCAGGGGCTTGTGGCTAGGACTAATGGAATGTATTTTGGGCTTGGCTGGCAGCGGAAGAGCCAGGAATCTATCACGATCCTCCATGTACGCCTTGATCAGCACGTCCAGCTTCTCTTCGATATCAGCGACCTGTTAGGTGTTTTGGGAAATAATTTAAAAATATTTTGATTTATTGGATTTAATTATTGTTTACCTGTCGCTCTACCTTAACCACGCGGGAGGCTAAGCTTATTTTAGATGCATAAACATCCTTGGCCTTGGACCCTTGTTTGCCCAGGATTTGATCCAAGCTGTGGATTAGTTTTTAGTTAATTTAAGTTTGTTAATTAAAGGGAAATTTTTGATTTGTTCTTACCGCAAATGTAGCATTTTAACGCGACCCAACAAGTCAACGTGCCCTGAAATATAAAATATTTCATTTTATTTCATGGATTTATAAAGGTCCTTACAAATATCATGTACTATTTTTCTCAACTTTGTAGACTTCTTTCGATTTTAATCTAATCCATTAAACTCTGAATTCCACTTACCGGCTGCATATTGCTCCATAACATCCTTGACGTCGTAAGGTTTCAAGGCCTCCTTGAACTTCCGTCGCGCCACGAAGTACTTGAGCTGTTAGATAAACAAGGACCCATATTTTAGATGAAATCTCCAGTTAAGTACAGGGTATCTCCTTGGTCTAGAACCTCACCTTGCGTATAAACCTGATGGCTGTCTTGTGCCGGTTGGTTAGCTGCGTGCAGCGCGGCTCGTCCTCCTCATCTGCGGGCAATTTGTGAATCAGAGAGATTGACTTGTGCGTTAGGTTTTGGTTGCTAGCTTCGCTTGTTGGTTATTGGTTTTTTTTTTTTGATTTTTTTTTTTTTTTGGATATGGTTAATCAAGTCAACGTCAACGCAAATATACAACAACACATACAAAAGTACCGTTACACACACATATGGAACAATTAGTAAATACACATGGATTATCATTAATTAATATATATATATAGAGATAGAGAGCTTAGTTAGTTAGTTAGTTAGTAAATGCGAGGCCGAAGGTTCCTCCAGCCCAGATACTGAAGCAAGCGTTGTGGTGTGAGGTGTCGCTGTGTGATGGAGGGGGGTTTTATGGATTTCAGGTGGTGGATCAGGTGGTACCAAAATACCTACTTTAACTACAAATCATACTAGGGGGGTTTTAAGGATACTCTAAAAGGTGGTGGACAGCATGCAACCCTAGCGCAGGCGGAGGAGATACTTTTGCTTGGAGATACATTCGGAGATACGATTCTCTGTTTAGCACGCACTTGCCACGTCGCCAGCTGGATTTGGGTTGCTGAATCCGGTCTCCAGAAAGTGCGATGCAGCCGCAAAGAAGCGACCCGTACGTCCACTGCCCGGACTGGGATTCGGACTGGAACTGGGACTACCCGACTTGACGGGCAGCGGCAAGGTGTTGCTCCGCTGGCAAGTATCATGGTGGATTTCTTCATCTTCCTCACGACCAGCTTCCAGATCCCGATCGTTAACCGGAGCCACTCTTGGATTGCGCAGCGATAGCGTCGAGCCCAAGAAGCTGCCATGCAGAAAACCGTAGAGAACCACCGGAATGGTAAGGTTTTTCCTGGAACCACCAACCGCCTTGGCCTGCTCCTCAGCCTGATCCCCATCACGTTCCTGATCCCGATCAGGAAATTGAGCCAAGGAGCCGGCACTCGAGCTGAGCTTGCAGTTGGCCAGCCCCGTGGGCTGGCTGGCTAAGTTAAGTTAAGATTTCTGGATTATAGGACCCATTTTTGGGGGGGACGAGGGGGAGTAGTCGTGTTAGGCAACCAACCAACCAACAAACAACATCAAATTCAAAGTTCAATCAATCTTATCTCTGGGATGCATTGGATTCACAACATTGACACAACCACAACACTCAAATACAATATAGTGTGATATAATAATCGTTTTTTAATCGGTTTTTTTTTATGGATATTCGTATTGTAGGACCTGGGGGAGAGGACCTTGTAGACTTACCGTCTGAATTTTTAATATTTTTTAAGCAAGTGGTTTCAGCAACTGAATCTTCGCTGAAACTTGGATTCATGGATTTGCCGTTTTGTACTACCTCTGCAAAATTTCAAATCAAACGTTAAACTCGACAATCAAAACTTCACTCGAATTGCAAAACGGAACAGCGTTTCTGTAACTGTAACTGGAATCGGATGGGTTGCCAATATATATATATATATATATATGGTATATATATATATATATATCTGCGATTCGAGAGACACGGTACGGTACACTCTATATATGGGTCGTACAATATTGGAACATTCAACACGGTTGCGAGAACAAATTAAAAGTAATGCGCCACAGTGAGAAATCAAAACATCCATTTTCTAAGAACAACAACGAAAACTTAAATCCTTTTGAGTTAATATTGTATTTTAGATTCGTTTTTTTTAGATTTTTTAGTAACTGCATTTGTTTGTTGGTAATTTAAGAATATAAACTTAGGACTTAATGGGAATGTATTTTTAATGGGCTGTTATGATTAAGTCAAAGGTTACTAACAAATTCTGATTTGAAAACCTTAGAGAATATTTATTAAGTTTGAAGTTTTAAAATCTGAAATTTTTTCTGATTGTTAAATTTATTAGTACTTAATTTATTGCTTTGATATAAATATTAGTTCTGATTAAGCAATCTCCTTCAACATCTTTATTAATCTTCCTTAATCTGCTATTAATTGATGACAAATAAAGATCTAATGCTCAAATATCAAAGTCTTTAGTTATAGACTTGCAAAGACATTAAGGAACTGCAATATTTCAATTAATATCGCATCAAAGCTGACTAGTATGGCTTATTGCTTGATTAATGACTGCTTTATGGACAATTATTTTAAGTGGAATTTATTGCAGAACGCTGCATGCATAACAAAATAAAACGAAAGAAAGCAAATTCCCTTGAAATAAAATTAAGTTGTACTATTTTTTCCCAATTTGTTTAAATTTTTATCATCTTTTTTTGGAAGTGTGTTTGGTCTTGTTGGTAGATCTTTTTTGCAAACTGTGTAAATAGCAAAAGAAATCTTTAGATTTTTGTATTATTTGTTCAACGATAAAGTTGGAAAGAACAACATGCTTGGGCTGAACAGTGCGGTTCGTTGCTTTAAGGTGCCACTGGGGGTTTCTTGTTTAGAAATAATTTTATAGTTTTTTTTTTATTTATTTATTTATATAAAATAAGAACGTTATTATTGAAAATTAATTGTTTATTGTTTTATAAATAATATATATGTATTTTCTTTAAAAAGATATTTAAGAAGTGTTTAGTATATTTTTCAATTTATAAAAGAAATTTATTAAAATATTTTGTAATATATATTGAAATATATTGAACCCGCCTTATAGCCACGAAACGCACTTAAATATCCTCATAAGCTCTGTGTGTCTCTGTGCATGTGTGCTGTGTTCGCGTGTATGTGTGTGTGTGCAAACAGAAATTCGCAATGGAATGGAAATGGGAAACATAAACGGAAATCGGAAGGAGCTGCCCAAGCTGGCCCACCAACTTACCCAGATTCTCAACGGACGCATTGATGTCCCGAATGGTGCGAGTGTACCTCGTGGATGCCCTCGATGAGCCCGGCGGCTTGGACACACCACCGCCGCCATCGCCTCCGCCCGGTGTCTGGATCGTCTGGCTCTTGTGTCGCCGGATGGTTGGTAAACGAGCCACGAATGACGTGTTGTGCTTAAAGCTGGAGGATGCCCGTCTATATCGAAGGGGATGGGATAGAAATCTCTCAGTTAGCATTCAAATATTAACACTTATCAAATAGTTTGTCTTAATAATAAAGAGATAGGTTATCTGGCAAATAGTTAACAGGATACGACTGT